TTAATGGAAGTTTAGTTCCTGTTGCATCGTTGCTGTGGTAAAGTAAACTTAACTAGGTAGGAAGAGTTGGAGAAGGGAGCAAGTTGTAGACTTTTGGGCCACTTGATGCCCTTTAGTCTACCAGCACAACTCCCCACAGCTGCACACTTTAGTCATGTCTGTGACTAGACACACACTTGGTCCTCTGGGCTTTCTCTGTATTGGTATTCAGCAAGTGGATTCATTGACTGCTTCCCAGATGATTATTCAGTCCCTGTATATATGCATTGATCTGACAGATAGGCGTGTAGAATTCTTCTAGAACACTGTACATGAATGACTGGTGGTGTGGTTGTAGAAGGGGCTGATGAGTTGGGCCTTCAGAGTATATCTTCCTTGGAGGATGGTTTAATTTTCTGCATCTCATGTCTGCAGTTGGATATACTTGCACTTTTCCTTTGTTGGAAAGTTTTAGTTCATGTGGACATAGTCTGAGCATAGTCTTTTGTTTTTGTTTGTGAATTAGTGAGTGTATGCCACTGTGCATATTTGGTTTGAGGACATTTTGCAGCAGTCTGTTCTTTTCTTTCACTGTGTGGATCCTATGGACTGAACTTGCTCAGTTTTCATAGGAAGTGCCGTGCTGAGTCATCTCAAGGCCTTGCCTCCAGTATTTACTTAATTAATTATAAATCTTCAATCCTAGCTTTCAAAATCCTTCAAAATTGGGCATTACTTACTTTAAAAAAAATTTTTTTTTTTTTTTTTTGAGGCAGGGTCTCACTTCAAGCCTGGAATTCATTATGTAAACCAGGTTGGCCTAAAGTTAAAAAGATGAGTTGGCCTTCCCCTCTAGTACTGAGATTAAAGGCATGCCACCCCCACATCTGTCCCTTTTTAAAAAAAAAAATCTGGCCTGCAGTGGTGGCACATGCCTTTAACCACAGTAATCAGGAGGCAGAAGCAACTGTATCTCTGAGTTTGAGACCACTACTCACTACAGAGTGAGTTCCAGGACAGCCAGGGACACACAGAGAAACCCTATCTTGAAAGCAAAAACAAACAAAAAAATCCTGTTACCTTCTACATCAGAACTCCTTCCACCCTAAACATCTTTTTCCTATATGGATTTGTTTGAAAACATTAGAAAAGTGTGTGTGTGCATCTGTCGTTCTTTCTGTCTGTATGTATAAGGCCTAGGTGTGGCAGGGAGGGCAGAAAAGCTTATCAGATCCCTGGAGCTTGAGTTATAAGCAGTCCCGCTTAATGTGGTGTTGGGGTTTGAACTCAGGTCCCCTGGAAGAGCAGTGACTGCTGGACCATCTCACTGGTCCTGTTTACTTTTGGTTTTTTTTTTTTTTTTTTTTTTTTTTGTTCTTTTTTGGTTTTTAGCAGAAGGCCTATGGTATCTTTGAACTTGCAGTCTTTGCCTTTCAAGTGTTGGAATTACTGCAGTCTGCCATTATAATCTGCTCCCTTTTTTATGTCTTTAATTTTATGGTTGCCCTTTCTTACTCTCATTCCTATCCACCCAGTTTTCTTATAATCAGTGTCCAATTTATATGCCCCATATCTTTCTTTTTACCCCAAACCTACCATTTTCATCCACTCTCTTGAATCAAAAGTAATTTTTTTCTCTAAATTTCTATAGTTGTTTATAATTTTTGCATTTAGCACCTTAATGTTCCAATTTGCATCATAGTTATTGTGTGTTAAACTGTAACCTAATTGAAAACAGGAACCATATCTCTTAGTCATTTCAACCGTGTTAGCATTGTTCATTGTATGTAATAGATGGTTAAATGAGTCAACTTTCTGATTTCTGCCAGTGACTGAATGGTCACAAATAATCAAGGTGCTGACATTTTTATCAATTCTCTGACATCATTATTAGTATAAACTTAATGCATCAAATTGTACTAATAGTACTACCTTCATTTATCTTTCTAATCTGAAGTTATACATGTTTGCCTAGTTGATATAATATATAATTTTCTTCACTTAATAGCTATCACTCACTGGTTCCTTACTGTTAACTAGGACAAGTCCCAAATATAAGATGTATATAATTCTTTAATTCTTGCAATACCAGTGAAGCAGGCTTTTCTCCCATGAATATTTATTTTTACAAGTATGGGTGCTCAGATACAGGGGACAAGTAACTTTTATGGGACGGAAGAAATGGCTCACATTAAGAGCACTTGTTTCTTTTGTAGAAGACCTAGGTTCAGTTCCTAACCCTGCAGAGCATAACAGTTCCAGAGAACCTGACACCCCCCTGGCCTCTTATAGGCATTGAATACATTAGGTGCACAGGTAGACATGTAGACAAAACAACCATGCATATAAAATAAAATAACTAGTATCCTTCATATGTTAGGAATTGAGGTTTTTCTGAAGACTGAAGTTGCCTTGGTGGAGAACCTATACACAACCAGTGAGTAATTGAACGTGAAGCTCTATAAATAGACTAATAGGCACTCTTAATGGGGAAGAGCTGGTTTTAAGAGTAAAAGTTTTAGCAAACGCATAGTGTCTGAGCTGGGCTTTGAAAAATGAAACTTCATAAGGTGGGTCAAAATTGTCATTCAGTAGAAGTAGCAAAAAACAGTTCTACAGATTATAGTAGATTGGTGGGCTTAGGCAGTTATCAGTAGTCCTTTGAAGCTGTTGCATAGACGCAGGGATTGTGGGACATTGGCCAACAAAATGGTGTGAGAAATTGCAAGGGCTAGAGTTGTGTCTCAGTGGTAAAAGAGTTGCCTAACATACAAAGCCCTGGGTTTGATCCCCAGCATAGTGTGTAAGTAATTTCAATTAGCAAGTTTTTGTCATATTTTTTTTAAATAGAAAAAAAACCTGTAAATTTTACATAAAAGGACAAATGCCTATAATAGCCAATAAAATTTTTAAAATGAATGATGGGGAGATTTTCTTTGCAATTTAAAAATATCTTGTCTTTTGCATAGTACATGACAAAAAAAGTTAGTTCAATTTAATGAAATAAGAATTTTTTTTATTGAAAATTCATATAATATATTCTGATCATTCCTCCCCTCATCTCCTCTCAGATCCTCCTTACTTCTCCAACCATCCAACTCTGCTGTTGTAATTTAAGAAAAGTGGCATTCAAGAGACAGATGCCTTGCAACAGTGTTCAAGCAGAGGTTTTTTTTTAAATTAGGAAAAGGGAAAAGGGGAGCCTAGCCTCTGGAGACAGGAGCAGCAGGAGAGAGAAGAGAGGGAGAGGGGGGAGGAGGGGAGACAACAGATGGAGGGAGAGAAAGAAGGATGGAAGGAGGGCAGGGCCCTTTTAAAAGGGATCATAGTGAATGTACACAGGTGGTGCTCTTAGTGGCTACAGCTGAGGGTGTATCCTGCCAGAACCCCAGGGACAGGTCAGTACAGATGCCTGAATAATAATATCTACACCTTTTCTTCTTTCTTTTTAGAAAACAAACAGGCAAATAAAAAGGGAAACAAGCTGGACAGTGGTGGTACATGCCATTAATCCTGGAACTGGAGATGAAGAGGCAGGTGGATCTCTGTTAGTTCAAGGCCATACTGGTCTATGGATTTCCAGGACAGCCAGAGCTATGCAGAGACACTCTGTCTCAAAAACAAACAAACAGAAAAGGGTGGGTGGACAAACCAGAATAAAATACCCCAAACAAAATGAGAAAGTAAGAAACACACAGACACATAAATGAACTCATAAAAACCACAAAATCAGTAAGATAAAAGATGCCCAGAGAAAGTAGTAAGAGAAAAAAACAGTCCACACAAACATCATTGGCTTTGTTTTGTGTTGGGCGTCGTAGGGCTTACCTTTATGCGTTGTTTGTATACCCAGAGGGACTACATTAGAGAAAACTGATTTTTCCTCTACAAGCTGTTGTCAATTGGAGATAGAGACTCACAACTGGACAATGGGTAGGTAGAGAGTGAGTCTTTGGAATACTGAGTTCAAAATGGGATGTCTTCATCAAACCCCTCTCCTCTGCAGATGAGGAAGTGGAAAGATTGTAAAAGGCAGAGGGGATAGGTGGCACCAAGGATGTATTTTGAGTAGATGATGCCATACCCAGCTGCACACCTGGAAGATAGTCTTTCTTACATTACTTGTAGAAGTAAATTCCAGATGAGCATAAAACTTAAGTGTGACGAACATTGAAGGAGAACCTAAGAGGCTGTGTGTACACATAAATCTCCCTTATCTCCTTAGGGCACTTTGTCTTGCATTTGTTTTCTGGTCTTAGGATTGTTGAAGGGGAGAAGTCCTCACCTCATGGGGGCTTCTGGATCTCAGCTTTCCATTTCTTTGTGTAATGGCATCTTCCTCAGATTTGCTTCAGAGTTTCTGAGGCCTTTTTGTGTTGCTTCCCTTTCCACTACTGATGTTTTGAATCTAGGGCCTTGAGCATGTGAGGCAAGTATTCTGCCACTGGTGTATATTCTCAGTTTCTCCTTTTATTTAATTTTTTTTTTTGAGATGGGGGTCTTACTAAATTGCCTTGGCTGGGCTTGAATTCACTCAGAAGCAGAGGAACTCTGTAATCTAGGTGCCCATACAACTACCTCTCAGGGTTCATCTTGTCACTTGATCTCACAATAGATCAAAACATTTAGATATGTTTTACAGTTTATTTGTAATTAATTATATATGCTTGTATGTGTCTGTGTGGAGTGTGTACATGGGAATGCAAGTTCTTGTACAGGCTAGAAGAGGGCATTGGATTCCCTTGAACTGGAGTTACAGGAAGTGAGCCACCTGATGTAGGTGCTAAGAATTGAGTCAGTTCCTCTGGAAGAGCAGCAAGTATACCCAACCTCTGAGCCATCTCTATAGCCCCTCTAGCCGATTTCTTAATTTTTCTGAAACAATATGATTTTAGAGTCAGTGTGTTGAAGCCTATTTTATTATGTTGCCTAGTATAAGTATATATATTTATATATATACACACACACACATAATTAGCAGTAATCATAATTTGACATGCATATCTGTTTTGTCTTTTCAGGTGCCATTTGGATAGTACTTTAGCGGCACGATGTACTCTGAGTGGCGGTCACTGCATTTGGTGATTCAGAATGATCAAGGCCATACCAGTGTGCTACACAGCTATCCAGAGAGTGTTGGGCGAGAGGTGGCAAATGCAGTGGTCCGTCCTCTTGGGCAGGCATTAGGTACCTCTTCAGTGGCTGGTAGTGAGAGTTTGTTAAAAACTGACAAAGAAGTAAGTGTTTCTTCATTTCATTCCGTGGTGTGAACATGTGAATTGTTTACTAAACATTTAGTATTGACCTTGTAGAAAGTAGTTAAAAATTGTTTTATTATTTTTAATTTTGTATATGTATGTAAGTCTGTGTATGAGTATGTGCACATTAGTGTGGGTGTCTGTGGAAGCCAGTGTTGTTGGATCCCTCTGCAGCTGGAGTTGGGGCCAGTCGTGAGCATAGGGCATGGTATATGGGAATCAAAGTTAGGTCCTCTGCAGGAGCAGTATGCCCTGTTACAGTGCTGACTTTTTAATGGATTGGTGCCTGATTTGGAGTTCTAGTTTTTATATCACTTGGGTTGTATGATGGGACATGGGCCTATGAAGATATAAAGACGGGCTTGTACCTTTTTGCTGTTGACAATTCTCACTGGTCACACCTAGTTCTCCATTTGAGCTAAGTAGTCAAGACAGAGAGTCATGTGTCAGACCCTTAAGCACTAGGCTCAGTCTTCAGATTTCTGTTTCTATTTCCAAGTCCCTGTCCTAGTTAGGGATACTATTGTTATGATGAAACACCAAGACCAAAAGCAAATTGGGTAGGAAAGGGTTTATTTGGCTTACCCTTACTGGTTGTAAGTCTAGGTAGTGGGAACTGGGTTTAGAATTGTGGGAACTGGGTTTAGAATTGCTATTCCTAAACTTGCTGACCAAAGGGATCTTAGGATGACTTGTCTAGGAGATAGTTTTCTGTTCTTGGGTTCAGGGCACTAAGGTGACATTAAACCTCAGTGGGAGTTCTAAAGGAACCCTGAGAATGGTGTGATTCTTTGTATGAGTAGAACTTTGTACTCTCTGCTTTAAAAAGATTATGCATGGTTTTAGGCCTATTCTCAGGACCCCACCCCCCCCTCCATTTTTTGTTGTTGTTGTTTTGTTTTGTTTTATATGTTTTTTTGGTGGCAGGGTTTTATTGTATGTTCCTGACTGGCCTAGAATTCACTTTGTAGACCAGGATGGACTTGAATTTGCCTCTATCTCCCAAGTGTTGGGATTATAGGTATATGCTTTATTATTATTATTAGTAGTAGTAGTAGTAGTATTTGTTGTTGTTGTTGTTGTAACATGAAAAATAAAATATGCAGAGACAGATACTGGGGTTCAAGCTTCAAGCTGAATATCAGAAAAGCAAAGCAGCTGGCCACTAGCTCTCACCTCTAGCTCAGGCTGAAAGGGCTGATCCATGTACAAGCTCTTCATCAAGTCTCAAACTGCTGCTTCTCCTCAGTGTGGCTGGAGAACAAATGCCTCATACTGAATTCTGAAGTTTCCTGCTTCTATCTTTTATAACCTTCTAGTGCTGGGATTAAAGGCATGTGATCTTTACTCTTAGACTGATTCAATCTCATGTATCCCTGGGTAGCCTTGAACTCAGAGAGATCCATCTACCTCTTAATCAGGAGTCCTAGGATTAAAGGTGTGTACCACTACCTCTTAGCTTCTGGCTGATGGGATTAAAGGTGTGTTTCATCAAAGCATGATCTCTATAGTTGGAGGCTGACTTTGCTTCTCTGAATCCCCAGTTAAGCTTTAATAAATCATAAATAATATATCCACTATAAGAAGAAGTAGTAGTATTGTTTTAAAGACAAGGTCTCATTCTATAGATTAGATTGGCCTAGAACTCACTATGTAAATAAAGTAGTCTTAAACTTGCAGTTATTCTCCTGTCTCAGCCTCTCAAGTGTTGGGATTATAGGTATGAGCCACCATGCCTACCTAGCTCTTCTTACTTTTGGTCATTCATGAAATATCAGACTTAGCCTTCAGCTTCAGAGGCCGTTTGTTTATCCTCCCCTGGCCAAGGAGTACCAAAGGTTGAAGTCCTTCAGTCTTTGCAGTTCTCTCATCAGAGTACCCTAGCTTCCTTTGGGCACCCACATAAGCTCTGGCTTTAGTTATGATCCCTTGCTGCCTTCTTAGATGAGATGTCATTTGATAGATGGAAAGTGATCTAGTGTAGCCCTTGGTTATTATCTTTACCACCCTCAGGAGATGCTGAAAAGGTACCGCTTTTCAGATCTTATTATTGTGGGAGAGTTGGGGGAGCAAGGGGACATGTGTGCCCTGGTGCACATGTGGAGGTCAGAGGACAGATTGTGGAGGTCAGTTCTCACTTTTGGTCCTCACAGTCAAACTCAGGCTACAGATGATCAGCAAATGGTTTTACCACTGAGCCATCATGGGCACTTTTCTTTTAGAACAATGAAATTACTATGACATCATCACCAAAGCTAACTTGTCTTCTTTCTTTCATCTAATAATTAGGAATCTGTGGGGGGGGGATGCATTTAGTTTTGGTTTTTCAAGACAGGGTTTCTCTGTACATCAGTCCTAGCTATCCTGGAACTTGATTTGTAGACCAGGCTGGCCTCAGACACACTGAGATCCATCTTCCGCCTTCCTCTGCCTCCCAAGTGTTGGGATCAAAGGCATGTGCCACCACCACCTGGCCTGTAACTCCTTTTAAGATTCCTTTCTGGGGCTGGAGAGATGACTGTGTAGTTCAGGCTGTCTTCAATTTGAGATATTTTTTAAAAATAATTTATTTATTTAACATATATTGGTGTAAAGGTATCAGGCTCCCTGGAACTGGAATTACAGACGTTTGTGAACTGCCATGTGGGAGCTGGGAATTGAACTCCGGTCCTTTGGAAGATTAACCAGTGCTCATAACCACTGAGCCATCTTTTTAGCCATTGAATTTGAGAGCTTGGTTGATAAAGTGCTTCCCGTGGAACATAGAGATCTAAGTTTAATCCTCAGAACCCATGTAATCTGGGCATGGTGCACACACACTTAATTCCAGCACTGCAGAGGCAGAAGTTTGCAGGTCTCTTGAGTTCGAGGCCAGCCTGGTCTACATTGAAAGTTCTAGGCCAGCCAGGGCTAAATATAGCAGAGGGGAACAAGAACCTGGTAGTGGGAAATAGCTAAGGGATGTAATCGGTAAATTAAGACCTGCTATTGGAAAAAGGTTTCACACATAGCTAGAGAATGTAATCAGTAAACTCCAAATCATGGGAGAAATTGTGTTCAGTAAATGATCAGATAGTGCTAAACTGTGAGAAGTAAATCCCAAGTTTGTTACAGAGAGGAGTAAGTTACAGGAAGAATCTATAGCAAGAAACAGCTAATTAATTCACAAGACTACATTCCAATACACCTTGCATCCTGGTTTAATCCTCCAGAAGAATTCTTAATTCTTATGGGTTGGTCTTGTGAAATGAGGCTGATTAATTACTATGTGAGCTTGTGGCTTGTAGCAGGTAGCAGGGACCCTGTCTTGGGGAGAAAGAAAAAAAAAAAAAAAAAAAAAACCCCTACAAAAAGAAAAAAAAAAAAACAGCATAGAGGCATATACTTTAATCACTTTCATTCCGGCCCTGGGGATGAAGAGACAGGAGGGTTCCTGGGGCTCACTGTCCAGCCAGCCTAGCCTAAAGTTTAGTCACAACACACAAGGTGGAGAGCACTTGAGCAGTGACACCTGAGGTAGACCTCTGGCTTCTATATGTAGGCACAGGCACACGTGCATAACATATCCATGCATACATGAATACATCTACACTCTGTTCTCTTATGTGGCTTAACATCCAACATACCTGCTCAGAATTTGTTACAGCCTTACTGCAGTTACAGTTTTCTTTAGTATTTATCACTACTAATCATAAATTGCCTACCTTTGGCCTTTTGTATTTGTTTTTGAGTTAAAGACAAAAGCTTAGTATAGTGATATGCGCTTGAAGTCTCAGCCTTTGGAAGGCTTAGGCAAGAGGATCATGAGTGTCAGACAGCCAGAGCGTTCTAACAAGACCCTGTTCCAGTTCCACCCACCCTCTAACCCCAAAATTCAGCATATGTATTTATCTTGTCAGATTCAAATTTTGCAAGCCTTTAAAGTCTTTGAACCCTGAATTCTATCCAGCAGGCTGACTATCCTTTTTGTCTTTGTGATGTTTACAGATGGTTGTCCATTATATTATTATTATTATTGAGATAGGATCTTTCTGTTTAGTTCAGGCTGTCTTGGACTCAGTGTGTAGCTCAGGCTGCCTTGAACTTGAAATCTCCCTGCTTTAGTATCATGAGTGCTGGGATTATAGGCATGCAGCATCAACCACCTAAATAAAAATTTTGGCAAGGTAGGCTGGTGATATAGATCAGGAGTAGAGTTCTTCCCTGGGTTTAATCCCTAGCAGCACAAAACAGTAGCAGCAACAACTGGAGCTTGGTAGGTGTGGCCTTTGGTAAACCAGCGGCATCGTTTCCCCAATAATTTCAGAACCTTCACCTTGTTACTGTCTTGTGTGGTATTTTGGCCACTTATAAGTCTGGCCATTCTATAATCCATAAAATACCTCTATGCCAGAAACACCCGTTAGTGGGTTGGTGAGACACTTCAAAACTTATGGTTGGAAAACTGGATTCATGTTTCTCATTGGAAGGCAAGGTTTGTCTTCAGCTTCACTATTTATAAACCAGTGGTGGGCTGAATTACTTAAGCATGCTAATTTTTTTTTCTGATGTATGAAATGAGGCCAGTTTACTCTGTTGCACCAGGGTATTGTGGTATTGACATTTATGAAGGTACTGTTTTAACTGCAATGATTGTGTAATTGTTGCTGTCTTCAAAATAAGACTGTTGGTAAAGGAATGAAGTTTATCTGGCTTGATGTGGTCTTTTTGAGCAGCCTGATCATGCACTCTTTTTGTTAAGTGTTTACTGATCATCTGCTTAGTATTTGTCCCAGATTTTTTGTCTGGAATTCACTTAAACCTTTTAGACTTTGGTGTCTAAGAATATAGTTTCTTTTCCAAATTGGGAGAGTTTTTTCCTTTCTCTTAGCATCTAATTTCTCAAAGCACAACAAGTATGTGTTTCAGGTGATCAGGTTAAGTGTGGCTAGATGCCTAGTTAAGACCTTACCCATTCAGTCCCACTTCACTTATATGTGTTCTGTCCATTTTAGTGTTACATTTTTTGACAAAGAAAACAAGTTGTATAAGTTGAATGATTCATCTTCCTTCCTGTCATTTGTTCCTATTGCATAATCTGAAGATGGGAATGTAATTGAGTTTATACATTTGATTTCTTAAATGATATATATTTACATATGCAAATTGAACAATTAAAAATCCTACGTTTTCTTTTTTTTTCTTTTTTTTTTTTTTTTTTTTGGATTTTCAAGACAGGGTTTCTCTGTGGTTTTGGAGCCTGTCCTGGAACTCGATTTGTAGACCAGGCTGGCCTTGAACTTACAGAGATCTGCCTGCCTCTGCCTCCTGAGTGCTGGGACTAAAGGCGTGCTCCACCAATGCCTGGCTACATTTTCTATTTTTATATTTTTAGTATCTGTAGAAAATTGAAAGGATCATTTCATAGAATGAATGGTAATAACATCAAAAGGGTAAAAGCTTACATAGGCTTAATATTTACAAATAATGAATTTGATTTTTCCAGAAATTTGCTTGGCAAATATGACATGAATGTCTAATACATAGAAAGTATGTGTCTAGAGTAAATTTGATATATATGTTAAGATGACTGTAACTTCAACTTAAAGCATCTGGGTACTAGGAGATAATATATTTTAAATTAATCTAGTGAAGTACAGATAAAGATCTATAATCTTTGTGAATATTTTCTTTTGCTTAGGTAAAATGGACCATGGAAGTAATTTGCTATGGACTGACCCTTCCTTTAGATGGAGAGACTGTAAAATACTGTGTTGATGTATATACAGATTGGATTATGGCTTTGGTGTTGCCGAAAGATTCTATTCCATTACCAATTATTAAAGAGCCTAATCTGTATGTTCAAAGTATATTAAAACACCTACAAAATCTTTTTGTACCAAGGTAAGTTACTCCTATCTGGTTATTATCAAGGTCATAATAAAGTATTTGTCAATGTTGCTTTATTAAATATAGGTGCTGATTTTATTGTTAGTCCTTTGAACTTTACTCATTCTCTTATGGATTCTATTAATATGACTAAAGGAGATAGGCTCACAGGTTTACGTAAGGTTTACTAGGAAGTTTTTGTTTGTTTGTTTTGAGATAGCATCTCACTGTGTAGCCTAGAATGGTCTTGAACTTTCTTTATAACCCATGTTGACTCAAATTTACAATCCTTTTGTTTTAGGCTTTTGAGATCTGAGATTATGGGAATGTTCTATCACTCTTAGATTTAGCACAATTTTTTTAATAGCTGGATCTTTATTTTAAATACTTTTTGGCCTTGTTTCTGAACTCTGTAGATGTTGGATAATAAAATGTGTGATGGTGATATATTTCTTTCCCTTGTTAAACATTTCTTTTTATTTTTGCTGGTGTGATAGTGGTGCTGGCCACTAAGCCCAGTGATCGAAGTTTGATCTCTGGGACCCATATATGGTGGAAGGAGAGGAGGACACTTTGGGTGTACTCTGACCTCCATATGTGCCTCATGGTATGTGTGCACACACATGCACACCAGTTAAATATTTAAAATAAATATCCAACGTCTGCATATTTTTGTATATCATAATTCCTTCTTCTTTTCTTTCTTTCTTTCTTTTTTTTCCTGATAAAGTTTCTCTGTGTAGCTTTGGAGCCTGTCCTGGAATTTGCTCTGTAGACCAGGCTGGCCTCGAACTCATAGAGATCCTCCTGTCTCTGCCTCCCAAGTGCTTGGATTAAAGGTATGTGCCACCTCCATCTGGCATATATCATAATTATCTCCACATACACCCAAAGCAACTATTCTTACCTTAACATGATCCTGTGGAGTATGAAGGCATAAAATTAAGCAAACAGGTCAGGCATGGTGGCTCATACCTCTAATCCCAGCACTTTAAAGGTGGAGTCAAGATCAGGAGTTGAAGACAGCCTTTTCTACAGAAGGAGTTGAAGCCCAACCTGAACTATATCATATCATGAGACCCTGTTTCAAAGAATCATTGGATAAAAGTACTTGTCACCAAGTCTGATGGACTAAGTTCACCAGGAGTCTACATGAAAAAAGGAGAGAACTAATTGCTGCTAGTTGGCCCCTTACTTTCACATGTGTGACATGGCATGTATATGTCTTTCCCCCACATATACAAATGTAAAAAATTTTGTTTTGTGAGACAGGGTTTCTCTGTGTAGCTTTGGAGGCTATTCTGGAACTTGCTATATAGATAGATCAGGCTGGCCTCTAACTGACAGAGATCCATCTGCCTCTGCTTCCCAAGTGCTGGGACTAAACCTGTATACTACCACTGCCTGGCACAAGTGTAAAAGTTTGAAATTAAAAGTTTGAAATAAAATTTAAAATCTCTTTTAAAAAAGTAAGCTAACTAAAAAAATGAAGAAATAAAGATACTGGATTTCCTTTTCCTTCCTTCCTTCTTTCTTTTATTTTGAGATAAAGTCTTACTGTAGATCCCTGGCCTGATACTCACTTTGTAGGCCAGACTGGCCTTAAACTTATAGGGATCTACATACCCATGCCTCCCAAGTGCTGGGATTAAGCCTGCATACCCCAATACCTGGTGAGCAAACTGGAAATTACAGACATTTATGGTAAACCAAAAGATTACCCTTGAAAGTTTGTTACTAATTTCTTCTCTATATTCTGAGGTAAAGGTGTTAGATGCCAAAATGCAAGTTATTTATCTTAATATTTTTTTTCTTAATTGTTAAGAATGTTACATTCTAGTCCTGTGTAGTGGCTCATGCATTTAATCCCAAGACTCATGAGGTAGAATTAGGTGGATCTCTGTGAGTTAGAAGCTAGCCTGGTCTATATAGTGAGTTCCAGGTTTGCCAGGGCTACAGATACCCTGTCTCAAAAAATAAACAATAACAACAAAGGAATGTTCCATCTGAGGCTAAAGCTATAGCTTAGCCAGACTATTTACCTGCATACCCAAGAGCTGTGGCTTTCACCTTTAGCATATGTATATATCCTTATGACAGATCTTTGAGAAATATAGAAATGAGTGTGTAGAAAAAAGCAGTAGCTCCCCCACTTGCTCATGAGAGTGTTTTCAGCAATTTTGTGTTTTGTGAAAGAGGCTGTGGGGCTCATCTCCATATGGAAAAGTTTTTGCTAGAGCTTTCAGTCTGGTGAATTACTCAAAAACTGGGTCTTTAAATTTTTAGCTTTGTAAATTTAGAAGGAAATTTTTGTTTTAGAAATCCAAGTTGAAAAAGAAAAGTCTGTTATAACTCTGTTCTATGGATCAGATATAAAATCCTCCATACAAAGTGTCACTCAGGGCCTTCTGGCCCTAACTAACTAGCTGCTGTTCATTTTGTGTGAGTCCTGCTCTTTAGTCAGCCTTGTAAACATTCCCCTAAGTCCCCTCAGAGCTCTTTTCTGTCTTCACCTGTTCTTACATCATTTTCTTTCTCTCTCTGACTATTGCTTGGCTGCCTAACTCGCTCTTCCTGATTTCCAGTAAAGTCTGTCTTAGAAGTGTTATATGACCACACAGACCTTCTGGATCATATCTCCTAGGAATTTGCTTGGTACTTCCCATTTTACTCTTTTATCTCTCATTGTTTTGTTTCATGTCCTTTAACTTGTTATGTTTCATTTTTACATCTAACCAACTTGAAGACAGGAATTCAGTCCACTTTCTGTATTTGGGGGCATCTATAATAAGTATAATGTAGTACTGGCCTTACGTACGGATTAAATGTTTGTTGCTTGTATTTGTTGGCCTTAAATGGAAACAACAGGAAATGTATATTTGCAGCTAAGCAGGCTTGTCTAAAATGGTATAGTTTTAATCTTTCTTGTTATCCCACCAGAAAATTAATTTACAATATTTTTCCCTCTGTGGATGAAATGATCTTGTTTGGAATGTTGTCACTGTATATCTCTTTCATCTCTTTCCTTTTCATGCTCAGTTTGTATTGCTAAAAAACAGTAATGGAATTTGAATAAATTGTGCTTTGATTTTACTTTCTCTTTTGAAAAGTATAACTGTAAATGTTTTTATTATTTGATAATCAGCCTGTTTCTCAGAAGTATGTGTACATGTAGGTCAGTGAATTCTGAAAGGCACTGATTTAAGTATTAGAGTTATGAAGATTAAGTGAATTTTTCAATGCTATATATTGGGACTTCTGATCTAATCTTCAATTACTAGAAGTTTCAGTTTAAAAAAATTAGATAGTTCATCCAGTTGTATCAGAACTTGCTTACTTAGTTGTTTTTATATGAACTGATTCTCAAAATAGAGGAAACTGCCTTTACCTTTTGTTAGAGATTAAGTTAATTTGACTTTTTTTTTTTTTTTTTGCCCATTAGCCTAACTTTTTTCATAATTGAGTAAAAAATGAGTACCAGTTGAAACTGGAATTTTAATTGCTTAGATATATGCACTAAAAAAAAAAAAAAAAGGAGAATCTTTAAGAAATGCAGTATCCCTCCTCCATCCACATGCATATGTCTCCAGAAGCAACAGTCCACAATTTCTTTTCTTTTTTTCTGTAAAAAGTAAAAAAGCTAGCTAGTAAATGTTTCCTATATTACAGGCCATATGGTGTTGTAACTCCTCAGCTCTGTGGTAGAGCAGAAAAATGGCCATAGATTACTAAATTAAGAAACAAAAACTTTACTTGCAAAGGCAGCTGGGGAGATAGCTCAGCAGTTAATTATACTGGCTGTACTAGAGGACCTGGGTTTGATTCCTAGCACTCTACTTGGTGGCTCACAACCTTCTGTAACTCTAGTCCAGGGGATCTAATTTGACCTCTGTGGGCAGTACACATACCTGGTACACAGACATACCTGAAGGTAGAATGCCCGCAAAAAAAAGTAAAAATAAATAATAGAGTGTTACAAAGGCAGGTGTTAGTCAAGTTCACCTCTAGATGACTGTGGATGGACATCTCCCTCTCCATGTATGTGTCTATATGATCCATGCATAAGTGTTGATACACCCACCTCCAGAGATCAGAGGAGGAGATTGGGTATCTTCCTTTGCTTTATTCCCTTGAGACAGGGACTTTTTTGAACCAGAAGCTTGCCATTTTAGCTAAGTTGCCTGGCTAGTGAGCTTCCAGAATCCATTGTCTCCACCCCATAATATTGGTTTGCAGGTATGCACAGCCATGTCCAGCCTTTTGTGTGGGTGCTAGGAATTCAAACTTAGGTCCTTGGGATTGAAACTTAGATCCTTTTATGATTTTACAGTGAGTGATGTTGCTTATTGAGCTATCTCTCTGGCCCAGCTTTGATTTCTTTAGGAAACATTTAGTCATTTAGTTGTGTCATTTGTATGCAACTTTAAGGTAGGATCCAGATTTCTGTGTTATGGCCAGTGTCTAAGTAGTGGGAGTTTTAACAGATGATTTGCTGGCATTTCTTCAGGACTCTCTAGCTCTTTGTGTCGTCACAATTTATAGAAATTGACTTTAAATGACTTTAGAGTTTATATCTGTATTGTATTGGGTTTATTGTGAGAAAGCCAAAGGCCAGATCACCAATCGTTTAAGCTGTTCTTTAAATTCTCAGGTGGGGCAGCTTGGAAAGTGAGGCAAGGTCTAGGCTCTGGACCTCTAGCTATCTCTTCCACCCAATTTTATGGAATAGTTATTTTCTTCTCTTTCTCCCTTTCTTTTTCAAGACAGGATCTTACTATGTAGCTCTGGCTGTGCTGGAACTCACTCTGTAGACCAGGCTGGCCTCCAACTCACAGAGATCTTCCTGCCTCTGCCTTTCAAGTGTGGCTATTAGAGGCATTGTGTCACCACCCAGCAAGTCTTCTCTTAGGGAGCAAATGTGTCCTATGGACTAAAGAGAATTTTGCAACTGTTGTTTGGGGAACCCTTGGATCCGTTTGGAATGCTGTGTTTTTATTAAAGCCAGGGTAGCAGGTGTTCTCCACTGAGGAAATGCTGTCATGTCTTGTCAATTTTGGACACTCCTTTGGGCCTTGTAATACTAGCTTTAGGGTGACTGTGAAAACTGTAAACACTTGAATTCTGTGAATGTGTGTTTCAGAAAACTGAAAAAGAATGTAAGGGTTTTCCAGCTCCAGTGTGAGATCAGAGGTAACTAGGTATTTACTAATCGAGCAGAAACTAGTTGAATAGCTGCTCTTCTGTGCCAGACACATTTCAGAAAGAAAATCCAGGGGTGAAGTTTGCATGCCAGATTTTCCTTTTTTCTCACAGAAGCTAATTTCTCACTGGAGAGGTAGGTGGAGGTCTCAGGGTACTGAACTGAATAATGGGGGGAAACTAGCTGTAAACCGAGGAGAGTTGTACTGTCCACTGGTACTTAGGCAATGTCATTGGACTGACCACTGTTCTATGTCAGTAAGCTTCCTGTTCTTTGGCTGTTGCTGTCTCTCTTCCAGGCCTGTCAGTGATATCTGTCTGTCTTCTTCAGACAGGAACAAGGCTCCAGTCAGATCCGACTATGCTTACAGGTTCTGAGAGCCATTCAGAAACTGGCCCGTGAGTCATCCATCATGGCTCGAGAAACCTGGGAAGTTTTACTGTTGTTTCTTCTGCAAATTAATGACATTCTTCTGGCCCCACCAACTGTTCAAGGTTTGTTAATTAACCTTTTTGCCTTATATTTCTGAATTCCAAACATAGTTCACATTTAAACTTAGTGAATGATAGACTCAGTGGACTTTTTAAGTTTTAGTAAGACTGTTGACAAACAAAAGTTATCAATTAATACTGGAAAGACACAATATGGGCTGGGTGTGGTGGCAGAGCATGCCTTTAATCCCAGAGCTCAGGAGGCAGAGGCAGGTGGATCTCTGAATTCAAGGCCAGCTTGCTCTATATAGTGAGTTCCAGGCCAGCTAGATTGACATAGTGAGACTGTAATAATACAGGGCAAGGTGGGACCTTTAGCAGGCCCCATGTTGAGTGAGGGATAAATGGCAGGTGAGAGACAGACAGAGACCTGTAGACAAAACTTATGTGGGAAGTTTATTGGGGGAAGGTAAGGGAGTAAAGGACAGGAAGAGAGAAGGGAGAAAGAGAGACAGAGGCAGAGGGTTGCCTCCTCAGAGAAACAGCAGGAAAGAGATAAAGTAGATGGAGCTTGTCTCTTAAAGAGACCTTTGTACCTGCATACAGAGCCAGGGTGCTTCCTGTCTTTGTGCCATGTGGGGCCATGTGCCATGTGCCATGTGGGGGGTGGGGCTGGGTTTGTAATTGCATGGATGCTAACAGAGACTCTGCCTTTAAAAAGTCAGGCAGTGGTGGTACATACCTTTAATATTATCACAGGGGGCACAGGCAGATCTCTTAAGTTTGAGGACAGTCTGGTGTACACAGCAAGTTCCAGGACAGCCAGGGCTATACAGAGAAACCATGTCTGGGGGAGGTGGGGGAGGGGTGTGTGTGTATATGTGTGTGTGTGTGTGTGTGTGTGTGTTATTTTACCTTCACGGATTACTTTGCTAATGTAGAGAAGGACTCATAATTAAGCATGTTGGAGACGGATAGGAACAATTAGCTTTTTTTTGCAGTAGTATAGAGCCTCTATAGGAAACAGAAAATGCTAAATTAGGATCTATGATAATATACTGGGTGAAAAAGTTGTTGTTAGATTAGATAGTGTTATCGTAGTAGATAATAGGTAGATAGCTTGATAGTGATGATAGTGAGTGAGTGTGTGTGTGTGTGTGTGTGTGTGTGTGTGTATGTATGTATGCTTTGTTTTCTCCCTGAGGTACTTAAGCAAGTGACCCAGGGCCTTGTCCGGCAAACACTTAACCACCAAAACTGAGCTTTACCTCCAGCCCTGAAAACATATTGTTTGGAAAATAAAACCTTCAAAGTCTTAAGGAGTTTGGTTTGGAAGTACGACATTTATTAGCTAGCCATTAAAAGCCTCTAGTTTTAGGGGCTGGAGAGATAACTTAGCAGTTAAGAGCACTGGCTGCTGCTGTTCCAAAGGTTCTGAGTTCAATTCCTAACAACGATTTGGTGGCTCACAACTGTCTGTAAAGATCTGGTGCCCTCTTCTGGCATACAGGCATACATTCAGGCAGAACATTGTATACATATAAATTAAAAAAAAAAAAAAAAAAAAAAAAAAAGAAGCCTCTAGTTTTATATAGTTTTGCAGCATTTCAGAAGTCCTGCTTTGTACATTAAGGCAGAGTATACATAAACTATAAGTTATAAACTTATAGTTCCAGGTTCTGTTGTTTTTACTCTCTTTATATTCTCTCTACTAACAAAAGTTAGTGTGCCCTTGTGTTGTCAAATAGATGCAGTGACCAAGGAAGGGTTTAGAAGGAATCATGGAATTGTAATGTGGGAAATGACCCATAATAGGAATACAGTTGATCTGGTAATGATAATAGCTTGACAGCCATAGCACAGATTCATTGGCTCTCTGCTGTTGGTTCCTCATGTCAGTGACTTGATCTCAGAAGTGTGAAATCAGGTAACGTTTCCCTTCCTTGAGCTTTTTTATTATTGGAACTTTGATTTTGCTTGTTTGATGCGCACATTCTATTTACTCTTCCTTCTAGTCCTAACTTTACTTTCTTGAGCTGTGCAGATTAAAGTTCACTGTCCCTTCTGGTTTCAGGGCTTTGACTAGAAGGACAGCTCTGCATTCTGTTTAAGATTTGCCCTTGCCTGGTGCCATAGCTTAGCTTTCCTTTTGTCTTTTTCCACTCAGGAGCAGCTTTAAGTACCTGGAGCTTTTTGTTACAAACTTTGGAGTCAGGGAGACTTGGCATTTGTTCTGGTTCCTTTTTTATTAGCTGAATGGAGTGGGGACATACTGGCATGGTGGCTCTCACAGCTACAATCCTAGCACTGGACAGGTGGAAGCAGTAAGATTAGAAGTTCAGGGTTACCCTTTGCCACACAGCTAACTTGAGTTACATTATAGGACTGCGTCTTTAAACAAAAAACTAATAGGTATTTATAAATACCTGTCCTATAGAAAGAAGTGGGAGGATTCTGTTGAGGTAATGTGTGACTTGTAGTGATCACTCATTGTTGGCATTCATCTTTTCCTTTCTCCTGTTTCTCCCATGCTGGAACCTTAAGATCTGCACTAAAAACTAGCAGGACAGTTTGAAAATTCTCAAAAAGTAATCATTGATGTTCTCTGTGATTCTTTCATAAGAGCTTGCTCCCAAACTTCTCAATTTAGTTATTAGAAGAATTGATATTAATATTATAACTTTAATTTTTGATCAATTTCCCCATATAATCAATGAAAGATTCTTCTTTAAAAATAAATACACCAAAGATATGTTTTTGTTTTTTGTTTTTCCATTGACCAGGTGGCATTGCTGAGAACCTAGCAGAGAAGTTGATTGGTGTTCTCTTTGAAGTTTGGTTGCTAGCTTGCACCCGGTGCTTCCCAACGCCTCCTTATTGGAAGACAGCCAAGGAGATGGTGGCTAACTGGAGGCACCACCCTGCAGTGGTGGAGCAGTGGAGCAAAGTCATCTGTGCACTCACATCCAGGTAGGCCCTTGCTTTCCTAATGCATGTGCCCTTGGGGCGACTCTCCTAGGTTCTCTCTTGATAGAATGTATTTTGAAAAGCCTGGACCCGTCATTATTGTACTTTTGTAGACTGAGCCAATGTAAAAGAAATAAGGAAGCCAGGGAGGTGGCTCATGGCATAGGCACTTGCCATGCAAGCCTCACAACCTGAGTTTGATCCCCAGAACTCATGTAAAGGTGAAAGGAGAGAACAGATTCCACAGAGTTGTCCTCTGATCCCAATGTGGTGGTATGTTGTGGTGATGGCTAATACTGTGTCTTTTAATTAGTTTTGATTGCAAAAGCCATATGGACTGATAATAAAATAATTGGAAAATATAGAGTGAAAGGAACATCCCATCATTTAAAATTGTTTTTAAATGTATGGAAATGTTAAAAAAAAAACTTTCCCCATTTCCCTTTTATTAAAAACAATGAGGTGGGGTGATGATGAAGAGATGCTCAGTGGTCTAAGAGCATTGGCTGCTTTTCCAAAGGACTGGGTTCAATTCCCAGAACTCACACAGCAACCTACAATTGTCTGTAACTCCAGTTCTGAGGAATCCAACACTCTCACGCAAACATACATGCAGGCAAAACACCAGTGCACATAAAATAAAACCAAATTATTAAAAGCATAACAAAACAAAAAACTGATTTAATACTGTTACCTATGTTTTTCATTTGATGCCTGATTTGAGTCATTTTAATTGCCTGAATTTATTTGTAAATAATTTTTGAGGTTGTGTTTTTAGTTAGTTTTGTAGTCTTATATAATTAATAATTTATATTTTGATAAAAATTCTGTTCTGAATGCTTTTTACTTTAGAAATTTTGTTGAAGGAATAGTTTATACAGTTTTATATATATTTTGATGTTTTACTAAGATAAAATCCTTAGAGACAGAGTAATTGAGACAAATGGCTTTGAAAAGTCCTAGTACATGTAGAATATTACTATTAGTAAATAAGTTGTTGAAATCAGTTAGCTTTTATGGTACATAATAAAAATGTACTATATTTTAAACATACAAATACTAAGTTCTGGACTTCCTATAAAGTTGTTGTGAATAAATTATACCTTTGTTGTATTGAAGGATTTACAGTAGTATCAATTTTTTAAAAGTAATAGAAAGCTGGTGTAGTAGCATACACCTTCAATCCCAGCATTCAGGAGGAAGGAGCAAACAGATCTCTTGAGTTTGAGTCCAACCTGGTCTTACATAGTCAATTTCATGCCAGCCAGAACTACATAGTAAGACCCTGCCTTAAAACAGACAAACAAAAACCATAACCATCCAAACAAAACAGGAAAAAAATAATTTATATATTACTTCCATGTTTAATGATGTAATTATTTAGGTACAATAACAAAAATACATAATTTATTACTTGCAAGTAATATAAATAATAAGTTAACTTAAACAGTGTGAATATTTCTGATAAAAGTTTATTTCATCTTATAAAAGCTGGAAATCCCTTGTAGTTTATCATTTTTACAAACCAGGATTTTCATATAGCTTTTTCACTTAGGTGAGGTATGTTAAATCTGTTTTCTCATATAATGGTTGAATGTATGCTTAATTTTGTGAATAATGGACTTGGTAGCTGCACCTGATGGTACAGAACTATATAACCTTTGTTAATCGGGAAGAGACAGTAGGATCAGAAGTTCATGGCCAGCTTCTACAATTTAATGAGATGTTGTCTCAAAAAATTAAAACTGGGACTAAATTAAATTAAAATCACTCAGTGATAGAGCACTTGCCTAGAATGTTTGAGCTAGGTTCAGTCCTTAATAGCATGAAAAGAAAATCAGAGAGAGAAAGAGGGAGAGAGAGGGAGAGATCATAAAAGAGGGAGCCATTATATGTTTCAAGAGAAAACTCGACTCTAGAGAAACATCCAGAGACCTACAAGACTGACCCCAACATTTTGAGCAACAGTGGAAAGGCTATCATAAATGCCCTTCCCCGATAATGAGATTGATGACTAACTTATCCACCATCATAGAACCCTCATCTAGTAGCTGAAGGTAACAGAAACAGACACCCACAGCTAAACATTGAGCTGAACTGGAATACAGATGCAGAGAGGGAGGACAAGATTAGGCTACAGAAATCCACAGAGACAGCTGACCGGAACAAGGAGGAACTAATGGGTCTCCAGACTGATAGCTGGGAAACTAGCATTGGACAGACTCAGACCCCCTGAACATGGGTCTTAGCTAGAAGGCCTGGGCAGTCTAAGGGACCTTTGACAGTGGAACCAGGATGTATCCCTGGTGCACAAAAAGACTTTGGGAGCTAAGGGATACTCCCTTAGCCTAGAGTCAGGAGGGAAGGCCTGATCCCTATTCCAAATGACTTGACAGATTTAGATGACCCCTCCTGGAAGGCATTGCCCTACATGTGGATTGTGGGGGGGGGGGATGGGATGGGAGGGGGTATGGGAGGATGGAAGAGAGGGAGGGATGGAGGGAAGGAGAGGGAACTTGGATCGCTATGTAAAATAAGAAAAATAAATAAATAAATAAAAAAGAAAGAAGGGGGAGGGGGGACAAAACCCAAGACCAAAACCTGAAAGAGAGAAATGGACTTAGTGGTGTGTGGCTTTATTTTTCAGATTGCTCCGCTTTACATACGGTCCTTCATTTCCTCCTTTTAAAGTTCCCGATGAAGATGCCAATCTGATCCCTCCAGAAATGGACAATGAGTGTGTTGCACAAACATGGTTTCGATTTTTGCACATGTTAAGGTATTGTCATGTTATTTCATGTGTTCTTTACCCAATAAGTGTCTTAGACAAGAGCCATACTGCTCTGTTGGAATGCATCATGTGAATGCTAAATACAGTCCGCTGGATGGAGCCAAACTGGACAGTAGTGCATGTCTGCATGCTGATACATGTCTGCATTGTGCATCTCCTGCTGTCCCCATTCTTGTGTGGTTAGGTTGCCCTTGCTCTCTTTGAACCCTCTCTAGAAGCTTGTTCTCTGGCCTGTTGTTCATCTTAGATGATGATTTCTCTCCTAGGATTATGTCATGTTCTTTGGGAATTTCACCATGCCGTGTTCCTTTCTTTGTCAGTACTGGTTCGTTAGTCTTGATCTCAGTGCCCTTCTCTAGTAGCCTCATTTAAAATTTCTCTGAAAAATAGACCTTACATTTTACAGAAGAGTAAATCTCCCTCCCCTCCTGCTATTTCTTTTTAAAGTGACATTTGTTTAGTTTGTGTTTATATTAAGATGTAAGTGTGGGTGCAGGTACATGTGTGGCACATATATGAGGCCCCAAAGCCAACCTTGTAAAGTTGGTCTTCTTCTACTTTACATGGGTTCTGTGAGTTGATCTCAGGCCATCATGCTTGCATCATCCAATGAGTGGCAAGTGCTTTAGCCCACAAACATCTCATTGGCTCAATAAAATAAAACTTTTAGAAAGAGAACAGAGGAGGAAAAGGAAAGTATAAGATAGCATAGACCCTATCAAATACAAGAACTGTGGTATATCTAGGATCCACTTTTAAATCTTCCTTTAAAAATATTTTTATTTATGTGTTTGTATATGTATTTCTGTGTACGAGTGTATGCTGTGTATTTGGGTACCCTTAAGTAGCAAAAGAAAGAATCACATCCCTAGAACTGGAGTTAAAGAAGATTGTGAGTCATGACGTGGATGCTGGTAACTAAACTAGGGTCCTCTGGAATAGCAGTATGTACTCCTGACCATTGAGCCATCTCTCCAGCCTCTTTTTTAAACATTTTGTTTATTTGGTGCTAGGAATTGAACTTGACTTTGCACATGCTAAGTATGTAGTCTACCACTTAGATATACTTCCCTCCTTTATTTTTTTGAGACAGGGCCTTGCTGTGTAGCTCAGGCTGGCCTGGCCTTGAACTTACAATCCTTACCTTAGCTTTCTGAGTACTGGGATTGAGGCACCATGCTTAGTTTCCCTGCAGTCCCCCTTTTAAGAATTTTACATAGCTAACAGAAGTATTTTATTCACAAAATTTGCATATTTCTTACATCGTTGCTGCTAAGATAGTGGGAAGCTAGCCTTTTTTGTGTTGCTATATCCTTATATGAGGCAGGAGCATTACAAGTTTGAAGCCAGTATGGGCTATGTAGTGGGTTTCACACTAGTCCAACACTTCATTGTGAGACCCTGTTCCAAAAAAGTTTTCTTTTAACTAAAAAAATGTTGTATAATATTTTCTAATTTCATATTCGTAATTGATCTGTTAGGTTTTGTCTTTGTTCTTGGGGTAACACTGATGTTTTTGTCAGGGTTTGTTTTCTTATAAATAATAAAAGCTTGGATAAGCACATGTACACACACACACACACACACACAACATATGCACGCACGCATGCATGCACGCACTGGTGTGAGGGAGGTTACTATGAATCTATGGAAAGCCCTATTAGGCTCTTAAGAAATAGCTGGGGAAAGGTCAAGCTTTTAGTTTTATTCTTGAATCAAGAAGACTCAGACTTCCCTTTCTCAGCTTTCGTACTTCTATTTTATTTGTTATTTATTTTTGGGGACAGGGATTCTCTGTGTAGCTTTGTAGACCAGGCTGGCCTTGAACTCACAGAGCTCCACCTGCCTCTCCCTTCCAAGTGCTGGGACTAAAGCTGTGTGCCATCACTGCCTGGCTTCTTCTCTTTTATGTACATATTATCTCTGGCATACTGTTTCCCCTGTTTCTGGTTTTCTCTGCCTTTCAGGAGTGTGTGACTCATTGGTATTAGTGGCTGTAACACTATGTGGCTCCTGTTCTAGCTCTTTTAGTTACTAGGACATTCCCTTTGCTCAGACTCTCAAAAGAGATGCTTTAGGCAGGCAGTGGTGGCATGCCTTTCATTCCAGCACTCAGGAGGCAGAGGCAGAGAGTTTGGCAGAGAGAGGCAGAGAGGCAGGTAGTTCTCTGTGAATTTGACGCCAGCCTGGTTTATAGAGGGAGTTCCAGAACAGCTGGGGCAACACAGAAAAACCCTGTCTCGAAAAGCAGGCAAACAAAAAAGGCCCCAAACCACCCCATCCACTGAAAAAAAGAAATATAGATTAGGCCAAATTCCTTTTGTTAATTAGGCTAAAATGATGGTGGGTTTCTTACAGACCTTTGGATGGACTGACTCCTTTGGATAAGTTCTATGTCTTTGTTTAAGTGAGCTGTGGATGACTTAAGAGGATCACTCAGGAGGGACCACTTTGTCCATTGGCAGATTTCCTGGGAAGAGAGCTGAAAGCTGTTGTTTTGTTACACTTCTAGGATAAAGCTGGAGAAGGGGGGAGGGTGCCCCGTTGGGGGGGTTCTCAAGGGAAGGACCACATGGGAGAGCATAGCAGGTTCCATAGCAGGAGAGGGTGATCAAGGTGGAGGAAATAACATGCCAGGCAGAAGGGGGAATGAGGAGGAAGAGAAAAGAGACATAGAGACACGGGGAACAAAAGAGAAGAGAGGGAGAGGTGAGGAGTAAAGGGCAAAAGAGAGATTGTAAGTGGGCGGGGTCTGTCTTTTGAAGGGGTCCTTTACACCTGCCAGCAGACTAGTACTCATGGAACCCTGGGCTGACCAGAGTACTGCCTGAGTGCATTCTGCCAGGTGATAGGGGCAGGCCAGCGTAATGCCTGAATCCTTACAAAAGCCATGTGGAATACAAATATAATCTTGTTCAGTATGGTAACTTCATCTTTTTCTAGGAAAACAACTAGATTCCCATTGATTTTACTAGTGTTATTCTCGCTTGCACTTGTTGGTATGTCCAAACATACAGACAGATATTTATATTAAAATTTTCTTAATTTTGACTTTAGTTTTCTATTATTTAGTTCCAAACATTAGAAAAAAAAATATTCATTCTTTCTCTTCCTTCTCTCCTTCCCTCCCTCCTTCTATCCGTCCCTTCCACTTTCTTTCTTTTCTTGTTTCTTCTTAGACAGGGTTCCTCTGTGTTATGTCTGAGCTGTCCTGGAATTCTCTTTGTAGACCAGGCAGGGCTTGAACTCACAGGGATCATCCATCTGCTTCCTGAGTACTGAGATTAAAGGCGTGCACCACCACTGACCATCAGAAAAAATATTCTAAAACATTAAAACTTTCTTGTCTTACTTTGATTCTCATTCTATGAAGAAAGTAGGTTCTTATTTTAAAATAAATAAAAGAACAGGCTGCTCATGATGGCTCATACCTTTAAACCGAGCACTTGGGAGGAAGAAGCAGGAAGGCAGAGGTTGGGCAGCAGAGTTGAAGGCCAGCATGGTCTGTATAGACAGCTTTGGGCCAAGCAGGGCTACATAATGAGACCCTGTCTCAACAAAAAGAAAAACGTTGTATTAAATTCTCAAAGAATTAATAAAAATTATTTAAAAAGCAAATGAACAAACCTGCAAGCCTATGAAGAAGCATTCATGTTTGAGTCCCTAGCTCATCAAATACAGTCACTTTCTTCTTCACATCAAAGAAACGGGCACAAATAGTCCGCTTCTTTTTTTCTTGTTGCTTTGTTTCGTTTTTTTTGTTTGTTCGTGGCTGTCTTGGAATTAACTCATTGTATAGACCAGGCTGGCCTCAAACTCAGAGATCTGCCCTCTTTTGCATCCCAAGTAATGGAATTAAAGTTGTGTGTCACCATGTCTGGGCAATAGTCCTAGTTCTTAAATTGGATTGCATGCATTTTTATTGCTATAGACATTTCTAAGTGTGTAATGAATTCTTTCTCCTTTTTAATAGTAATCCTGTGGACCTAAGTAACCCAGCCATTATAAGCTCAACCCCCAAGTTTCAGGAACAGTTCTTGAGTGTAAGCGGGATGCCGCAGGAGCTGAGCCAGTACCCCTGCCTTAAACATCTGCCTCAGATATTCTTTCGTGCCATGCGTGGAATCAGCTGTCTGGTGGATGCATTCTTAGGTGAATTTTGTGTATATTTCTTAGATGTTTGAGAGCTGTGTGTAGATACTCTACAGTTTAATGCTGGAAGCTCTTAGGAAAACCCAGAGGAAGAGGAACAAACTTCATGACAAATAATGATCTAGGGAAAATTATTTTTAGCAAATTGCGATAGCTAGAATGCTACTGTGTTTATGTAAATAAAAAAAAATACCATGAAAAAGACAGTAACCTAGTAGGTAAAAAGCACAAATAATTTGCAAAATATTGTAAATTGCAAAACTCATTCCACGAGTTACTTACAAAAATAGTTTAAAATGCTCTGGTGACTGTTTTCATAGATATTGGTAAACAAACCTTGTGAACTTTTTCATAGGGAAGATACACAAAAACTGTCCTTTTTTTTTTTTTTTTTTTCTTGGTTTTTCAAGATAGGATTTCTCTGTGTAGCCTTGGCTGTCCTAGAACTCACTCTGTAGACCAGGCTGTCCTGGAACTCACAGAGATGATCCACCTGCCTCTGCCTTCCCAGTGCTGGGATTAAAGGTGTGTTCCATCATCACCCTGTGAGTGGTGTGTATTGTTCTTATTTGCCAGTTTTTAAATAATAAAGTTTATTAAAATTTTTTAAAATAGAAAGAAACATAGTTAACACTTTTTCTGATTAGATTGCTGCCACATGACAGCCTAAGTTTTCTGTGATTAACACACAAGTTTTTTTCCACATATGTGAAGTAGGCCAGGCAAAATGCTTGCTGTAATTTTGTCACTTTCAGGGATCAAGGCCCTTCTGTTTGGTGGGTGTCCATTTTGTTGTGCATGTCCTGATGGACTTTCATGCATGAGGAGCCCAGCAGTATACTTTAGGAGTCAGGAAGGACAGGGAAGCCTGCTTGTCTTATGAACCTCCTGGGAGACTTGTCTAGTAGTTGCCTACTTCTCTAAGCTTAAACATGGCCACACCTATTGTAAGGGAAGCTTAAGAGGGTAGTCAAGTCATTCCCTGTTCAACTGAAAGAGGGTTCTGTTACTCACAAGAAAGAGTATGTTGATCTTGGGGGGAAGCTCCATTTTTCTTAAAAACTTTTTTTTTTGGTAGGCATTTCTCGACCAAGATCAGACAGTGCTCCTCCAACACCCGTGAACAGATTAAGTATGCCTCAGAGCACTGCTGTGAATACCACACCACCACATAACCGGAGGCATAGGGCTGTTACTGTGAATAAGACCACCATGAAGACAAGTGCAGTAAGATCATTCACCATCATTGTTTTGCTTTACGAAGGTTAACTTTTATAAGTTCTGAAACTTCCTCCAACTTTTCATGACTGTAGACGCTTACTTGTGTTCTTCTGCTAGGCTACTACTGTTCACACCTCGAAAGTCCAGCACCAGGCATCCTCTACTTCTCCTCTGTCAAGTCCAAATCAGACTAGTTCAGAGCCCAGGCCACTGCCTGCCCCTCGGAGACCAAAGGTTAACAGCATCTTGAATCTCTTTGGATCATGGTTATTCGATGCAGCATTTGTTCACTGCAAACTTCATAATGGGATAAACAGAGACAGCAGCATGACTGGTAAATATGCCCAGAAACATGTAGTCATTATTCCCTTTCTGTTTCTTTCTCTTTAGTCTTTCCTACCTGCAAGATTAATACAGCTCTTGAAAATTACCCTGTTTCTCACCAAGCAATATGCTGTGCTTAACCCCTTCCAGCTGAACCAATAGAAACTTGTGAAGTATTCCTATCTGTCCTTTTTATGTATACTTTATGAAGTTTGAACCTTTGTTTGGTTTTATTAGGGACTCTTCAGGTTAGCCAGTTTTTGCTGAATCAGATTCCTTCTTGTAGGTGACCTGGAAATTCCCTTCATGTCAGCCAGGATAATAATAGATATATGAATAATTAAAGATTTTGCGTGAAAGTTTACTCATTGAAATGTTTTCTTAGATCTTTCACGGCCATTTAATCATCATTACATGTAAATATCAAGAATTTTCTATTTTCTTAATAAATCAATCCAGTTTCTTCATTAGATTTTACTATAGAATGAAGTTGTCTAAATGAAATTGGATTTATTTTGTTAACTTACTACTATGCTTGGAACTAGTGCCAGATGTATGGGTAAGGCAGGGCAGAATGTTTGGAATGGTTATCATCTGTCTTGCACAGTTGAATAATAATAATGGCTGGCATTTACTGAGCTGCTACTGTTAGTGTGTTGCAGGCCTCATGTTTATACATTAATGAGTGTATTAGTTGTTTTCTAAAAAATACTTTTCTACAGGGGTTGGAGACAGATTGAGGTAAAAAGATTTTTTCTGATAGTATTATTCTCCAGTTGAATTCAGGGATAAAATTAAGTGTTCATAAGGGTTTTTGCTTTTTCTCAGAAACTCATTCACAGCTAGGTTTATGTTTGTGAATTTTGTAAGTTGATTATTTTGGATGTTCTTAGAATCTTGTAAATAATTTAGGAAAGTTGTAAGTATGAGGTTGGTATGGGATATGAGGTGCATGAGTGAGTTAGAGATTCTTTTGCTTGCTTTATTTTGTTCAAGTTCAGGCAGTTTATATTTTGCCATTTCCACATTATGGTTTATTCATGAGCTCGATTAATTGAAAAGTTTTAAAAAACATTCATGGGTATATTTTCATTATGTTATGTGCTATATATTTTGAAGTTTCTGGACTGTGTTTATTAATTTATATAGTACTGTCCTGAGTGAGTCAGCCTTTAATTTTTTTGATAAGGTGTATTTCTTACAACGTAACCTAACTGTTGAGTATGGAGCTATTGGCTTTGCAATTGCTGAGTCTAGCCTGACTTAATCTGCTGCTTTTTGGTAGGCTTGTATAATGAGTATCTAGACCTATCTCTGGGGAGTTTGTAACAGCTTTGATAGCTCACTGCACTAGAAGAATTCAAATGATAAGTGAGCAACATCTCACTTTCCCTTCTTAACTTTCTGCCTGGTGGAGGAAGGAGAGACACTCCTCCTGTCTATGTCCAGAGATGCTAAAGGCTGTCACATTATCCAGGAGATTTGAGGTGTCCAAATAGTTAAAGTGAACTTAGAGTGCTCTTGAGTGCCAGTCTGGAAGCCTTGGATGGGAGGTGGGGGGATTGGAGTATCGTGGGTTTTCTAAGTACTGGCTGCCATCAAGGAATTCTGCCATGCAGTTCACCTTTAACTCAAGTATTTGCTTCTTTCAACTTGTTAGCTTTCAGTTTACCTGATGCACTGTGCTTTGTAAAAGTAACATTGAGCTGGGAAGGGTTAATGAACTAAAAATTTTGATGCACGATATGGGCAGTTCAAAACCTCAATTCTTTGTAGCTATGTAATTTTCTTTGTTCATTGTTTTGCATGATACAGAATCATAATTTTGGACCTGAATGCACAATTTCCTATGTTTTTGAACTAGCTTGTGGTATCATAAACTTTAAATCTAACTTTGAAAAAGCTAAAAAGCTTCTTAATTTATTGTAAAATTTCACCATCTTTAAAGTATTTTATAATTACTGCTGTCCTTTGATTTGTTTCCATTTATTTCTATTATCTTGCAGCATCTTTTATCCAAATTCTTCTTTCTTATAAATCTTGTAAGTAGGAACCAGAAGCTTCTCCTTAATTGCAGTCATGTTTTTATTTTTTCCATAATTCCATTAAAATTTTTGATTGTCATTGTCTATTGTAGTTATTGCACTTGGGAAGGAAAATATTTTTTCTGTGTTTTGAATGGGGAAGATTGTTGGCAAAAGCAAATTAATCTGCCTGAATCAATCCCATTATTTCTGTATACTAGTCTGGTCATGTCATGAATTCCAGGACTTTGCACTAACTGTGTTTTGGCTTTTTTCTTTTCTTTTTCTTTCTTTTTTTTAAGCTTTAAGCTTATTTTTATACAGATTTAGTGTTTGATTTGTATGCATTCTGCATGTAGTGTTTTCCAAATGTATTATTGCTGGATAGCTTATTCAGGACTAAAATGGCTCATGGGAAGTTGCATAAAGATTTATGCTTGACTCTGCATTTATTAAGCCTCCTATCATTACAAAACAATTTAAACATTTTATGTAGAGTAATAAAAGATTTCAGAGTGATCTGTGTGCTATGAAATCTTTTGTTAAAAGCAACTTTCGAAGGGCTTCTGTTTTGGTAACAGTGAATGACCATGATAATCCTCCTTACCAACCCAGTTTTCTGATTTATCAACCTCAAGTTTGCTGCTGTCTGTGGTTGTTAAAATTCATTCTCATTTGCTTGGTTCGGCAGCTCTTTGGTGTGTGTTTTGCAGCTGGGTGGGTGGTGGGAATGCCCTCTCTTCCTCCCTTGCTCAGTTCTCATTCTTTCCCTGTCATATTCAAACTAAGAGTTGCCCTCTTAATTACTTTGTCCATTTGAGTTAACTGTTTAAATTGTAATTGCTACTCTTCTTAATGGTTAAGCATCATTCTATAGAAGGAGGAAAAAAAAAAAAAACCCAAAATAATAGAAAAGGCAAATTCTGTATATATCTGTATGCAGATGTATACAAATGTAGTCTTCTGACTGGAAATTCAAAGAAAAAAATAATTTTTGTAGAATCTGTTAAGTTGACAAAGCGATTGTAAATTGTTACCCATTTCAAAGAAGATATCAGAGAGCCCTTTTAAAAATATAAATTAAGACATAGTTGCTAAACAAAAGCATTATTGGAATTTATTGAAGTAGTTATGTAATGACACCAGTATTTGATCTTTGTGTCCAGGGTCCCATGAGCCTATTTGGCATTTTGACAAAAGTAATAAAATGCTCCTTTTCTCTCCCCAGCCATTGCAACACAAGCTAGCATGGAGTTTCGGCGAAAAGGGTCCCAAATGTCCACAGACACCATGGTTTCCAATCCCGTGTTTGATGCAAGTGAATTTCCTGATAACTATGAAGCAGGAAGAGCTGAGGCTTGTGGGACATTATGTAGAATTTTTTGTAGCAAGAAGACTGGAGAAGAGATTCTGCCAGCTTATTTATCCAGGTTTTAGAATTTTTTGTTTATTTTTGCATTTATATTATTTGATGGTGAAACACTTTTGTGGCATGGCTTGGTAGGCTAAATCAATAAGCTATTGTTGGTCTGAATGCCTACTGGTATCTTAATTTAATTGAAACTTGATTGAATTCTTCCATCTTACCTGCCTCATCAGATTTGATAAAAACTTCCAAGGTTCTATTCTAGAGCTATTATTTATTCTATCATTTATAAATTCTGGAGAGATTTAGAAATACCACAATAGTTTGTTAATAGATTTTTGGCACAACATTAGGTTCTATATACAGTCCAGAAATAAGCCAGCTGTGAATCTTTAAGGAGTTTAGTGACTGTGGTGAATAGGTTGATGCAAAAATAACAGTGATTCAGTAGGAGCCAGAAATTGGCAGGAGAGAGACACAGACAAATGGTTTTGAATGTTTGGAGGAAGTAGCACTCATTCTTAGCCTAGAGGGTTCAATAAAGAGTTCTGGCATATTGTTAGATGTTTGTGCTACATTTAGAAAGGATGGGTATTGTTTAGACTGTTGGGAGGTTGGGTAGGGTTATCCTTTCCAAATCTGTGGCTTCCATCATCTGTGAGTGGCTCTGCCATCAGTTTAGCTGCTCAGTCCAGAACCTAGCCATCATTGGCCTCTGCTTCCTCTATCTTGACTTGATTATTCAACTCCTGCCTTGTAGCATTTGACTCTCTTATTTCTCTCTGAACTCTGTTCTCACCATGCCACTTCAGACTTTGTTATTCTTCCTGAATTTATAATTTTCGATTCTGCTTTGCTCTTCTCCACTACTTGTTTAACGAGGCTGTTGAAGTCAGGTTACAGTCAAGTAGAACATTGAGATTCCTATACTGCTAGGTGCTCAGGAAACATTAGGTCAATTAACTCCCAGCAAAGGGAACCAAGTATGAAACATAAGGCATAGAAAAACATGATGTGTACTGGTCAGAACAACCTTAACCATGGGCTCTTATCTTTGTATCTGGTTTAAGACAGTGAATAAGTTACAAGACACTAGTGGTACTTGACAAAGTCTAAGGTCAAGCAGTACAGTGAGGGATATAAAAAGTAAGCAACCAGGGACTGGAAAGTGTTCGGGGACCAGAACAACGCTCCTGCTTTCTGTGCCGCTTGTCTCCTAAAACTGCTTCATTCTTCTCTATAGATCGTTTTTCTTACACTGCAGTGTGCTTCTAAGTTCCTAGTTGTCATAGCCTTGGTCTAGAAGACCAGTGAGGTCAGTTAACATCTCTGAAATAATGTGAGATTCGTGGGAAAGAAGCGCTGATTAATTAGGTGTCTGTCTCTGCTCTAGCTTTGTATAGCTGTGAGAGAAGGTCTTATAGGATGTTGGAGTTTACTCCTCATGAGGATGACCCATTTCTCTGAGGGAGACCTTGAACTAGAGAGATATCCCAAATTATATCAATAGAAGTAAGGGAGAAAGCTATGAACATGAACTTTCTGTCCAGTCCAGGAGACTGGGTGAGGGGGCCATGGAACAAACTCAGTATGTTATTGAGAGTACAAATGATGTATTTAAGTTTTACTGTTTCATTTCACGGGCATGTGGAATATTCAAGAACTGCATATTAAGTGCCTGTTTTTAGTTAAGTTCTATGCACAGAAGATAGATTGAAATAAGTTGAACAGGTAGCAGTGAATGAGAAGATTGTTTCCAAAGAGTTTTACAGAGAAGAAAGAAGTGTCTAGTGGTAAGAAGAATACAGCAGTGTTGTTGCTCTTGAATAGCAGGTGCCTGAATGCTCAGTGGCTCGCTTGGAGGTTGTAGAAAAAGGAAGATACTTCAGGTAGATTCCTCAAAAGACCCTTTGCACAATTTTTATGTTATGATGAATGCAGAGTTTAGTGGGGTTTCTTTGTCTCCTAACCCCTCAGAAGCAGTAGAGGAATAAAAAGATACAAACTCACCTGTTTCCTAGGACTGTGACTACTACAAAAATGTATTGCTTTAGAATTCAATTAATGATTCCAGTAATTTAATTATAAGTACCCAGACATTTGTTTTGTTATGGGTACCTCAACCTGTGATTTGATTTACAAAAATTTAAAACAGTATAGTAGATATGCATCTTAGGATTCTTAATTGTTAAATCCTAGTAGTACCTTTAAAGTCTGTAAACTAGAGTGAAGAGTGGACAAAGGCTCTTCAGATAACTATGTAGAAAATATTGATAATTCTGGAAACATTTGACTAGCAGTTTGTTTAAAATTTTTTTCTTGCTTTCCTAGATTTTACATGCTTTTAATTCAAGGTTTGCAGATAAATGATTATGTGTGCCATCCTGTCTTGGCCAGCGTTATTCTAAACTCCCCTCCTTTGTTCTGCTGTGACTTGAAAGGGATTGATGTTGTGGTTCCTTACTTTATTTCAGCTCTTGAAACCATTTTGCCTGACAGGTAAGCTGCCATTTTGTACTACTGTGTCTAGTTTGGCTTAGTCTATTTTGCTACTTCCTCTTGTTTGCTAATTTATCCTATCTAGTTGTTTCCACAGTCCAGTGGGACCCAGGCTACATTAAATTGAGTAAAGAGCATCCAAACCCTCAGTCCCTGAATGCCTTCAGTTCTGATATGTCCATGGGCTTTCCTGGATCCTTTCTGGGTTGGTCTAGATGGGTCAGAAAAAACCCAGCCCGAGGTCTTACTGTTATAATGTAAGGCCTTACATTTTCAGTCAACTTCTAATGTAATTCAGTAATAATGTAACATAGAAGTTCTCATATGTACAAGTAATAGTATAGCATAGAGGTTCTTGTATATACAAGTAATAGTGTAACTTAGAAGTTCTCATATATACAATGCTTGGGTTGTAGGGAATAATAGCAATATTATATATTTGGCAGTAGGTAAAAATACTCTAACTGAAAAATACTAATAGCTTTTTATTTCTTGGCAGAGAACTCTCAAAATTCAAAAGCTATGTAAATCCAACAGAATTGAGAAGATCCTCCATTAATATCCTGCTTTCTTTGTTGCCCCTCCCTCATCATTTTGGCACAGTCAGATCTGAGGTAATGTTTCTTTAAATATTACACTCCCCCACTTTTTTTGTTTGATGATGCAAGGTCTTGCTAGGTAGCCCAGTTTGGTTGTAAACTTGAAACCCTTCTGTCTTAGCATCTTGCTGTTACGAGCACTTTTCTACCAGTCTGGTCCCAGAGCCACATCAGTCCCAAAATAACACACAGAGACTCTATTAATTATAAAGCTGTTGGCCAATGGCTAGAGCTTCTTACTGGCTAGCTCTGTCTTAAATATTAACCCATTTCTATCAATCTAAGTGTTTCCAAATGGTCTTACTGGAGAAAGGGTCCTGGACCTCTTCTCTTGCACCCTACATCTTGACTCCTCTCTACTACATCTACCAGAATCCTCCTTGTCTCTTAGTCCCACCTGTCTTGCTTTCCTATAGGCTAACAGTGCTTTATTCATTAACCAATAAGAGAAACATATTTACAGAATGACAACTCCCATCATCTCCTCTTTTCTATCTAAAATAAAAAGAAAGGTTTAACTTTAACATAATAAAATATATAACAAAACAGTTATCAAATAAGAACTATAGTTAACAAAATTTAGTTCATTAACATTTAGCAAGATTTAAAGAAAATATTCCATCATTTATCCTATTTTTGTGACTCTAAAGCCTTATATATAACTTATCTTTAACCCTAACTAAGGAAAATTATAACCATAACTATCTGTCTTCAACTCCATCAAAGACCACAGAAGGATAATATATAAACTCTAGAAATGACAGAGACATCTCGCTTCCTGGACAGTTATTTAAAGCTCTTCCACCTTCAGCCCATAGGCCACAGTGTATCTGGCAGACTTCTCAGCAAAGTAGGAAATTTCAAACTGTCCCACCTGTGTTGACAGTTTGTCAGTCACTTTTGTGTGTGTGCGTGTGCGTGCGTGCGTGCGTGCGTGCGTGCGTGTGTGTGTGTGTGTGTGTCCTGTAGAATGTCTGGCAGACTCTTCTATGAAGCAGGAACCCTGTAGCACTGTCCATCTTGTTTTAACAGTCACTTTTCTATGGGTTTAAATAGCATAAAGTCAAACAGTCCAGACAAAAGTAGTATCTTGCTCAAATGGCTAGTCTTGCCATATTGGAAGCAAACTTAATAATGAGTTTCTTCGATGTCCATCTTCCTTTCTGACGCAGGTGCTGTTTTCAGGAGCAGTTATGTCTCACTGTCAAGAAAAACCCTAAACCATTTTAAATGCCATATTCTGTAGGTCTTTGAAAGGTTTGAAGAATGCCTATCCAATTTTAATATATCTCTATATATCTGGAAAACCTAACCAATCTAACTATAAGCTTTGACTATCATAGGTGACTATCTACAGTCTGTACTTAATTATACATTACATTTTAAAATGAGCTATATAAATAAGGGGAGAAACATATCACAAAATTGACCTTAAATTTGTATCAGTAAGTGAAAATCTATTTAAAAATCTTTAAAAAGAGATTGGTTGTGATCATTAACCATTTATAACCAACCCCATTTAAATTAAAACAAACATTTGTAGTCAATCTTTGGGAATTTGGGTGTCATTCTTTCCAAACTGCTTCCTGCTGGTTGGGAACCCTGTAATAACATGGGAATCCTAAGAAGATGCAGAAATCCTATCTGTAGTCTGTAAGGCTGCCTTATCTCAGCTGTTTTGAATGTTGGGTCCCTGGGGCACTGTTTCTGCCATCTTGCTTGACCAAACCATGTTAGTCTGGAAGGAATCCACAGCTTTTCATTTTTATGTGGAAACAAAATAGAATTTCTTTTCCCCAGTAACCTCTCCTTAGACTTAAATTTTGAAGTCAAGGCATTTTTAAAATATATGTTGGATTAAGTTAGTAGCATTAATAATCAAGTGTTTTAGCAATTGTTGTTTCTTCCTTAGCAATTGAGCAATTTAAAGACAACACAATAACATACAGTATCCAGACTCTTTGTGTGCTTTTCATCTTTACATGGCTTTACTATTAACATTTTTGTATGCTAATTTAAGTCAAATTGAGATTTTTAACAAATTGGAACAGGGGCTTTTGAAAAGTGTTTTTTTAGCCCTGCATACTCACACAATTCTTTAATCCCAGCACTTGGAAGTAGAGGCAGATAGGGAAGTTTGAGGTCATCCTGGGCTACACAGTGAGACCCTGTCTCAACATTAAATAACAATTATTTTAAACTACACATTTCTAATGAATTAATACAATATTTCTAATAGATTAATGAAGTTTTTCTGGTTTAGGTATTTCTTCTTTTGGAAGTACCAACATGCCTTGGCTTACTATTCATGTGTTTATAGACTAATGACATCTGATTAGTCTATTCGACACCTGTCGAATAGGAGCTACCTACAAGAAGACTAGAAGTCTGGATCATTAGCCTCCTGTTCTCCTTCTGTCCTTTCTTGCTTCTAAATGGGCATCATGTACAGTAGCTGATGTGTTTTTTTTTTTTTTTTTCCTCCAGGTGGTCCTAGAAGGAAAGTTTAGTAATGATGACAGCTCTTCTTATGATAAACCAATAACTTTTCTGTCCCTGAAGTTGAGACTTGTGAATATACTAATAGGTGCCTTGCAAACAGAAACGGACCCTAACAACACCCAAATGATACTAGGTTTGTGTTCAGAGAGTCTTTTCTTTGTTTGTTTTTGGTAAGTGAAACTCAGGTACTAATGACTGCAGGCATGCTGGGAAGACAGGCGAGAGGAACCTAAGCCGGATACAGCTCTTATTATTCTGACCAGAAGTAGAGTTTTTCTGTTTTTGTATTTTGCTTTTTATAGAAAAAGATTTAAGGTGAGCTGGCAAGATTGCTCAGTGGTTAAAGATGCTTGCCATCAAGTCTTAGAGACTTGAGTTTGATCCCAGGTCCCACAAGGTGAAAGGAAAAAACTAGTTCTTTTTAGTTGTCCTTTGACTTCCACACAATGCCATGGTATGTGCAGAGCCCCCCCCCCAATAAATACATAAATAAATACATAAATGTAGTAAATAATTGAAAGAGTTAGATGAGATGAGGCAAGGAAAGCACTTGGTTGTCTTGTTTATGCTCTCCCTGCTGCCTTCCTTTGTCCTAGCTTTCTTCCCTCTCTTCTGTTTTGCCTTTCAGTAGTTGGGGTGAGCGCTTAGGAAGTCTGGTATGTGAAGTAGTGAGAAGGTGGACTCCGTAGTGAATGGTAAATTATTTACTTTGACAAGGAGCTGACTTGGAACAGGTTTTTCATGTTAGTGTTGAGATTATAGAAGCAGAAAAAGGTCAAGAAGGAAATCTGGAAGCTAGAGAATTGAGCCATGGGCTGAAGGGATAGCTCAGCCGTTAAAGGCTAGGCTCACAACCATAAATATAAGAGAATTGGGCCATTTAAAGTTTATACTTGGAAATTGTATACAAATTTTACATGCTAGAAAAATATTTTAAACCAAAGAGAGAGAAAAAAATAATGTTCACTTGGATGGCATTGTCAAAAATAAAGGAATATAAAAAGTTTAGGCCAGTATGTTTGGGGGAGGGGAATGCTTTGGATTTGGGCAGCAAAATATCTTATTGGTCTTGCAAAATTGATGACCTGAGTTTCATTCCTGGAAGGAGAGACCTGATTTCTGAAAGTTGTTTTCTAACATCTACATATACTATGGCATGCATATGTGTGCAAATTCCCCCCTCCCATACCCCAAATAAAAATAAAATAAAATCTTTGCAGGCATATCAGAATTTGGGGATTTCTAAAGCATTATCCTTTTTTTTTTTTTTTTTTTAAGCCATCAATATGTTTATTCATAGTCTTCAGAGAATTCAGGAATGCTTTACCAAAATTTCTCCTTTCTTTTTTTAGAGGAAGGGGAGGAGACATAGGGTCTTGTATAGTCCAAGTGGCTTCAGCAGATAGCAGCCCTCCTGTCTCAGGCCTCCAAGTGCTAGGGTTATATGTATGACCACTTCTAGCTCCAAATCATATCCTCTTTGCTCTGACTGAGCCATTGTATTGTAATTATATGTCATGTAAACTGTTTTATTTTGCTATTTCAGGAGCTATGTTAAATATTGTTCAGGATTCTGCACTTTTAGAAGCCATTGGTTGTCAAATGGAGATGGTAAGAAGCTTAGATAATCTGCCATAGACTATCTGCTTCTGATTTTATGTAAATCATACTCAACAGTGCTGGAATTGAATCTAGGCCTCACACATGCTTACCAAGCTGTCTACCACTGAGCTATGTCCTTAATCCATTGTTTTGTTTTGTTTTGTTTTTTCTTAAATTTTAATTCTTTGTTCTGTTTTGTTTTTAGAGATAGGGTTTCTCTATGTAGCATTGAAGCCTGTCCCAGAACTCACTCTGTAGACCAGACTGGCCTGGAACTCACAGAGATCCACCTGCCTCTGCCTCCTGAGTGCTGGTATCAAAGGAGTATGCCACCACTGCTCAGCTTGTTTTTATTTCTTTGAGGCCCAGGCAAGTCTCAAACTGTGTCTATAGCTGAAGATGATCATAAACTCCTGGTCCTCCTGTCTCCACAGGTGTGCACCACATGTGGTTTTTTTAAAAGGCATTTTGTTTATAAATTTCAGCTCATAGACTCAGAAGGAGCCTATCTAAAATATCACACATTTTTGAGATTTCTGCTTGTTCATCAGGTCCTTGGGAAATCCTGCATGAGAGAAACCCAGCTGGATTGTTTTGTCTGAATACTCTAGAAAAGACCTTCCTAGTTCCTACTATCCCTAACAGATATAGGACTACCTGTCAGGACTGCTATCTTTTTTGTAGTTCCTGTGGACAAAAGTGTACAGTTGCCCAAATCACTAATGACTCAGAGTAACTAGCTAGTAAACAGTAGTGTATGTGAAGGGCTCTGAGGTGACTCTTTAAAAAGCAGAATGGGAGACCCTAGTATGGATGCCTGTAGTTATCAAACCCTGTATGCCCTTTTAAGAGATGGCATCAGAGCAACAATACCGGTGATTCTGACCCCTTGTGCTAGTTAGCCTGTTAATGTTTGCATTATTGGAAATGAACCTACAGCCTCATGCATGTGAAGCAAGTGCTATACTCTTGAGCCATGGCCCCAAATCTTAACAGTTTTTGCTTTCCAAGACAGGGTTTCTCTGTGTAGCCCTGGCTGTCCTGAAACTGATTTGTAGACCAGGCTGGCCTTGAATCAAGAGATCTACCTGCCTTTGCCTCCCAACTGCTGGGATTAAAGGCATATGCATCAACCCCTATCCAACAAATTTTTAGTAATTAACTTCTTTTTGTGCTTGTAAATTGTTCATCTTTGTTTGTTTGCATTTGATAGGGTGGTGGAGAAAACAACCTAAAGAGTCATAGTCGCACTAATAGTGGCATTAGTTCAGCAAGTGGAGGAAGCACAGAACCTACAACGCCTGATAGTGAGAGACCCGCTCAAGCTCTCCTAAGGGATTACGGTAAGCTGTGTTTAAAACAGCCTGTTAGCATTCTCTGATTAACAAAAATAAGCAAAGTTAAAACTTTTCAATAATCAAAAACAAAATAAAAACTTTATCTACTTAGGTATAGTTGACAAAAGATGTTAGTTTAAAAAAAAAAACTAAGGAAAAAGTATTCTTGATTTCTTGAAGCTTGTTTTGGAGTTTGTTAGATCATACAGATGTTTATGATGAGAGGTAAGGAGGTGTTTAGGTTCTATACCAGGTGCTGGTGATAACAGGCTCACATAAGATGTGGGCCTTGCTTCAGAGCTCTACGAATAATGGCAGAGATGGTCAGTGAGCTCCATAATTGCAGTTATGAGGGAAGTGATGGAGTTTGTATTAGAGAAGACCCAGAGAAGCATGTGTCTCCATAATAAAAGTTACTTAGATATTCTGTCTTGTTAGGTTTTACAGTTATAAGAATAAAGAGACACTTTTCTACCCTGCTAAATAAAACACTTGCTGGCAAAGCATGCTGTTCAGTAATGTCCTTTACACTGAGCAGTTATTTTATGGACTTAGTATTTTTGTTTTTTTTTTTTTTTTTTTTTTTGAAACAGGGTTTCTCTGTAGCTTTGGAGCCTGTCCTTTAACTCACTCTGTAGACCAAGCTGGCCTTGAACTCACAGAGATCCACCTGCCTCTGCCTCCTGAGTGCTGGGACTAAAGGCATGTGCCACCACCACCCAGCAACTTTATAATGTTTTATGTACAAATGCTGATATTGATTGAATCTGTGTTTATTCCTTGAGTTTAGAATATCTAATTCCCTAGATGTGAGCTTGACTTTTTAATAACCTGGAGAATCCATGAGCTATGTTCATTGTGCATGCTTTCATAATTGAATTTATGATCTATTACTGGTCAGCATGTCAAATACATAGAGTCATTATGTGGATATTTGATACATTTAAATTATTACTCTGTGTATTATTTAGGCATTTTCTAGTTTGAATTGTTTCTTGTACTTTCTAAGACAGTTTAAGACTAAAGATAATTTTGCATTACTGCATGTGTTGTATATAAGTGTTTGAACTGATTGTTTGTTCCAGCATTTTCAGCTGGTGTTAGTGAGCTCTGCTTGTTATGTCATATTTTTTACTAAAAAAAAAAAATCCAGATTTGTGTTAGTGTCGCATGACTGTCTCTTTTTAATGATCATTCCTTTTTCTGTTGTCACTGCCCTCTTTCTGATAGGATCCACAGGTATAATGCCCCTAAAGCTTCCTATTTAATTTAATTTATCCTACTTTAATTTCTTGGAACTCACTCTTAACTAAGTAACCATTATTTTAAATATAAAATTGAAATCCAAATAAAAACAGTGACTTGGTTATTTAACCTTTTTAAAGGCATTAAAATAGTGGTAAAGAGCTAAATACAAACACAGGTTTGAAAAGGCATTGCATGTGGTTTTTACTGGTTTAAGCCCTGTCATTTCAACAGATGCTTTAAGGTAATTTCTAGCATCTGAGGAGGCTATCAGGTTGAATTCTTGCCACTGTAAAACTCTAAAGAAATACTTGGTTGCCTTTTCATTGTTCTTTTTTAAAATTAAACTCTATAAGTTATTTATTTAAAAATTCAAGACACCATTTTTCACTATAAGGATGTTACTGAAACTGCCAAGTCTATAGTGTTCTTTGTCAACATGTGGATTGGGAACTAGAAGCTGGCCCAGCCCCTTTTGTGCCAGGCCTGGTACTCAGGCTGTTGGGCGGGGAGCATAGCTCTGTATGGGTGCCCATTGTGCTCACTGTGGCTGCTGTGGTCTGTGCCTAGTGGAATGTTGTGCTTCTGTTACTAATGCTTAGTTGTTTTCCCTCCCTGTGGATGTGGCATTGGGTTATATCCTAGCTCTTAATACAGATTCAGCTGCTGGGCTCCTGATTCGCAGCATTCATCTCGTCACCCAAAGACTCAACTCACAGTGGCGGCAAGACATGAGCATATCCTTGGCAGCTCTAGAGCTCCTCTCCGGCCTGGCAAAGGTGAGGATAGTCCCTTATTTTAGTCCAGCAGACTTGCAACCTTCCTTCCTTCCTTCCTTCCTTCCTTCCTTCCTTCCTTCCTTCCTTTCTTTCTTTCTTTCCTGACACCCACCACCCTTGTATAGGTATTTTAGGGTTGTCAGTGTGTGTGTGTATTTTACATTCAGAGTATACAAAATCGAGCCTCCAAGTGAAATTTTGCAAAATGAAAAGTAGGTGCAAAGAATATGAATGTTTTTATTAAGGTACAGGAAGCATTTTAAAACTGGTGACTATTTCCATATATAGTATATTTATTGCTTGTATAAAGAGCATTTATTGTGAAGTATTTCTGTTACTATTTTCTGTTATCAATAGTAAGCAAACTATATATTCAGTTTTCTCTCACAGTTACTTCAGTTTTGTGGAACCTAAGAAATGGGGTTCACTTGCACTTAAGCCTCAGTCTCTCTCTGAAATTCATGTAGCATGATACTAACCATTTTAAAGCAGGCGATTCTGTGGCAATGAACACATTTTCAGTGTAATGCAACCCACCAGCTACATTTCCAAGTGTGTTTGTCACCCTGCAGGGAAGTTCCTAAGCTCCAGAGCAGTTGCTTTCTTGCCCACTCTCACAACCATCACATCCTCTGACAGTCATTGATCTTCATTTTGTTTCTTTAGCTTTAACCAATCAGGACCATTCACAGAAAGGGACCAGTAGGAAAATCACACAATGTATGTCATTTCAAGAGTGGCTATCTTTCTTACTTGAGTACTTTTTTGAATTTTAGCCCTTTTTTATGATTGCACAGCACCATGCTGAATGTAATTATTCAGGCAGTGGTTTGCCTGCTCATCAAATTGAGAGGTATTTAGACTGTTTCCATCTTTAGACTATTACTAGTAGAGCTGTTTGGATATATGGGAATGTGTATTTGTTTGGAATATCTGTTTTCAGTTCTTTGAAATATGCACTAAGGAGTGAAATTCTTAGGTTTATGGTAATTATGTTTAACTTTTGAAGAACTGTAGATTGTTTTCCACATCTACATACAGGGTTCCTTTCAGCAACATACAGGGTTCCATTTTTTTCCACATTCTCACTAGCATCTGAATACTTTTTATTATTAAAATGGAAAGAATTATTTTTCATGTACTACTTGGTGTTATAAAAATCAGATGAGATGAAAGTATAAAATACACTGTGGTCATATAGTGATACTCATCACAGAGTGGTAGTGTTTGAGATGAAGCTTAGGCCTTTACTTCAAAGTTGTCTTTCAAACTGTGAGAGACATAATAGACAAGAAAACTTACTTAGTATAGTCTCAACACCACTTGGGACTTAACTCAGAAATTCCCAAATGTAATATGTGAGAGGCAATTGCTGATTTAAATGTTAGGATAGCCATTCATGAGACATGGTGAACCATACAGAGAGCGAGGGAGGTGCTGCTCCCCAGGACTTGTGGTCCACTTTCAGTTTAAGATGCAATTAGCTTGAATGGAGCACTGCTCTGGACCTGTGTCATCATATATATATGGGCTAATATTACCTGATTGCATAATTCTCTGTAAAGATAAAGTTGATTAAAACCATCTGGTGTTAGAACAGGGGTGAATGAATAGATCAGTGGTCTATAGTTGAGACTTCATGACCATACTTATGTGGCTGTCTGGTTTTTAACTCTAAGGAGAAAGGTTAGTTTTTTTGACCGATGGTACCAGTAGAAAACTTGGTTTCATACCTGTTTTGTATATGGTAGTTACAAAAATAAGCTAAAAATGGATTGTAGACTTAAATGTAAAAATGTATTAGTTACTTGTCTCATGCTGTGACAAAATACCCTGACAAAAGCAACTTAAGGATGGAAGGGTTTAGTTTGGCTCACAGTTCAAGGGTCCAGTCCATTATGGTGGGTATGTCAAGGTGGCAGGAGCTTGAAATAGCTAGTCACGTTGAGTCTGCAGTCAGGAAGAAGAGAGCAGATGAATACTTGTGCTCAGCTGGCTTCCTCCTTTTTATGCAGTCCAGGACCCAAACCCAGGGAATAGTGCCACTCTCCTTTAAGGTGAGTTTTCCTACCTCAATATCATTAGTTGTTAGGGAAATATAATTAGATTCACATTGAAATACTATTACATACCTAATAGAATGGCTAAAATTCAGGGCTAGGAACTAGCTTAGGGTAAGAGTGCTTGCTGTGTAAGCATGATGACCTAAACTCATCTCCCCAACACCCACATAAAAGCTGGGAATGACCACATGGACCTCAGAGTGGCAAGTGGAGATAGACAGATTGAAGGAGTTTCCTAGCCTGTCAGCCTAGCTGAAACAGGAAGCTTTAGGTTGTATGAGAGACCCCACCTCAAGAGATAATGTAGAAAGTGATAGAGCTATGGGTCAAGACTACTTTGGGGGTTGAATAACCCTTTCATAGGGGTTGTGTAAGACCATCGGAAAACACAAATATTTACATTACTATTAATAACAGTAGCAAAATTACAGTTATGAAGTATCAACAACAACAAAAATTATGATTGGGGTTACCACAATATGAGGAACTGTATTGAAGGGTTGCAACTTTGGGAAGATTGAGAACCACTATGATAGGGAAAGCACCCAGCAGTCCTCCTGTGGCCCCTGCATACACACAGATGTATTTACTCATAGAAACTTGATACACACACACACATACACACACACACACACACACAGAGAGAGAGAGAGAGAGAGAGAGAGAGAGAGAGAGAGAGAGAGAGGGAAGGAAACAAACACAGGCTAAATTTAAAAAGACTTGACCATTCAAATGTTGACAAGGATATAAGGAAACTGTTAAATGAGAATGTTAATTATAATAACCATTTTGGAAAACAGTTTGACAGATCCTTAAAAATTAAATTACATGTATCTTATGACCCTGTCATTCCAATCCTAGTATATAAGAGAACATACATCCAGCCAATAAAGTGGGATGGATGTTCATGGCAAATACATTTGTAATACCCACGGGATGGAAATAACCCAGATGTCCATTAACAGGTTACTGGGTAGACAAATTGTGCTGTATTTATATACTGGAATACACTCAATAAAAAGTAAGAAATATTACAAAAATAGATAACATCTGGAAGTAATTATTTATGCTAAACAGAAGAAGCTAGCTAAAGATCTTTCCCCAAAGTAGATACTGTAGATCAGACACACATATCTATATATATAAAATATGGCAGCAGATAAGCAATCCTCACAAGAGGAATGGGAGGAAGCTTACAGAGGTGCATGAGGACATTTTGGGGTGATGTTATCTGATTGCAATAACAGTTCTTTGAGGTTACATACTTTGAACATGTGTAACTTACTATATAATAATTGAACCTTTAAGTTGTTTCACTAGACTTCTTGCAGAGCAAAAACCATCCCTGTGAGGTTGGGTTAGGGACTTTAAAAACACACACATGTTCCTTTGCTGGCCATTCCTGCACATTTTACAATATGGGTAAGTGCATCCAAAAGCTTTGGGTTTTAAGTTGTGAACAACCATGCTACCGTAAAGTACTGTTTTAGGGTTTGAAAATGCCACTTTTTTGTAGTATGTTTATAATATTCTGTACCTGTATATAAATAATATTTAAAAACAAGGCCTCTTGTGTATCACATTATCAGATAGGCTCAGTTGCAGAGCAAATGCTTGGTGTAGTGGTTCCTGACTAACTGGTTTTGTTCCTTAAATGGACATGCTTAGGTGAAGGTGATGGTTGACTTGGGAGACCGGAAGCGTGCCATCAGTTCTGTGTGCAGTTATATTGTATACCAGTGCAGTCGGCCAGCTCCTCTTCACTCCCGGGATCTGCACTCCATGATAGTGGCAGCATTTCAGTGTCTCTGTGTCTGGCTGACAGAGCACCCTGATATGCTGGATGAGAAGGTGAGCTTCAGTCATGAAACACCAAGTAGGACTAGAACCACTTGTTGAAAAAATACATTTGAAAGAGAATATGTGAATTTAAATACAGTGTCATACACCTGGAATGTATTTGTTTGATTTCAGTAGAACACTTACTCTTTTGAATATAACTTGTAAACTATTATCATGCTTAGATATGTTTTCAAATAATCCCACAGAGACGTTCTTTATGAAAGAGAAGACCTTGCCTAATATTTCTAAACCAGCGAGACTTCTTTTATAAGAATAAAATTCTCATTAGTTCTTGTAAAAATTCATTGTATTTTGAATATACTCATCCTCTTTTACTAAGATCTACCCTCATTTTCTACCTATCCAATTTTGAGACATTTTTCCATCTCTCTTTTCCCCCTATATTGAGTCTAGTTTGTGTTTTGTAGCTACTGTTAGGAGTGGGGCCTGCCCTGGAGTGTGGTCTGCCCTGGAGTGTGGTCAGCCTACCAATGATCATGTCATCAAAGAAAGCTGATTCTACCTCTCCCAGCAGCTGTCAAATGTGATCACACATGCCAGTAGTTCTCTGGATAGTGATAACATGTTTGCCCATTTCCACTGCCTCTGTGCTGGAATTTTGGTTTGGCTTGAGCTTGCTCAAGTCTTATGCATGCCTTCACAGTTGCTATGCAACTGTTGTATCTGGAAAAATATTTTTTTTTTTTTTTTTTTTTTGGATAGGACAACAGAGGAGATAGCTGTTAAAGCTATTTGGTTTCCTATTATCAAACAGAAGAGCACCTAATTGTGAATCTGCAAAGCTAGGGCACAGCTTGGTTATAAAAGTTACTTTTATTGAAACATTGTATTTCTCATAGGTTTCTACACTTTTAAATGGGCACAGATATCTAGTCTGTTTTTTCTGGTGCTGTAATTTCCTTGCAGGGAAGCAGGGCATAATGAGCTCAGTGACAATAGAGCTTCCCAAGGTCACTGGATATTTAGAAAAAAGATAGAGATCTTTGTAAGTAATATCGTGAAATCTAAGTTATTTTCATTGTTGCTTTTAAAATTATGGTATCAAAAACTGTTTACAGGACTGGACTTGTAGCCAGATTTAATGTAATGCTTGCTTAGTGTTTTTGAAGTGCTCAGTTTAATCCCTAACACTACATTAATCAGCTATGATGATCCTATTCCAGGCACTTGGGAGGTAGAAGAAGGAGGACCAGAAGATCAGTCATCTCTGGCTACATAATTAGAGGCCAGCCTGGGCTACATGAAACTGTTATAAAAACAGTTTTAAATAGAAATTAGTTTAAGATATTAATCATTGGAGTTGGTGATGGTGGTACATGCCTGTAATCTTAGCACTTAAAGAAGCAGAGGCAGAGGGTCAGCTTGGTTTACATAGTGAGTTTGAAACCAGCCTGGGTTCCATAGAGAGATTTTGCCTCAAAAAATAAATAACTAATCTCTTTGTTATATTAGGTAATCTGATGTATCTTAAGCCATCTGAATCTAGTGGAATTACTTCTGAATCTATTTTATTTATTAGCAGTTCAGGGTTTATGACAGACATGACAATTTTGTGAGCCCTGTGACTGGTAAAATTAAAACCTGTCATTAGTCTCTTTCTGAACATACACATTTAGTTCTTTTAAGAGGAACTTAATGGAAGTTTAAGTTTATTATGATACAAACATATCTGTTAAAGAGCATTAGAAACTGGAGCTTCACCTCCAAAATATAACCAGTGTATGAGTTCCTTGTCTTCTCTTAAGTAATGTATGTAAAAGTTGACCTGGGGTTGGTAAGATGGCTGAGCAGGTAAAAGTGCTTGCCTCCAAATTTGATGACTTGAGTTTGATGACTGAGTTTTCTCTCTATGGTGGGAGGAGAGAACCAACTCTCAAAAGTTGTTTTATGAACTTATGCACAAGCATACATACGCCCTCTCTTAAAGTAAATAAGTGTGTTTGAAATGTTTTAAATAATGATTCTATCTTTTTCCGCTTCTAGGATTGCCTTAAAGAAGTACTGGAGATTGTAGAACTGGGTATCTCAGGAAGCAAGTCCAAGAACAGTGAGCAAGAGGTCAAATACAAAGGAGATAAGGAGCCAAACCCTGCGTCCATGAGGGTAAAGGATGCTGCAGAAGCCACTTTAACATGGTATGGAAGCAGCTGCTGAAAACTGAGCTGTAACAGACGGGACAGCAGTGGTCTGGGCTGCTCTGTCCTCCTTGTTCATCATGGAGTATCTTGGCCCCTCTAGGGTGCTGTGTCTCCAGACACAAAGTTAAAGGAAATACTCTTTTTGTGCTCATTCTTAGACCAACAAGACGCCAGAAATTGGAGTCTTTGTATTTCTGTACTGGGTGATAACTCAGGTCAGATCATTTTGGAGCCAGGAAGTATCTTGGAGCTGCTCCATTCCCTTCTTTGATGGCTTAGCCTAGAGATGAGATGTGTTACAGCATCACATCTGATACCCAGTGTTGGTCACTAATACATCTTTTATGTTCTATTCAACTAAGATTTTTTTTAAACTTTCTTAAGGGCTTGGTAATAGAATCATGTAGATAAGTCAGATTTGGTTACTGAATGAATACTATCTGGTGAGTAGGAAAGATGAAAAAGAAACACAAAGTTCCTCAATATCAGGTGGATAAGAAGTACCCCAAAAGAAGAGATATAAATAAAATGGCAGGGAGCTGGGAGGAGGAAGTGAATACTTTGAGATAAAGTGAAAGCAAAGTAACATGTTTATGGACCCACATTGGCCCTTACTGAGAGGATGGTAACATTTAACCCATGAGCAGCATTGCAGGCAATTAAGAATGTATGTCACTTGGAAACAAGGGGTTGTTTCTTTGAAAGAATGGCAGAAAGAGCTGAGAAAGTTCTTTGTACTTGGTGGGTGGGGGGACTGGAAAGAGGATTGAGTTTGGGCACATCTGCAGATTGAAGGAACTGAATAAGTAGAGATTGCATAGATTCATAGAATATGTAAATAAGTGCCTTGTGCAAGAATAAATATGAATGAAAACCTTGAAAAACAGAACCGCAGAAAGGAAGAATGTCAGGTTAGTAAGGGCTGGCTTGAAGATTTGTGTGTAAATCAGCCCTGCCTGACATCTTTTATGAGTTCAGTGTCCTTTGCTTTTGGGGGTTATATTTAAATTAGTTGGCTTTGTTTCTGTTGTTCTTGGGCTTAGGTCATAATTTTAAGGATGCTTGTTTTTCTTTAGAACTGTACACTATGGTAACAGCTAGACTTTCAGTGCCTTTGTTGAGGTTTAGCTAATAACTAGAAAATTGGTGAAGATAGCTGTGACAGCATGTGCTTATGCAACGTATGGGCTGGGGGGGGGGCATAAAGTGCCATAGTACTGGGACTTGATGATATAACAGAAAGAGGAAGAAGGCTAGAAGATAAGCAAGGAGAATCTTGCTCACTAGGAGTTCTTGATTTGTCCATGCTGCAAGAACTTTGTTCTACTCTGGCCTGATTGTTCCTAAGAGGGCACAGTTGCTGTTGGGGACTGGCTATGTGTCTGGGGTCTTTCTCTCAGACTATAGTTATCTGAATGACTTGTCTTCATCTTTTTGCTGTCTTGTATCTACAAACAAGTCTGCCATGATGTCTTTAGTTTTCACTCTTCAATAGTGCAGAGGTCCATCTTGGTGGAGCATATTCCCAACAAGTTTCTGTTCTCCCACAGTTGCTGCTCGTCAGCATCACCATTGATTCTCTTTTGTTTTGATTTTTTTCCAGGTAGGGTTTCACTGTCTCTGGCTGTCCTGGAACTTACTGTGTGTAGATCAAGCAGGTCTCGAACTCTGCCTCCCAAGTGCTGGGATTAAAGGCGCGTGCACCATGCCTCCTAGCTTTAGTTGTTTTCAGTTGGGTTTTTGTTTTGTTTTGTTTTTTCTTCTTCTCTGATTTGTATGTCTGTCATTCTTCATGAGGTGAGCAACAGAGTCCAATAGACTATCTTTGTAAGGTCTCCCCACTGTCCCTTGAAGCCTCAGGTAGTATTCTGTACTAGGTCACCTCACTTCCTGCATGATTTCCATTTGCAGTCTCTCAACTCTTCCTGTTTGTCTTGCACTCTGGCTAAATCTTCAACACTGTTTCATCCCATTGCTTGAGTGATTAAGGCCTTGAGTACATCTCCCATTTCCTACCATGTCTGAATTCCAGTGGGGGTTCAAGAAGGTGATTCATTTGTTCCACCACTGCTTCCAGCGCTCCCTTGCCATAGTTGGGCCACTTGTAGTGGTGAACTGGGCATGCTCATACCTGCTTATGCATCGCTTTCCACCGACATCATACACTGTTCCATGCTCACAGTAAATCTAGCTACTTGTAGGAACCTCTTTCTGTCATTCTCATTTTTGAAGGCCCTTGGTTTTCATTACCTCTACACTCACTGTTTGCTTATTTTACATAGTGTGGAGTTCCATACTGTCATAGTCATACCAAATTTATTTGGTACGTGCCAGTCTGTCTTTGATAACCTTTATAATGTACATATTAACTTGTTGGGTTTCTTGACCATGGTATATTAAAGTATAAATTCACAATTTGTATTCTTAGAAGTCATTTCAGTGGTCCCTCTGCTTAAGGCACATTTACTAAGTGCTTAGCCTTTAATTTAGGTTTAGAGCCTAGCCTCTTAAGATTTCCCACTTCATTTCAATTATTAAAAGCTTGATGTTCTATATCAAACTAAAATCTCTTATGTTAACTTGTTCTCATTGGTTCTTACTCAGCCAGCGACAGTGTACAAAGACAATGTTTATATTTCTCTGGTTCCTTTCTGCTTGTGCTTTCACATGGTTTTTGTATTACATGAATTTGAGTACTTTTATCATCCTGTCACTCAACTGGTATAGCTTTGGCCATGTATCTCTCAGGTACATTACTGAGTACAGTGTTCTGTATGGGGCTGTAGAACTCTGTAGAAGAAACAGTATAGTTTATCAAACTCTATTGGGAGACAGCACCAAGACTTTGAGCACTGGAGATTTGCATTAAGTTAACTGGACTCTTGAGTCTTTTTCATGTTTTCTGTTGTTCTCATCCTGTGCTTATTTGTTTAGGAGTGTTGAAATTTCTCTTTGTAAGATAGTCCACATTATCTGTAGTCTTTTTAAATCCTAACTCTTATTCTGATATGATATGGTCTCTGCAGTTCTAATCTATTGTAGGCTTTTGGTTTGTTCTTAATTATTTTAACCACCCCCCTCCCCAGTCAGGGAGTTCTGGCTGTCCTGGGAATTACTGTGTAGTCCAGGCTGTCCTTGAACTCTCAGAGTTCCACCTGCCTCTGCCTCTCAACTGGGATTAAAGGTATATGCCACTACACCCTGCTGTTTTAAAAAACAAACCAAAACGTGTATTTGTATGTGTGCATGGGCATGTATGTGTGTATCAGAAGACAATTTTTGAGAGTCTTTTTTCCTTTTCATGTGAATCTCAGGGAATCTAACTCTAGTTGTTGGGATTGATGGCAATAGTCTTTGCCCACTGAGCCATCTTACTGGTTCTTGTTTGTTTTTGAGGCAGATTCTCACTTTTTAGCCCAAGCTAGCCTCATCCTGCCTCAGTTTCCTGGGTGTTGGTTGGCATTACAGGCATGAGCAAACAGTATGAGCTTGTTTTGTGTGTTCTTATTAGAACGCTGCTTATAGAAAGCAGAGGTTGAACCTCAGAGCATATCAGCAGAGACTCCCTGGAGGTTCACAAGGACCTCAGTCTGTATGTACAGGTTCATCATGACACAGTCAAATACTTGTCTTAATTTCAGAGATGTTTACTCAATATTCCACTGTAGTCACTACCAGGAAAAGAAGAATGTGTTAAGGCTATAGTAATGATTTCATTTAAGTGGCCTAACCTCTCCCAGAAGCCTGTTTGATAACATCATAGATCTTACACAGATCATGTCAAGTTCACCTGGTCTGTATGCTTTGTGACATCTGCCTCTGTTCTACTGGAGAAAGCCAAAGCTCTATTTTCTTAGTACTAGCCTCCTGGGGTGGCTCCTGTTTTCCACAGTCCACTGAGCTTGCTGAGTTCCCTTGTTGATTGACTTGTAGCAGTCTTTTAAGGAAGCGTGAAAACTGCAAGGGAGACCTCTGCTGGAAAACAGTGCCTTCCATCATCAGAGACCTTAGAGAGCTGAAACCAGGCTATCCAAGCTGAAGATCGATTGATAAATGCTGTTGAGGGTTATGGAGATGGCTCATTGGGTTAGAGCACTTGCTATACAGGGTGGAGTGCCTGGGTTCAGATCTCCAGTACCTGTGTCAAAAACTGGACATGGCTGTGTGTATTCCAGTAACCTCAATGCTACAAGGGAAGGCAGAATCAGGAGGATCATTGGGGCTTATTGGCTGCCAGCCTAGTTCCACATTCCGTAAGAGACACTGTCTCAAGGGGTTAAGGCAGGAAATGATAGAACAGGATATTTCATGTCCTGCATATATGCACCATCATGTATGCATATAACATGCAATACATAGTTACATTTATACACATTATACACATAGGTGTTGAGGAATAGTTTTCTGAACGGGATGCATATGAAAGGCCACATTGACATTATATGGTAAAAATCTTTCTGTTTAAGTACAGAATGCTTTTCCTTTGAGTTTTGGTTTATTATATATGATGGTAATAGAAATGGAAATAATGATGGTACCTATTTCATATGGTTATTATGAAACTATATGAAAAATGTATATAAAGTGCCTAGAACAGTACTTGATGTAAAGAGCTAGATTGAGTTATTAAGTTGATTGCTTATATGCATAAATCTGCATTCCCTCTCTGTGTGTGTAGTGTATACACACACTATATACACACACGCAAACATTTCTGAATGGTAAGTCTTGATCAGTGAAACTGCTTTTTAAAGCATTTTGTGTTATAGATTTATTTATGACAGTTTTGAGATTTAACTGTTAGTGCCTCAGGTTCCTTACCTGAAATGAGGATATATCCTGGACATGCAGGAAGAAGGCAGCAGGTTCCGGAATTTGGCCTCTTAATAATCACTTAGCTCTTTGGAATTTTAAGTTTTCTTATCTGAAAAGTGATGGGCGTTGGCTGATCATTTTGTCCCTTTCTAGGCCTAAGATAATTCAGATATAATAATCCTGAAACCTGGAGCACCCAAGCAGAGTTTTAAATGTATCTTTAGGGGTTTCCTGATCTGGACCTGTAGTTAGTTATATTTCCTGGTTAAAAGAAAGAATTTTGCTTGCTGTCTTTTGTTGAGATGAAGCAGGATTGGGCAGGCAGAAGAACAAAACTGCTGGACAATAGAAGCAGTTGCAACAAAATACTAAACCTGATTTGACCTTGAGTGTTCTTTCTAGCTGGGAGGGAACTGGGACCTAGAAACCTTGCTCTAACTAGGTGTTGAATGTGGTCTGTTCCAGAAAGAAGCAGTGGTCCTAAGTGAGGCATGCATGGCTGAGGGCAGTTCTTAGGCTAGTTGAAAGCTGTGGGTACTGTTTCCCTGCATCTGGGAGAGTGACCTTTCATTCTTGGGGTACAAATTCTACCCAGTATGCCAGGGCAATTCTTTTGTCACAGATAATAAATCTGACCTGTGAAGAGGAAGCATATCTGTGTTCAGTTAATTCAGAAGAGCAGAAGAGTATGTAGATCCAAAAGGTAAAGTTAGAATTTTCTTTGAGAATTAATTGTTCTTTATTCCATTCTCCGTAGTATCATGCAGTTGCTTGGCGCATTTCCTTCACCCAGTGGTCCTGCCTCTCCTTGTAGTCTGGTGAATGAGACCACTCTGATCAAATACTCCAGGCTGCCAACCATAAACAAGCATAGTTTCCGGTACTTTGTCTTGGATAACAGTGTCATCCTGGCAATGCTGGAGCAACCGCTTGGAAATGAGCAGAGTAAGTTGTAGTACTCTTAGCTTTCTCTACTGCTCAAACAGTGTGTTCTCAGTTCTGTCAGGGAAGCAAAGACTGTGAATCCCAAGTAACTATTTGTCAGAAAGACTTGAAGCTATAGGATAACATCACTGGAGAAACAGGTCAGAAAATAGACTATGCAAATAAAGTAGAACTGTTTAAAGATTCTTTACATATGCTCAAAATAGCAAAGTGTCTCAAATTTTTATGTAAAGTTTACCTTAGTGAGATGTTTTATATTTACTATTTATAAAAATCATTATTGTTCTTTCTTTCCTTATGAACCTTGGATCCTCCCCCTCTTCTCCCTTTCCCTTCACCCATCATTGTTCTGTTTCGGTTACTACTACCCACACAGGCTAGAAATTTGAAAAGTCATCTTTGCTTCCTCCTCCTGTTACTTATATAATTAGTCTCACTGTCTCTACTACCGCAGTGACTCTTGACTCTTTCCTCTGTATTCCTCCCAATACATCTAAATGAAAGAAAGGCCTTATTAATTTCTTACGTCAATTTGTTGTATTTTCTTTCTACCTGGTCTGATAGCCCCTTTGGCAGTTCAAAAATTTGCTTGCCCTTACCACTGCCCTCCTTGTACTATAGTGTTCATCCTTAAGCATGTAGATGTGTCTGCTAAAGAACCTTCAGTGATTGTTCATTGACAAGACATGCACTGTCCCTTAGTTAGGAGGATCACAGGGTGTGTGATTTGCCTAGGGTAACTTGAAAAGCATACAACTAGGATTCAAGTTCATGTTTTCCAAACAATACTATTTTCTGTTGTTGTACCACCACACTAGGACTCCTCAGTGACTAAAGACATATGCAAAGGTAAGTAGAGTCTGTGAGTCCTGTGTGGTTGCTGTGACTATAAGCAGGATGCCATGATTCTACAGAATGAGAGACCTAGCCCTGATTGCAATAAAAGGACACTATTTCCATCACATTGTGATTAAGTTTAGTGGTGTTAGTATGAAGTACGATGGCACTATTCATCATTGGTCAACTTTGCCTTTTATCCCAGCTGCCCTTTTCATTATCCCACCACCCTCCCACCCCTAATCCATCTGCTGAATAGCCTGCAAAATCCTAGTGTCTCCTTTAAGCTTCCAGGTTCTCTTGCCAGTTCTTTTAGGATTGCCTTACTTTTATTCCAAGTACTTATACTGCATAGGTAGTCTACAAAAAATAAAATTAAACAATGAACAATTTTATATAATTAAGGATATTTTGTTCATTGAAATAGTTAATAGCAGAAGAAATGAGATCATTTGAACTACATCTAATTCTCATAACTGATACAAAGAAAGGGAATAAAAAGGATCCTGAATTTTTATATTTCTACCCCCGAACTTACACTGAGAGGAAACAGTGCCTAGAGTTGCAGCACCCCGATCTTTGAGCAGATGTATGTCAACACTGTAGATATCCAGCCTGTTTCTTTCATAAAAGTTGTCCAACACTGGAAAGTTAAGTGTGTTTGCCATGATAGATACCATTTCACCAACACATACGTTTAGAGGTATATGAGCATGTTAGGAAGGTTAAAATAGGGTGGTTGATACAGAGTGGGGTAGAAGTACTCATGGCACTTAGCTGTGTCATTGCAACATAGGAGGCATTGTGCTTGGGCTTTGATCATGAAATGTTCTGCAGTTGATAGCAGGTTGTATATTAAATGGTTGTTATCTGAAGTAAAAGTTTTTACACATCCATTTTATTCTAGATGATTTTTTCCCCTCTGTCACTGTGTTGGTCCGGGGAATGTCTGGAAGACTTGCATGGGCTCAGCAACTTTGCCTTTTACCCAGAGGAGCAAAAGCAAATCAGAAGGTACATCAGAAGTTACAGTGTGTGTGTGAGTACATATACATGGGTGCATATGATTGTGTACATGTGTGTGTCCGCGTGTGTGGATGATTTAAAGACTAAATAACATTCCAACAGAAAGTCATAGGTTACATGTTTCTGATCCCTAGTGAGGGATCATGAATTTACATAATAATCATCCGAGGAACCTAGAATTCAGGTCTACTGAACTCCTTACAGGTACTTGTAAGGCAAGGATAGTTTTCAAAAGTTTCCTAGTGATGGTGATGCTCAATTAGGAATAAGGACTACTATCCTAAATAGTGGTCCCAGGCATTTCTGTTCAGCTTTAAAAGTTAGATGCATACCATATATGGGGAAATTTTGTATTGGCCTTTGAGAGTTTTAACATGTAAGACTTAATTTCACATTGTTTTGCATGATTCATTCTGTATAATTACTGATATACTATACAATTTATTGCAGTATTTTATAAATTTAAAACTATGTGGCTATTTTCTGCTTGTTGGAAAGTTTAGATAAAGGAAATGTTAAATCACCTACAGTCACTTTCATCGAGAGCTAGCCATAGTTTGATCATGTTTTACTGAGTTTTCTTCAAATCATTTTTCTTTCTGTGTAAGTTTTACAGCTTAAAGAAATAAGCATTTGCTATACTGATTTTAAATGATTACTTTTAAAAGCTTACTTATGTTACTAAAAATGACTTTTAAATATTATAATGAAATTCCCTAGCATTTGGATTCTCTCTAAATTTAAGTCCTGAGTTGAGTCTATTAGTGATCTGAACAAATTGTGTTACATCAGTTACTCTGTAAAACTCAAGGGGAAGCAGAATGGGAAAGGAACTGAATTCACTGAAGGTCCTGTGTGGAATGACTTGAGAGCTCTTAGGAAAAAAGGCTCACATATTAAGAAAGTTTGGATCTTTTTTTTTCTTTCCAGGACAGGGTTTGTCTGTGTAGCCCTTGCTGTCCTAGAACTTGCTCTGTAGACCAGGCTGGCTTGGAACTCACAGAGATCCACCTGCCTCTGTCTCTCATGTACTAAGATTAAAGGCATGCCCCACCACACCTGGCTGGAAGTTTGAGTCTTAAAACTCTAAACTGCTTTAATCATTAACTTGGATGCAGATGACTGAGGCCTGGTCAGTAGAGGCTTGCAAGCTATTTATTAGTCATGAAATCTCTTAAATTGACAAAAATTTTTAGAAAAATGAAATTGAGTACACAGTTTATAGATTTTCTGCTAGTACCATAGTACAGCATGTGCAGTTTCTTGCTGAGTGTTAGTGATATGCATGCATAGGAAAATAGAAGCATTAAAACAGACCAGGGACATGGCTAGAAGACATGTCATCAGAGATAGTTGTTGTATAATGTCTAATACCTATAATGCCATTTGTGTTATTTTAACAGCTTTTTGTGCCAGAACCTCGCCCAGTTCCTAAAAATGATGTTGGATTTAAGTATTCTGTGAAACATCGACCATTTCCTGAAGAGGTGGACAAGATTCCTTTTGTAAAAGCAGACTTGAGCATTCCAGATTTACATGAAATTGTCACCGAAGAAGTAAGACAAGTTACTGTTAGGTCTTTCTAAAAGGATAAATGGAAACATTTTTAGACGGTATATGTGTTCAGGCATTGCTGTTAGTGTTAGGAGAGGCAGATGACAACTTGGGTTTCTGTCATCAGGAGGTTGCCATGTCAAAGGATGGATGTGTGGATTTGGGCCAGTTGATAAGAACTAAACAACTTTTAGAGACAGGATCTTTGATTGCCTGGACTGCTCGCAGAACGTTTCAATAATATGATAACATGATCAAACTCTGGTATTAAAGGCAGATATTTGGTTAGTACAGGATTGGAGATTAATATAACCCTTGAAAATGGCTCACATCTGAGGCTTAGAGCATTTGTTCATGTGTGATCTAAGTAGTTAAGATTGAGGTGGTTGTGTAATTAAGTCAATTTGTTTAGAAGTATCTTCACACATGAGGAGGTGAAACTTTAAAGTAGGATTGACCAAAAGGTAAGGAGTTCATATGGGTAAGTATTTTAAAACATAAGGATAGATACCTTGTGAAGGATGGATACAAGGGTGAAGATAACCAACCATCTGCAGGTTTAGTGAGAAAACAGCTCTGTCCTTCCAAGAGCAAAGATCTAGTGTCAGGAGAGATTCTATAGCCAGGAGATGAAGAAGCAATTGGTTAGGCCCTGGGGAAGAATTTTTGGCTATAAGTCAACTTTGAACCATGTCTGTTTAATTCTATACTCTGTTTAGCTGAAACGTAATGTTGGTCAGCAAAACTTATCATTTTCTTTGTTGTGTTTTGCTTTATTTTTGTTTTAAAATTAAAAGAAACATTTCATTTTAAGAAAACACTTTAAAAATATCTGACTTCTTTTAGTTAGAAGAGAGGCATGAAAAACTAAGGAGTGGTATGGCCCAGCAGATTGCATATGAAATACACCTGGAACAGCAGAGCGAGGGAGAATTGCAGAAGAGAAGCTTCCCTGATCCTGTTACGGATTGTAAGCCCCCACCTCCTGCCCAAGAATTCCAAACAGCTCGCCTTTTCCTTTCTCACTTTGGATTTTTGTCCTTAGAGGCATTGAAGGTAATTTTTAGGAATTTCTATGATTATAAATGTATTCACAAATTAATCACCAGCTGATGATAGCTATAATACTTTTAACAAAATGAAGAGAGGTTTAAAACAAGTGAACAAACAAAAAAACCCAGCCTATACTTACTCTGCATGAAAATCAGTGGAGTTTTATGCTGTTGTTGTGGGTTCAGTATGGGCTCCAGGACAGTGCACCTGTGAGGGGACTGCTTCAATGGTAAGTTCAGCTCTGAATTGGCTTTTTCCTGTCACTCTTTAAAAGAATGAAGGCAATTCTGTAGTTCTCTAAAATTTTCGTGTTTGGTCTTTGGTTTTTAGTTCTCAGGATTGAAGACAGGGCCATGCACATGCTAGGCCAGTGAGTTACATTCTCAGCCCCAGTTCTGTACTATTGTGTTGTATAGTTGGTAAGATTAGCTGATTATGGTGGCTCGTGCTTATAGTGTGGAGACAAAAAGACCGCCTGAGTTACATAATGAGAGCCTATCTTTAAAAAAAAAAAATTTAAAATAGGCTGGGGTTCTGTGCCCTAGTATCTGTAGGTAGGTAGGTAGGTAGGTAGGTAGATAACTTGCCTGAAAAGTGCAACTAACCTAACTATAAGTCATTTAATTTTTTTAGGAAAGCAGAAAGACATTGCTGTTTGATTTAGATTTCATCATGTAGAGAGAATATATTTTATAATGTAGAAAATAGTTTGAGATGTGTAATGTAAACATAAAATCTCTTAAAGTGAAAAAGGAAAGAGCCTGGCATGGTGGAACACACCTTTAATCCTAGTGCTTGACAGAGCAGGTACCTAGACCTCTTAGAGGCCACCCTGGTCTATAAACTGGGTTTTAAACCAGTTCCTAGTGAGACCTTATCTCTGAATAAAATAAATGCAAAATAAAAGACTAGATAATGGAAAACAATAGCTATAGAAGTAAATAAGGAGGGCACAAACAAAGGTCCAGCTTACAAATGATTAGTGATATTCCTTGTGGAGTAAATTACCATAGTAGAAGCAGTAAATCAAAATATTTGGGATGAAAATTCTAAATTCTGTAGCGCTGACACTACAATCTGTTCCACTAATCGGGCGAAGGGCTAGAGATTGAGATAAAAGACGAGAGTGTAATTTTTCTATTCTTGTTAATATTTTAGAATATTTAAGGTTTTAAGAAAATAATGTTCATTGCTTCTCAGCCTTTTCTAAGATCCAAGAAAATTATGTTCATTTTTTTTAAATTTTCTACCAGAGTTTAGGGAAAAGTTAGAAAATTACAAGTTTATTTTTATAAATTTTAGCATATGTCTAATAATTTAAGATATTGCATACTTTAAGAAGCAAATGCAAACCAATTTTAGGAATATATGTGCAAAAGTATTAAAGGGAATGAACACTGAATTTTGAGTCAGAATCATGTTAAGTGAATTCTCTTACAACTTAGTATGATTTGTCAAAGAATGTAAGGGGAATTGATTATTGGGAAATATTAGTAAAACAACTAAGAAAGTAATTTGACCCCATCAAACAGTAAAGTAAATCAGGATTTTGTAGAATAATACTGATTTGATCTTAAAGTTTATGCATAGTATGGGTTCATACATTAAACATCTTAGAAGTGTCAAGCCTCTCTAACAAGTTAGAGGCACTTTTTGAAAAATCTGACAATTTGTACCTCGACCATATGGCAATATATAACAATGAGAAATTTTTAGACAGTGAGCATTTTTTAACTTTTCCTCTTAAATAATTATTGGTAAATGAATGTTGAGGAAGATTTACCCCCTAGGACAATGGGAAAATGAAATAAGAATGAAAATAAACTACATAAGAGATTGCATTGAAATGGAGACAGTTTGAAGGGAGTATAACTTCTTAACTAGGTAGCCATCAAAATATTTAAAATAAATGCATTAAAAGGTTAATGGCTATTTATAAAATACACCTCAAAGTACAATGTGATGAACTATTGATGCCTTAGCTGGGAGAGGTGTGCGTGCAAAGGCCTGTGCAAACACAGTTTGATCCTGGACCCCACAGGGCTAGTAGAGAGCTGACTCCCAAAGTTCTCTTACCTTCATATAGGTGGGTGCATACACTTTACAAGATAAGTAAAAATAAAAATTTTAATTGCATTGTGAAGCTAGATGTGGCAGTATACACTTTTAATCCCAGCACCCAGGAGGCAGAGGCAGGCAGATTTCTATGAGTTTGTGGCCAGCCTGGTCTACGTAGTTGAGTTTCAGGCTAACTAAGGCTACATAGTGAGATCCTGTTTCAAAAAATAAATGGACATATATACACACAATACTTCATCTGCAGGTGAAATACTAACATAAAAATACATACATTAAAAAAATTTATGCAAAAGCTACAGGAAGAAACATAATGGAAAAACACAAGTATGTGAACACTGCTTACATGGTGTGTACAGCATGCCAGTACCCACATTCCTTTTCCACAATTTCAAAGTAAAAGGAAAAATGGGAGGTCTAACTATATTTTAAGAAAATTCACTGAGTGGAAAAATCTGAGCACACATTTAGTCCCAGCACTTGGGAAGCAGAGGTAGGTGCATCTCTGAGATTGAGGCCAGCCTCATCTACATAGCAAGTTCAGATCAAGCAAGGATACATAATAGGACCTTATCTCTAAAACTCGAAATAAAAAAAATCTGCCTTGAATTGGCATGGGACTATTTGAAATCTTCTACTATGACTTCTTCTCTGTTTATATCAGGGAGATAATGTCTGTGGTCAGTGTTTCACAAACCTTGGCAGGAATTTTAAGTATCATATTCACAGATCAAGATTGGAATCCCTACTGTGTGAAAAAGAGTTAATTCTTACCACTCCTGGGAGTGCCTTTCCTAAAGCAGCAACAGCGACAACAAAAATCACGTGGCAAAACCTTGTTTTGTTAAAGTTTTGTCAGGACAAAGAAGATGAAAGTTAATGGATTTTGTATTTTTCAAGAACCTTTAGGTTTACAGAACAATCAAGCAAGAAGTGTAGAGGGTCCTTTACACCTACCTGCCCCCAGAGTTTTCTGGGTTAACCACTTGCATTGATGTGTTGCTGTAGTAGTCATGGGTTATAAACTAGTCTCTAATTTACATTAGAATTCAGTATTGTACAGGTCAATAGGTTTTGACAAATTGTATAATGTGCTTACCATTGCAGTACTTCAAAAATATTATGTGTTTTGTGTATATGTGGATTTTGTGTGTATATGCATGTATGGGCATATGTATGCTCCCATGTGCAGAGTGCCCACTGCCACCACAGATCCCTGTAAACACTGGTCTTTCTGCTATTTTCTGTGTTGTTTTGCCTGTTCCAGAATGACATGATTGGAATCATGTACAATGCTGTCTCACACTGTTATTTTTCCACTTAGCAACAATGCATTTAAAATTCTTCCATGACTTTTTAGGACTTAATATGTCATTTATTTTCATTAATAAGCAATTTATCTATTCACCTATTGAAAAACATTTTGGCTACTTGTACATGTTAGCAGTTATGAATGAAGTTGCTATAAAATTCATGTCCCATCATTTTCTGTGGTTATGTTTTTCTCTCATTGGAGAAAAATACCAAGGTATGCAGTTGCTACCTTGGTTGTATTTAAGACAGTGTGTTGGCAAGAAAGTGTAACTATACTGTTGCATCTGTATGAGCAATGGATGAGTTTTTAAAATCTATTTTATAAAGTTTTAGAGGAGCTGGAGGGATGGCTCAGCTTTTAAGAGCACTAGCTGCTCAAGAGGACACAAATGGGAATGTCCAGCACCCACATGGTTATTACTAACAACCACCTGTAACTCCTGTCTCAGAGTATCCTATACCCTCTTTTGGCCTCTATGGGTATTAGGCACACATGTGGTGCACATACATATGTAAAATAAAATTAAATCTCAAAACTTTTTATATTTATTAAGCATTATATTCTAGAGAAAACAGGCTCTCAAATTACATACATACTATAACCTCAATTGTCTGAAGCAAATAAAAATAACTTTAGGTATAAACATATTAATCAGTTACTTTAGGATTGTGGTTGTATTTACTCCTGCTGCATTATAATTTAATTTTTATTAAAATGAGAAAAAGTGGGTGTGGTGACAAACTCTGTAATCCTAGTACTTAAGAGGCTGAAGCAGAAGGATTGCAAGTTCAAGGACAGCCAAGGCTACATAGTGAGTTGGAAGCTACCCTGGCTGCCAAGCTATATTGAGACACTGTACTAGAATGGATGACTGACTGACCAACCAAACTGTAAATGCTGCTTTATGGTTAAAGTAGTGTGGTGATTAACAATTGTTCCTCTCTTGTATGACAGGAACCTGCAAATAGTCGTCTACCTCCTCACCTCATTGCACTCGATTCTACCATACCTGGGTTTTTTGATGACATTGGGTATCTGGATCTCTTGCCATGTCGTCCTTTCGACACAGTTTTTATTTTCTATATGAAACCAGGTCAGAAGACGAACCAAGAGGTAAGAGTTCTGAATTTTTCCTTTCTTCTGTGTTATAAGTATCCAAGACTTTATGTCAGCTGTTCGTACTTGACATGAGAATTTTGTATTCTGTGCTTAAGACTTGTTTCATTTAGAAACTTGAATGCTTATGACTCTGAAGCCTAGTTTCCTGAGCCTTTTCACTCTAAAGAACCATAGCTAGATAGGAGTCAGTGTGGATTCCGTTTCCCTAAGGAATTCATACTCATGAGGTAAAACAAACTCTGAAGGTTAACCACAGGGAGCCAGAGCTAAACACTTTCTTACCATTTTCCCTGGGCTCCTGCCAACTAGTGTGAGGTTTTCTCTTCAAGCCAAGCCGTTTCAGCCCAGGTAAAGCTTAAAACATGAAGTAAAACACAGTTGGATATTGGTAACTGAAAAGACAAGGAGGGTGAAGGGATGTATAATTGGGTGAGAATGGAGAGCTGAGAGGAATGGCAGGAGATATGAAGTTTCTGTTGGAGGCAAGTAACATGGGCTAAACGGTGGCTGTGACTAGGTCAAAGGAAGATGTTAGGGTGCTGTGACCATATGATTTGAATTGCAGTATCATTAACCTAAGTCATTAAATTAACACACTTTACACTTGTAGAAATTTACCAGCGCTACAGAATGTTTCCATTCCATAAGAAGCACTGTTTTAACTAGCATTAGTGAGCTGCTGAAGACTTCATGAGAAAGTTCTTTTTATTTGTGTTACTGACTCAGCACACGCTCAAGTTTCCGCTTTCTGGTGGGCTCCAGGGTTACAGGTAAACAAGATTTACAGTAAACAGGTGGTAGAATTATCTAAGGGAAGGCAGGCATGAAGAAGCACTCACAGTTTATTTAACATGTCAATAGGGGTATTCAATTGTGTCTTAGAAGCCTGAGAGACCTAACCTAATTTTAAGGTTCTGAGATTAGGTCATTTAGCGTTTTCTGAGTATACACTGACCACAGCATAAATTCTCCAGAGATCGAGAGTATTTGCATCTTTTGAAATTAATCACGGTGTCAATATGCTCAAAGCTTTTGAGAAGGCAGGATGGTGGCAGCAGTAATGACTTTGTGTTTGTTAGAACCCTGTAAATTGTATTAATAAGACTAGGGTATTGCTCACATGAAATTATCAGGCAGTTTTTCTCCTACCTGTAAAGGACGAAAGCCCTGAGGCACTTCCTAATCCATTTAGTTTCTTTGGGCTTCTGGGAGCTGTGGGTGATCAGGAAACAATGAAGGTTTCTGGAGACTTCTCAAGAATATCTGAAACCTTCCTTTTCCTAGCCAGTGGAGAGTAATTTCTGGCTGCTAGCAGGTAAGCGGCAAGGTCTATATTTGAATCATCTGCTGCTGCTTTTTGACAACATCTCACAAGTTATTTACTTACAGACTTCACATCAAAACTTAAAAAGAGAACTGGGGTTATGTAGTGAGGCCCTGTTTCCTACTGCCAAAGGAGGGGCCAGTGAGATGGCTCCTTGGGTAAAGGAGCTTACTGCCAACCTCGTCTAGTGGTCTGAGTTAGATCCCTAGACCTACACTAAGGAGAAAGTGACTCCCAGAATTGTGTTCTGACCTTCACATGCATACCGTGGCAATTTGCACACTCTTGTACTTTCTCACTCTTTTTTGCTGTCTGGCTCTCTCACACTGCATAAGTAGTAAATGTTTAAAAAGAATTTGAGAGCTATGAGTGAATAAAACAAGTATAGAGATTGATCCTGTGTATAAGAGATAATTGTGGAAATGACACATAATAGACTGAGAAGTAATAGCTATAACTTTTTTTTCTTCTTGCTTTTTCAGGCGTGTGAGCAGGGTGTTGCCATCAGTTAGAATTGTATAAATGACTAGAGATTCATGGATGAGCTGCTTCAGTCATCTGAGAGGAGCTTTTAAATATGGCGATTAAATATGGATCTTGTTTTTTGCTAACATTGTAGGCCTGGGGCAAGCTAAGAGAGTCTTTATTTTTAGAAAATTTTCCAAATGGTTTTGGCACGTTCTCCCTGTCTCCTTCTTCATTTCTAATTTCAAAAGGAATTCCTTATTTTCCTAGATTAAGAACTGAGTGATTAATAGCAGCTGTTTTGGCCAGGAGGTGGTGGTGCACGTGAAAAAAAAAAAACTGTATCATCACAGAGAGCTTAGGCTGTCATGTGGCAGCAAGCTAATCAGAACAAGTGTTAACTATGTTTCTTTCTATTTTTAAAAAATTTAATTTACTTTATTACTTAAAAACTGGCAAATAAGAACAATACACACCACCTACAAGATGGTGATGGAACACACCTTTAATCCCAACACTGGGGAGGCAGAGGCCAGCCTGGTCTACAGAGATAGTTCCAGGACAACTAGGGTTATTACACAAAGAAACCCTGTCTCAAAAAAAAAAAAAAAAAAAAAAAAAAAAAACCAGAATAGCTGTTTCTTTGTTGTGGGGGTTGCCCAATATATTTCAGACCATTGGGCAACATCTTTGGCTGTGGATCCAGCATTGTTCTGTCATTGTGTCTTAGTTTCTTATCTGTGTGCTGTGATAAAATACTGTGAAAGAAGCAACTTGAGGGGAAAGGGGCTTATTTAGCTCATAGTTCCAGGTGTCACAGTGGTGTCAGGGAAGTCAGACAGTAGCTATATGGGGCTGGTCACATCTCACCCATACTCAGGAACCAGCAATGGCATTCAGGCTTGCATTCTTTCTCCCTTACGTCATCCCAGAACTGGGCCAATGAATGGAACCTCCTGCACCCAAAGTGGAACTTCCTACCTCAGTTAACTCAATTAAGAATATCTTGTCAGGTAGTGGTGATGATGCACACCTTTAATCCTAGCACCTGAGAGGCAGAAGCAGGTGGATCTCTGTGAGTTCAAGGCCAGCCTTGTTTATACATAGTGAGTTCCAAGATAGCTAGGGCTACCTCACAAACATACATACAAACAAACAGATAGTATGTGAATAAAAAAAAAAAAAAGCAAAAAACCCAACCCTATAGGCTTGCCCATAGACCATTCTAATCTAGACAATTCTTCATTAAGATTTCCTTCCCAGATTTTGTCTAGTTGATACTTAACACTAACCATCATACTGTGATAGCAAAAAATTTCTCCAGGCTGGCCATTGTTGTTTTGACTTCCAGGTGAGAACGACTGTTTTAATTTTTTCCATGTTTTCATGTCTATTTATTTGTGTGCCTGTGCCCATCCACATGCCATGGTATGTAGGTGAAGGTCAGAGACTGATTTGTGGGAATCTGTTCTCTCCTTCCACTCTGGGTTTCTGGGATCAAACTCAGGTGATCAGGCTTAGTAACAAGCTCTCTCATACACTGAGTAATTTTGCCAACCTCAAGACCACTGTTGAGAATGAGGGTTTCCCCTCTCTGGCCAATAGGAAAGGAAATCTTCTGGTTACGTTGTTTTCCTATACTGTCTTGTCTTCTTTGAACTCAGAAAAGGGCATTTTCATATTCATTTATTATACCTAATCTGTACTGAATTTGTAGTAGGCTTGTAGTTTTATTCCATTTGTAAAGGCTGTTACCACGTTCTTGTTTAACATTTTTCATTAACAGGCTGTTAACTGTGAAGTCACAGACATTGTACCATTTGTTTGTTTGTTTTGGTTTTTCAAGACTTGATTTTCTCTGTGTAACAGCCTTGGCTGGTCTCAAACTCATAGGGATCCACCTGCCTCTGCCTCTCAAGTGCGGGGGTTAAAGACATGCTCAACCACAGCCTGGCCCCTTTTGTTTATTCCTAATAAACAAGCTTGCCTCAGTAATTGTTTTGCCAGAGGGACAGCTTAAGATTTTACTTAACATCTCACATAATCTTCACTACCATCATTATCCCCACTTTGCTGTGGAGAGACAAGGGCTAGCCAGTCCAGCCAACCAACTCTAGAACACTCATTTTCAGTGTAGTCATATATTCTCAGACTTACTCTGAACTAGGCCTTGATTTGTCAACAGCTTTAAAGCTCAGTAGTTCTTGAATGTTATTTTCATATATCTTTGTATTTCTTCCCCTCATAACTGTTGCTTGCTGTGTATTTCAGATTTTAAAGAACGTGGAGTCTTCCAGAAATGTTCAGCCACATTTCCTAGAATTTTTGCTTTCCCTTGGCTGGTCAGTAGATGTGGGCAGACATCCTGGTTGGACGGGACATGTGTCCACCAGTTGGTCAATTAATAGTTGTGATGATGGTGAAGGGTCTGAACAAGGTAAAACTTATAATAGCTTAATTATTTCTGATTTGGTTTCTCTTACTCCTCCCTCCCCTTTCCCATGAACCTTTTTAACATTTTAAACAGGTGATACGGAGGAAAAGTCTTTCCTCAATTCTAGACTTCATGGGGTCACATCTAGTTTGTATATTCTCTTCTCTTTCGTAAGTTATCTATTTTGTGTAGGAGGGTTGGGTAAGGAGAGGTGCTCATGTACCTGTGGATGTGAGGACAGCCTTTCCACTGTGTGAGTTGTAGGGATGAACTCATGTCAATGGAGGCAAGAGCCATAACCTTCAGAGCCATCTTGCTATCCCTAATTTGTCTAGTTTTATAGCTATTTTCTATGTGTGTGAAAGATGTAATGGCAGGGTTAACTAATACAAAATTAACTACTTAATTATTACTATCTGATGTGTTCTCTTTTATATGTAAAGAAACAAATACAGCTGCCTATAAAAATAGTTAATAAACCTAAGATGTGTCTAATAAACAGTAGTTTCTTTTTTTTTTAAGTCAGGAGGGCAGATCAGACAATACTGAAATGCTACAAGTTAAATTTTCACCACTCTAACATACCTTAACCAAAAAGGGAAACACAGTATCATGTATATGGAACAAACAGACTTTTCTTCTTCGCTTATTCTAAGGGTTCAGTAACCACACCTTAGCTTCAACTTCTTGTTCCTTTGCCTTGAGGGTCAGGAATAGTAACACCTCAGATTCAGATCTGTTGTTATTTAGAATAAAACAGCCAAACATCCTACTGTAGCCACACCTTTGACCTTTAGGTCTTATGACATGCTGAAGACCTCAGCTGCTCTCTGCAATTGCACTGAGCTCCTGCCTTATGTTTTCTGTAGTGCTGGGATTAAAGGCATGAGCTGTCTTTTAGATTCTCATGAAGCCCAGGAGGCCCTGAACTCACAGAGATCTATCTGCCTCTGTCTCCTAAGTGCTGTGATTAAAGGTGTGCATCACTACTGCCTGGCTATATGACTGTAGCTAGCTTTGCATTCTGCTCTTCAGGCAAGCTTTATTAGATTGTAAACAAAATAGTCACCACATTAATTTTTCCTCAAGTTGTAGTAAAATATTGTGGGGCATACCATAATTTTAATTTCTATGTACCCATTATATGTATACATTAAATTTCTTTAAGTAGAATTGTTTAAAAGATAATCACATTTTTCATTTTTATAAATATGTCACTGAGTGTGGTGGGTTTGTTTTTTTTGTTTGTTTGTTTGTTTATTTGTATATATGGTGCTGGGAGTTGAATTTATAGCCTAATATATGCTAGGCAAATTCTACCACTGAGTAGATTTTTCTACACCATTTTATGAATAAATCCTTCAAATGCTTATGGTTTTAAGTGATATTAAACCTGAATGAGAATTGCTGAGATTTTTATTAATTAAAAACATATTATTGGCCTGGCATGGTGACTCATGTCCTTAATCCCAGTACTTAGGAGGCAGAAGTAGGTGGATCTCTTTGAGTTCAAGGCCGCCTGGTTCTTATATAGAGTTCCAGGGTAGCCAGGTCTATGTAGTAAGACCTTGTTTTTAAAGTGTGTGTGTGCGTGTGTGTGTGCGCGTGCGTGCGTTCATGCATGCCACACTACACATTTAGGGGTCAGAGAACAGACAGCATTGTAGAGTCACTTCTCTCCTCTCACCTAGAACATGGGTTCTAGGGCTTGAACTCAGATTGTTAGGCCTTACAGCAAGCTAAACCTGGCTTAAATTTTGAAGATCATTGATTTCTCCAGGAGACCAAGAAATTCCAAATTGGTTAAGTGTTTTATGTAATTATCAGCACCCCATTTTTTTGCAGTTTCCCTTTAGATCTGTTCTCTGAATTTTTGCTTAGTCCCTATTTGTCTTCTGTCATAGTAAAGAAAGGCAATTTCACACTTTACATGCACAAACCCCATAGTCAGAAGAGGAGACTAGCTGGACTCTAGTCTCTTTTCTCCTTAACCCTGACTCTGACAGAGAAATTGTATGTAGTCAGTCCCACTGCACTTTAGCTTCGAGTAGATGTTGGAGTAACAACCATAGAAGATGCACAGTGCCTTCTCCTTCTGAGACTTTCAGCTGTAGCCTGTAACTAGTTTTGTGAGTAACATGTTATTGGAACTTAGCCATACTCTCATTTGTGTGTTGTATATAACTGCTCTGGTCCTACAGTGACAGAAGTAGTTGTAGCAAAGATGTATTCCCTGCAGAGCATCAAATATTCACTATCTGGTCTTTTGCAAAAAAAAAAAAAAAAAAAAAAAAAAAAGTGTGCCAACCTCTGCTCTAAAATTCTTGCTTACCATGTGGTAACCAGCATTAGGTATCTTCTACTAGATGAAATCTTAAGTATTGTGATTGGAAAATAAGCATGCTTCATATATTCCTTTTTTCTGAAATCTATGTGCCAGCTTCCTGTGAAGGTCCTGATCTTTGATGTCATATTGGTTATTTTATGTTCATTTTACTGAGACTTAGGCTAGTTCAAAGTGTTTCAACTTATTCTTTCTAGTATAGAGCAGATACTTCCTACTAAAATTCCCTGTATGTTTTTACATCACTGATTACCATAGAAGGAAGAGCCAGAAGCAGGGTTGCAGTAAAGTGTCCAGCTCTGATATAGAGTAATTTCACAAACTACAAATTATATAAAATTATTGTAAGGAGCTTAACACACATGGTTAGTTCTTCTCACCTATAAATTGGTTCTTGTTGGAACTGCTGTAGCTTTATAAAGTGACCAGAGCTCGTGAACAGGAGGTGAAGATGCCCAACTTTCTTAAGTACTGATCCATTCATTGTTTCTTATTCCTAGATGAAGTAACTTCCTCTGAAGATGCTGGGGCTAGCATTTTCAATGGGCAGAAGAAGGTGCTGTATTATGCTGATGCCCTAACGGAAATAGCTTTCGTGGTTCCTTCTCCCGTGGAGTCCTTAAGTAAGAGCACGTTTGTGCATAGTGCTATTTTAGGATCTCTTTGTATATTCACTATTTGGTATGGTGTGCTGTGAAGGAGATTTTGAAGTCATCAGAGGCATTCTTTAGGTTCTGAACAAAGGTGCTGTAACTTGATTATACACAGGAAGGAGATCCTATCATAATGTTTTGTAGTATGTTAGTTAGTTTTCTGATACTATGACCAAATACCTGACAGAAATAACATAAGAGCCAGACTCTCTATGCTTTGTCATGGCTTGTCACCTTATTTTCTACATGTCCTGCTTCCTCGGTGGCTGACCAGTGTCTCTTTTACTCCACTCCTCATCATCCCAGCATTCTCTGTCTCAGGCTATCTTACCCAATTTCTTCCTGGCCGGCTATCAGCCAATCAGCTTTTTACAAGAAAAAAACATGCTCTAACTTGTGTATCTTCCCCTACCCTATTGCATTCTGTTGTTTTCTTCTTACATCAGGCTTATTCCTCCCTTTTTCCTTCATATCAGAGATTTTATGTGTGTCTAGATGTCATATGAGAAAATGACATGTTTGTCTTTAGGAGTCATTTCATTGGAAACCATGATTAATTTCCTGTATGTGACAAAAATTTCATTTTTTCTTTATGCATTCTAATGACAAGTACCAAATATTCTTTATGTACAGCTCATCTTCAACCCTAGCTTTGTCTTCCATGTAACTTAACCATTATGTACAGGTTTTGCTTTCTGCTTTGGTCATTCCTTTCACAAATTTATGAGTGAAGCCCACCTAGCTCTTGTTTCCCATGTGAAACCTTTTATATGGAGCCCCTAGCAGGACCTCATGATGACATCTCAGTCATCTTTGGACAATAAGCAGAAAAAACTTGAGCAGCCTAGAAAAGATGGCACACTTTTATGGATTAATGCTTACTCTTAATCTAAACTCACAGGTTTATTTTGCTTAAAATAATTGTGTGAGCCTGGAGAGATGGCTCAACCTTGAATAGCACTTACTCTTCCTAGTCTCATCTCCAGAGTGAAGACTTGCTATGGCTAGCTTAGAAGCTTCCCCACCTTTGTAGTTGACCTTGATTTCTCACTGTAGGCTCCCATTTGTTTCATACTCTATTACTTTGGTCCATAGTAGAAGGACCTTCCATGATCAGCATCATAATATTTATCTGCCTTCCATTCAGAGCTGTGATCTGCCCCCTCATTCCAATAGTTGAGGCCCAGCTGAGTTGAGTACCTGCCTGGTTTCTTTAAATAGTCTGAACCAGCAGTCTTCCCAGACCTAGAGCCTTTGTTTATACTGTGGCTTCCCACAATTGAGTCTTAGCCTACGATCATGATATCTGCTTAATGTCACTTGACATTTGTGTGCAGTGACTCAGCTCCTGTTAATATTCATATTCTGGGGCTGGAAAGAGGGCTCTGATGTAGATTATTTGTTGCTCTTTCAGAGAATCCAGGTTTGATTTTTTTGTACCTATGTGGTAGTCTACAACCATCTGTAATTCCCATTCCAGGGTATTCAATGCCCTGACTTTCTTGGGCACCAAGCATACATGTAGTGCATATGCATACATGCAGGCAAAACATGTTTGCATAAAATAAAATATCTCTATTTTCTTGGGTGTTTTGTTCATTTCTTTTGTCTTTTAATCCCACCAGATTTGTTTTGTTTTTATTTCCCACCAGATTGTTCTTTAAATTCAGACTAGGTCCTTGGTGGCTTTCGGGTGTCTCAGTGACTACTTAGGATGGTGCTTTTGATTGAATATGTAAATAATTCAGAGAATAACAGATAGCTTTGAATTTATAATTTTCTAGTCTTACCTCAGTTATCCTATAGAGCAGGAGATGACAAACTATAGTGCACAGACCAGATTCAGCCAAGAATGAGCTTTATGGTTATTGAAAGATTAAAATGTTTCTTTTCTTTTCTGTATATGATTGATTTGCTTGCATGTATTATGTACACTTGAATGCATGCCTTTTGTGCCCATGAAGGCTAGAGCTGGGCAGGATCCCCTGGAACTGGAGTTACAGATGGATCTAAGCCACCTTATAGATGCTGGAAACTAAACCCAGTTCCCCTGCAGGAGCAGCCATTGCTCTTAACTACTGAGCTGTCTGTCTCTTGGGTCCCAAGTTTTACATTGTTTCAAGTGTTTTAAATAAAATGCAAAGAAAATTATGCTGCAAAGATCTCTAGGATCAGTAAATCCTGCAGTAAGATCATCTGCTCTTTCATAGGATGTCTGCCAAGACTAGCTACGGAGACGGTGCTTGGCTGTCAGTCAGTCAGGGTAGTTAGACTAGTTAACATAATTAAACTTTGCTCCAGAGGAGTAGCAAATAATTTTTTTCTTTATCTTACAGCTGATTCTTTGGAAAGTAATATCTCAGACCAAGATAGCGACTCAAATATGGATCTTATGCCTGGAATTCTGAAGCAGCCACCCCTGACACTTGAGCTGGTCCCCAATCATACAGACAGTCTTAATTCCTCACAGAGGGTAAGTTGTTTTATTGATTTGCCCAAAATTTTATGGTGAAGTGGCAGTAATTGTAGAACCAAGTCTGAAAGTTTATTTTTTTATACTGTAGAAGTTATAGCAAGAGTACTGATTCATTAACTGAAGTATTTTAAAATGGATTTTTCATTTTTCTAATCTATGATAAAAAGTTGGTTCTAAGACAGTGTTTTTCTTGTTTTTGACATTCTGGTGCTGTGGTCAGTTCTCTTGCTCAGTCCTGTTAGCTGAGGCTTTCTGTTGTCCTTAGTATCCACTAAGCATTGCAGAGGAGCTGTCTTTAGATTTCGTTATCTCACATTATTCATCTAAGAACTGGCTGTACAAAGCTGGCAGTTTTGAAGACTCTAAATACTGCAGTTCTCCTTTGTTTGATGCTTTGCTTTTAGCCATTTTATGACCCATGATCAACTATGGTCTAAAAATACTAAAAGGAAAATTGTAGAAATAAGCAATTTGTAAGTTTAAAATAATGTAGCCTCTGTATAGCTTGGTGAAACCTCACAAAATCCTGCTTCTCCCCACCTAGAATGTTAATCATCCTTTTGTTCAGCACCTGTGTACTCACTCTATGTGCTTCCCCACCCATTCCTCATCTGTCACTTTAGTGTGGGTTTGGTGTCATGGAACATAGTACTGCAGTGCTTATATTAAAGTTAACCTTACAATGCCTAGCACTGTGTCACAGTGTTTTACTGTGACTCATATGGGCATTGCATCACCTTATATCATCACAGGGAGAGGAGTGAATATAGCATGATGAAGTTTCTTGAGGGAGAGACAAAATTCACATAGGCTTTTACTGAAATAAATTGTAATTGTTCTGTTTTATTATTGTTAATACATTTATTTGAAGTGTTTCTGTGGTGTGTGTGTGGTTGTGCACTGGAAAAGAATACATATAGGATTAGGTAGTAACTACAATTTCAAGAACTTTGGAGAGTCTTTGAATGTATCACCATGAATAAAGGGGGGAGGCTAGTGTGTATGGCTAAATCTATTGAGTGTGGCATACACTTCCTACTGCATATAAAGAGCCTTTGCTTTTATACTTGTCAGTGGATGATAGCTATTTATCAATGTTTACCCCTTAATCTTTACTGAAAAATGACTAAGTGGTAACAAGAACACATGATTAGGCTGTAAGAATAAGATTAACACAAATAATAAAAAACTTGAAATGTAAGCATGGTCAAAGTCATTCCTGAATTTATATAGCATTTTAGTTTGGTTCCTTGCACAGTGAAAATTATTCTGAGGATTAAGCTTAGAGACTCACACATGCTTGCCAAATGTTCTCACTAAAGTGTATCCCCAGTCCTCTTATTTTTATTTTGAGACAGGTTCTACTAAGTTGCCCCAGCTGACCTGTAACACATTCTGTAGCTTAGACAAACCTTCAACTTCTAGTTCTGCCTCAGCTGCATTAATCACTAGGTGTAACTGTGAAGGTTATTTTTTAGCACTAGTACATGCTTAAGTTCTCCACCAATAAATTTAGTAAAAATATCAAGTTATGTGACTCCTGGTTTTAAACTTCAGGAGGTTAAGAGGCTTCACAGAACACAGTTTGAAAAAATGCAGATATTCAGTGGCTGCTTGCCCTGACCCTCATATTCTCTCTCAGGAGCTGGGAATGCCCTACGTATTTTGATTGAATTCCTTTTTTGTTGTTTTGAAGACTTAATTATTTTCTTTGTATATGAGTATTTTGCCTGTGTGTATGTATGTGCACCATATGCATGACTGGTGCTCAAGGAGGCCAGAAGAAAGTGTCCAGACTCCTGGAATTGGAATTACAGATGGTTGTGAGATGCCATGTAAGGTGGTAGGAATCAAATCCAGATCCTTTCTCTGCAAGAGCATCAATGCTAATGAGCCAGACATCTCTACAGCCCTTTGATAACAATAACCAAAAAACTATTCTTGTATTGTCATGGGTCTACCCTTTGACTGTTTTTTAGGTAATGTTCTAATTCCAAATGAGTGCTGTGGTTATGCTTGGTGCATCCATCACCAGTCTAGCAGAGGAAAACTACATCTGTCTGTAGCCTCCCCTAAAAACACTCCCTCAGAAAGAATAACAGTGTTATTTAAAAGATAACTGAAAAAGAATTCAACCAGTCACTTAACATAGATATGCAAGGCCCAGTGCAAAAACACAAGTTGCCTGGAAAACCAAGACAACATAACTCCTAAAACTCACTAATCCAAGTGGGGCAGTGGTGGCACACATCTTTAATCTCAGCACTTGGGAGGTAGAGGCAGGTGGATCTCTTGAGTTTGAGGCCAGCCTGATCCACAGAGTGAGTTCAGGACAGCTATGACTTCATAGAGTAACCCTGTCTCTAAAAAAACCAAAAACAAACAAAATCACTAATCCAGGCTGGTCGTGGTGGCACATGCTTTTAATCTCAACACTGGCAAGCCGATCTCTATCAATTCAAGACCAGCCAAAGTACAGTGAGACTTTTGTCGTGAAAAGAAGAAAAAAAGAAGTCACTGATCCCTCAGTAAAAGAGATTCACACAAATGACTGTATGTTCAAAGATGGCCAGGTGTGGTGGTGACACACGCCTTAATCCTAACACTTGGGAGGCAAAGGAGGCACATTTCTGGAGTTTGTGACCAGCCAGGGCTACAAAATGAGACCCAGTCTCAGAGGAGGAAATTAAAGAAGACACAAACAATTCCTGAATGAATTATAACGAAAAAAAAAAAAAAAAAAAAAAAAAAACCCAGCAGAATGAATGAGAAAGCTGATACAGTAGCAGGTGAAATGGCACAGGATAAGAATATTTGTCATCACACCTGATCTCTGTGACTCACATGGTGGAAGAAGAGACCAACACTCACAAGTTGTCCTCTGACCCCAACATACATGCTGTAGCATACACATAAATAAATGTAATTTGTTTTGGTTTTTTGAGACAGGGTTTCTCTTTGTAGCTTTGGATCCTGTCCTGGAACACAATCTATATATCAGGCTGGCCTCGAACTCACAGAGTGCTGGGATTAAAGGGTTGCACCACCACCTGGCTGTAAAATTGTTTTTAACTAAAACAGTCAATACAGGCTATGAAAGAGTGATTCAATAAAGAGAAATACTAAAAAAAAACCAAATTGAAATACTGGAAATGCCAAACACAGTAAGATAAATTGAAAGTTCATGAAAAACATTACTAATAGATGTGATCAAAGAGAGTATCAGAGTTTGAAAACAAGACAGAAATTGGGACACTTGAACATGGACAAAGATAAGAAAATAAGAGCAGTACTTTCAAGATGTATGAATACCATGAAAAGACCAAATCTAAGAATTGTGGGCATAGGGAAATGAGAATTTCATTCTAAAGAACCATTTCAGTAAAATCAGAACATTTCCCAAAATTAGGGAAAGAGATGCTAATCCAGATACAGGCAGCATTTTTAGAATATGAGAGTAGAGCAGAAAATGAACCTCCTACTATCCAGTATGATTGAATCACTAAGTATACAGGGCAAAAATAGTACCCTGGGCTAGGGAGGTGGCTCAGTGGACAAAGCAGTGGCAAAAGGACTGAGTTCCATCACTGGTCCACATTAGAAAAGAAGCTAGGATTGAAGGTGTGTGCTCGTACTCCCAGTTCTCAGGCTCACTGGCCTAGCCTACTTTGTGAGTTCCAGGTCATTACAAGACCCTGTCTTGGCTGGTCCTAAGGTAGTGAGTTATCTCAGTTGATTAGTCACAGTCAGGTCCAGAGTGAACTCCTGTTGTACACTTCCCCTTCTCACTACTGCACTTGACTAGTCTAAAAAAGATCCTATCTTTATAATAGTGAACAACACCAGAGGAACAATACCTGAAGTTATACTCTGTCCTCAAAGGAAATGTGCGTGTATACACATACAAAGAAAATACTAAAAGCATCAAAAGAGAAACACCAAGTCATATGTAAAGGAAGGCACATTAGAGTAAACGCAGATTCATTTCTTCAACAGAATCTTCTTTTTGAAGATTTTGTTTTTATTATTTTTTTGCTTTTGGGGGAGGTTATTTTTGTTTTTGAGACAGATTTTCTCTGTGTAGCCCTGGCTTTCCTGGAACTCAGTTTGTAGAACATGCTGGCCTCAAACTCAGAGATCCACCTGCCTCTGCCTCCCAAGTGCTGGGATTAAAGGGGTATGCCACCATGCCCAGCTCTTTTTGTTTCATTTTTAAGAGTATAATATAATTATATCATCTTTCCTTCTTTTCCCCCTCCAAATATTTCCATATATCCCTCCTTTTTCTCTTTCAAATTAATGGCCTCTTTTTTTTTTTTTTTTTTTCCTTAAATTAACTCCTCCATCTTCAACAGAAACTTTTTAAAACCATGGAGAATAATGCATTTTGTAAGGCAACTGTCAACTCAGACTACTATACCCAGAAAAAAAAATGGTCATAATTGAAAGGGAAACTTTCTATGATAAAAACAGCCTAAAAGAACTCATGACCTCCCTCACAGAAGGGGGGAAGGGACAAGTCCCCCAGAACACATGGGAAGTGGGGGGGGGGCGTGAATGGAGAGAGAAGAGCAAGAGAAGGGGAGGAGAGGAAAGCTCATGCGACTAGGGAGATTGAGTCAGGGTAGGAATAGAAGATAGGAGAGAGAGAGAGAGAGAGAACATAAAAGGGAGCCATTATTGGTTTGAAGAGAACTGAACCTAAAGAAAGGTCTAGAGACCTACAAGACTGCCTCCAACTAACAATTTGAGCAACCGTGGAAAGGCTACCATAAATGCCCTTCCCGGATAGTGAGAGCAACAACTTACTTATCCATCATGGAGCCCTCATCTAGTACCTTGTTGGAAACAGAAGCAAACACCCATAACTAAACACTGAGTCGAACTAGAATCCAGATGCAGAGGGAGAGGACAAGACCAGGTTGCAGAAACACGTAGAGACAGCTGACCTGAACAAGGAGGAGCTAACAGGCCCTAATGGCCCCCCAATCCAGCATGATGGGACTGACTCAGACCCCCTGAATATGGTGGATCTCAGCCAGAAGGACTGAGCAGTCTAAGGGACCTCAGACAGTAGAACCAAGATGTATTCGGTGCACAAAAGGACCTTGCTGACACATCCCCCATGGAGAGATATTCCCTTAACCTAGAGACAGGAGAGAAGTCCTAGTCCCTTCTTCAAATGACTTGACAGATTTACATGACCCCACATGGATGACATTGCCCTACATGTGGAATTGGGGTGGGGGATGGGAGGGGAGGGTGGTCAGGGTGCATGTGAGGGGGAAGAGAGGGTAAGAGGGAGGAGGGAGGGGAGAGAGGAAGGGAAGGAGGGGGAACTGGGATCGACATGTAAAATTAAAAAAAAAAAAAAAAAAAAGAACTCATGACCATTAAACTAGCTCCATAAAAGATACTGAAAGGAATTCATTGCACTAAATAGAAAGCTAAATACATCTGGGAGGATATGGGAGCAGGCAAACTCTGTTAGTTAAGTGAGAGAGAAACAGGAAAACACCATTCTAAGATCAACAAAATGACAGGAATGAATACTGTCCTGTTAATACTTTTCAATAGTATGATCTCATTTCTCCAATCAAAACACAAATTGAACAGATTGAATTTTAAAGAGGGAGTTGTTGCCACCAAGAAACACACCACAGAAGACAGATAAAATTGACTACCTTAGGGTTAAAGGATGGAGAAGGTAATCCACTCAAATGGAACAAGAAATCAAGCCTTTGTTGTTGTTCTAAATCTGATAAGAACATGCTTCAAACCAAAACTAGTCAGAAGAGTTTCTCCATATTCTTTAAGGGAACAGTTAATTAATGGGACATTATAATTCTAAAACATATATTGAAAATGTATGCACACAGCTTTATAAAGCTAATACTACTAAATGTAAATTCTCACATTAACCCTAGCATAGTAAAAATATCCAATATTCACCATTAGACAGGTCATCCAAACAAAAAAAAAAAATAAATAAATAAACAGAAAAACAGATCATCCAATAGTATATAAAGTGAGTTTTAACAAGTATAAATACTAATGGAAAATTAAACAAAACAATGAGTAAGTCACTGAAGAAACAAGGAAATACAAAAATCTCAAGTATCAAATGAAAATGAAAACAAATACCAAAAATGTGGGATACAGTGAAAGCAGGCCAAAGCAGAGGATTATAGCTGTAAGTGCCCACATATATGAAATCAGATAGATTATGGATAAACTAACAGTTCACCTTAAGATCTTGAAAAACTAACAGATCAAACCTATAATCATTAGACAGAAAAAAATTAAGATCAGAGCAAGCATTAGTGAAATGGAAACAGAAAAACTGTACAAAGAATCACAGCAACAAAGAGTTGGTTCTTTCAGAAGATGGACAGACCTTCAGCCAAGCTAACTGAAGAAAGAGAAAGCCAGGTGTGGTGGCAGTACTGGGGAGGCAGAGGCAAGTAGATCGCTGAGTTTAAGGCCAGCCCAGTCTACAAAGTGAGTTCCAGGACAGCTAGAGCTGTTACACAGAGAAATACTGTCTGAAAAAAACAGAGAAGTAACAAATGGATAAAACTAGAAATGAAAGTAAGGAGAGTTTCTTGCGACAGATAACAATAACATTCAGAAAATCATCGGGACATACCTTAAAAATGTGTATTCCATAGAAAATCTAAAAATCAGGAACAGTTTTCTAGGTACATAGAGAATACCAAAATTAAATCAGGGTGAGATCATTTTAACAGATTCATAACAAGCAACATTGTTGAAGGACTTAAAAAAGAAGTCTTTCCTAAAAGAAAGCCAGGCTGGATTAGCTTCACTGCTGAATCCACTGACTTGTAAAGGACTAACACTCATGCTTCTCAGGCTGTTACCAATAAGAAGGGATGGAGCACTCCCAGAGCCTGTTCTGAACTAATATTCTGATACCAAGACACAGACACAACAGAAGGAATGATATAGACCAAGCTACATAGCTGCAAAAATGCTCAAAATATTTGCATGCCCAAATCAAGATTGAAAAGATCATTGGCCTTGATCAAGTTGTCTTTATTCTGGAGATTTCTGTGGTTCTACATACAAAAATCAATAAATGTAATAATACAGCACATAAATGTTTTCTCAGGGCTAGAAGTCAGATGATCATCTCAATAGATTCAGAAGTCTTTGATAAGATCTGAATCTTCATACTAAAAGCCCTGAAGAGGGGATGGCTCAGTGATTAAAATCTGTTACTGCTCTTGCAGAGGACTGCTTTGGTTCCCAGCATCCATTTTGGGTGCCTCACAACTGAACATCACCTCAGCTACAGGGAAATCAGTGCCCTTTTTTGTCATGGTTGGGCACCCACATACAGATACATAAATTATCTTTAAAAAGAAAATGGATGCAACTAAGAATTAAGCTAGTCTCAGAAAAACAAATGTTCTTTTTGTGGGTTCTAGGTTTTGTATAGTCACATAAAATTATGTATGTATATATAAAAAGGAAATATACAGGATATGTGGAGCAATTAAAGGAACAGAAGTGGGGTGAAAAGATGGAGGAATGAGGGCTGATGATGTGTGGTCAACATATATGTCCATAAAAATTCTGAAATATTTAAAAAGTACTAATGCATAATACAGTATGTGCAATGATGTTCATTGTGGCACTGCTGGAGTATATATTTTTTAAATAAAAGACTGGGGAATGTTAAGTAGTAAAATTTATGTACTATAGAACATCATGCATAATGAAAAATGCATCTTAATATGTTGACTTAAGACACATAGCAAAAATAGTTCAGTAAAAATAAGCCAGTTGAGTGGTAGAAAAGAGAAATTTGTGCATAAGCTTGCCATAAAGACCAATGAACTCTTGTCTTTTGCAGAAAATATGAGGAAAATCAGGTATAGATTGCTACTGGCACATGTCATCTGGGAACTAGGAATAACTTCCTGATTTTAGAGACTAAGATCCGCAGACAAAGTAGTGATATTTCTTTACCTAGAAAGCATATAGATAGCTTTCTGGCTACAACAGAGATAGATCCAATTCTTTTAAACCTTTGTTAAAACATGACATGCAAATCTTATTGCTATTCATGCAAATTGCAGTTGTTTAGTACTCCTTTGGTACTTAAAAGTTGTATCACATTTACTTGGTATGTGTGTATGTGTGCCCCAACTATGCACGTGTGTATGTGTAGACATCAGAGGACAACTGACTTCTAGAATGTGGGTCATTAGGCTTGGTGGCAAGTGCCACCTCCCTGCTCCTCCTCTGATTCTGTTAAACCTCATTTCCCTTTCTGGGTCAAGCTCCTAACTGGAGAAAATGTAGAAGAGTTTTTTTGGCAAATTTATTTCACACTTTCTTCCCAAGTGACTTTGGTGACATAGACATGTCATTAGATATTTTGATAAATGTCTGACTGGGTAGTTTAAAAAAAAATTCTTTCTTCTCTCCTCTTTACTTAGCTCAGTCCAAGTTCCAGAATGAAGAAGCTGCCTCAGGGTCGCCATGTGCCTCCCCTTGGACCTGAGACAAGAGTGTCTGTAGTCTGGGTGGAACGCTATGATGATATAGGTACTGTATGAGGAAAGATGTTTTCTTGAATTATTAAGGTGACAGTTACTTAAAAATGTCTGAAAAGGGTGGATACAGAGACTTGCAGTTCATAAACCTGGTTTTGTATTCTAGCCTCTTTACCCATTTTCAGAAAACCTGTTAACTGGTCATACTTGTGGCCCTTATTTTCTAGTTGTGAATATTTGATAGACTAATAGATACAAAGCTGTTAGCTGTTTTGTTATTCTCCTAGTCAGTGTTCCCAGTCTTCCCAGGAGCTCTGGGTTACCTTTTCTATGTGTACAGGTTGTCTCATTTATATAATTGCTTCCTTTGTCCTTAAAAAGTTCTGCCGTGGATACATTTCTTAGGATTTTTGTGTGGCTTAATAATATCAGAAATGCATGCTTAGCCTAGAACCCTGTCCAGTTTAGAGTTTATAGGAAAGTGTCACGGCTGTTTCTGACCAGGCCCTCACAGCCACAGATCATATTCTCTGAAAGCCCTCTGCTTTAGGGGAACTTGGCCAAAATATATTGTGAAAGACACTATGTTTTATGTGGGGAGTCATTAGGATTCCATTGTGGTGTAGCACACGTGATGGTACTTGTTACTGCCTGTAAAGAGGTTAGGAAGTGAATTTGGAAAAATCAGGTGGTGGTAGCTGTAATGTTGTTTTCTTCCAGAAAACTTTCCCCTCTCAGATCTTATGACTGAGATCAGCACTGGTGTGGAAACTACTGCAAATAGTAGCACTTCTCTGAGGTATGTCCTCTTATTTGCTTGAGTTTGTCAGCATGTTTGTTTTTATCTGTTGGGTACAGCTTAATAAAAGAATAAAGAATTATAATCAAATAGTAGTTAAGGCAAAAACATAAATAATCAGGAAATGGAGAGATGGCTTGGGGGTTCAGAATACTTGCTCTTGGAGAAGATCCTGGTTTTGTTCTTAGCCCCCACATGGTGATTCACAACCAGCTGTAACCCCAGCTCCTTTATCTGACCTCTGGGGGCACCAGGTACAAATGTGTACATACATACATACATACACACATACACACACGAAAAAATACTCATACAAATAAAAGTAAAATACAACTTCTAAATAAGAATCAAAGAAAGGGCTGGCAAGATGGCATACTTTGACCCTTTTTTCCATGTTTGAATATTTGGTAGACTAGTGAATATAGCTGTTAGCTATTCCATTGGTCTCCCAGTCAGTTCCCAGTCATCCCAGGAGCTCTGGGGAAGGGAAAAGTCATCATGTGAGAGCCTCAGAAAAAAAAAAATTAAAAATTTACCTTATTGAAATATAGTTGTATATATTTGACATGTTCAATCTATTAAGTTTGGAGGTATATTATACACATGAAACCATGACCACAATATATCCTGTAAATAAATATATATATATATCACTTCCAGAAGTCTCCTACCACCCACAGTACCTATCATGTATTATTATTCATTATTATTGTTACTACTACTATTATTTGCTCTGCCCTCTTATATTTTTAATAATACAATACAGTATTACAACCTTACTTGGTACAGTGCACACACTTCTAGGACTTACTCTGCATAACTGAAATTTTGTATTCTTACAATACAAACCTTCCCATTTCCATCTTTAAGCATGTACTTCCTGACTTTGTTTTTCAGATAAATGTTATGTATTTATCTTTTTATGCCTGAATTAATTCTCTTACCCAGATTTATCCCAACCCCTGTCTTGTTTTTAAAAAAAAAAAAAAAAAAAAAAAAAAGCCATCTATTTGGCAGCCAGATGTTTAGCCCTCTGCAATACATTTGCCTGGTCTTTCTGCCCCACATCCTTAGTAGTGGTCTTTAAGAATCTTTTTTCACACTATTTTTATTTAAAAAGCCTAGCCCCAGGAATAAGTGTGTATGGCCCGTGGTTCCAGGCCACAGCAGGAAGAGACAACAGGTCCCCAGGCCCTGGTGTGAGTTCTTATGTCTCTCTCATAGGGAGAGAGTTGTGTCTGAACTAAAACTACTTATCTTTTCTAAGATCTACAACTCTTGAAAAAGAAGTCCCCGTTATCTTCATCCACCCCTTAAACACTGGATTGTTCCGGATAAAAATCCAAGGAGCCACTGGAAAATTTAACATGGTCATCCCCCTTGTTGATGGGATGATAGTCAGCCGGCGAGCACTTGGTAAGGGCTTTATGTGCTGAAGGGCTGTGGTACTGGCTTTCTTCCTTTTCCCTCACCTTTAAATTTTATTTTAGTCTTATTCTTTGACAATCTCATACATGTATTTAATGAATTTTAGTTCTTTTTCACTTCGCAGTATCTTGCCTCATTCCTCTTCTACTGAGGCCCTGGCAACCTTTCATGTCGTGTGTGTGTGTGTGTGTGTGTGTGTGTGTCATGTATAGGTGTGGGTGGGAGGTTATTATAGTATAGGATGTCGGTGACTGAACCTGTTTGCCTTCTTTAACACTTTCATAGACCACAAATAAGGAAATGGTCTTAACACTTCATAGTTGCTGCATGTAGACAATGGGAGGGGAATAGTATTGTCATCAGTTTAAGCGATAATCTTGATGACACAATGGGCCCTCACTGAGTGAACTAACTGAAGGGGAAGACACGGGCTGTGGAAGAGCGGGCTTTGACTCTGGTCCTTTGCTGCTATCTCTCAGCAGTTTTGTATTGGTACTGTGTTTGTCTCTGAGGTGGGAACTCATGGGATTGCAGGGAAAGAGTAGCTTACTGACAGTCATTCTTACCTGTTTTCAAGGCTTTCTGGTGCGGCAGACTGTAATAAACATTTGTAGAAGAAAGAGACTCGAGAGTGATTCCTACAGCCCACCACATGTCCGTCGGAAACAGAAAATCACTGACATTGTCAACAAATACCGGAATAAGCAATTGGAGCCAGAGTTTTATACTGCCCTTTTCCAGGAGGTTGGACTCAAGAACTGCAGTTCTTAGAGCACAGTTGGTCCAGGGCAATGGACTGCAGAATGAGCTCAGACATCAAAGCAAGACAGTCCTGAAAAATAAAAGTGAATCACTCCCAACAACATTGTTGAATCACCAGAAGAAACACGATGTGAAGGCACTGGCTTGAGGACCGCCAGCTTTCTAATGAGTGGACCTCACACAGTCACACTCCTGCTGAAAATGACAACAAGCATTTTAGCCATAAACTTTCTTTTAAAGTGACAATTTTAGTAAAATACAAGCCTTTTGAGGATAAAGGCTTTAATGCATCAGTTAAATACATGCATTGGTAGTGTCAACAGGCTTGCAAGTTAGGAGCTGAAGATAGTTTATACCTCGCTTTTTAGGAGGGTGTTTCAGAACTAAGATCGGTCTCAGAATCTTCCAGAACTTTTTAAGGCTTAAGTTGATACTGTGGAGAAGGAAAGAGGCTGCAGCTTTGTCCTCATGTTTTGATCCATTTGTCACCCGTCACACTGACAGGGTAAAACATAAATGGGTTTTGCTCAGTTAAGTATGACATTAAAATTTTTCCTATTTTCTCTCCATATTTAAGCAAGTTGTCCGTCTCATTGCCCTGGAGCTGTTATATGACCTCAGCTTCTTAGCAAGCAGATGGAAATGGAGGCACAGCTGTGTTCTCTGATGGTGTACTAGTCATGTTTGCGTTAAAAACTATGAGCAAGCAGTGGTGCCTCCTGTCTCCATTACTTTTCAGTTTGATGGCATGATGACAGGGTAGACACGGTTCCTCGATTAAATACCAAGAAATGTGAGTTCACAACAGGGGCTGAAAATTATCTGGCTTCATCCTTCATTGTTTTTTCAGGGCCAAGCAGCAGGCTGCAGTAGTTGATAGAGGGTTGTGTTCATGGTTCAGGAAGAAATGTCCCACTGCCACTCAGCTCTCTTTTAGTGAACATCTGGTTCACACTCCACAGAATCTGTCATCTCCTTAGGTGGCTGCTTGCTGTTATGTTTCCTGGTCTTATTCAGCTGAAGGCACAAGTCCCTAGCAGGACTCTGGAATATTTCTGCCTCTGACTGCTGCTTTTCTGCCAGGGACAAAGCATAGGAGGTGGCCAGAACCACACTGTTTTAGAAGGACCCCTGTTACAGTGCTCAGTATATACCTATTTTTCTGTTTTCTTCTTTGGTAAGATTGTCTTAGAAAACAAATGACACTTACAGTCCAAAGAGGAATCATCAGAGTTGAACAGGGGTGTTCCCACTGGCCCTCTGTTGTCACCAAGTCTTGTAGAGCAAGGTTCTTTTCCTAGAATATTCAGGGCAGTGCTGTACCTGCTCCCCTGTGCATGTGCCTCCAGTAGAGAAGCTTGTGTCCTGCCATCTCTGAGCAAGAACCATGGGTGCAGCAGCCCTTGGTCTGAACTTTGCCACCACCCCCTTTTTTTCTCAGCTCAGGTACACACACACCCGCCTTGTGTCTTCCTCATCCTTTGTGTCCTCCTCTTCCTCCCCACTGTGAGTCCAGTTTCCATTCAAGGCATATGGTGTTCTGTCTTTTGACTTTTTTTTTTTTTTAAGTCAGGCAATAATCCAATGTTTCCAGGTGATACCATGAGGTGAGGAATGGTACAAATTAATAGTGGGTTTTACCCTAAAAGTATTCTCATAACTTAGCAAAAAGAGGTGAAATTGAACAATCTTTAAGATGCTTTCAGATTGTCACTTCATGGGAAAAATGGGTTCTTTGTTCTATCTGAGGTGAACAAAGAATCTATGCATCCAAGTGCAACTTACAACATTCCATAGGCTACAAAGAACTGATAAAGATGTACTTCCTCACCATGATTCTTCTGAAAACTTTTACTTTGGATATTGTTTAAATGAAACCAGAAAGATACGTATGGGATATATGTGTTGGGTGGGCTTACTGGCCTTTCCCCTTCAGTTGGCTCTAATTTCTAACTTCGTAATTCTGATGACTTTGAGAGAGAACAACCGTGGCTGATGCAGTTCAATATCTGGTGTACGTGGCAGTTTCCCGAGGGCTACACACCCGAGGCAGAGAAGTCCTAGTGTGCATAGCCAACAGAACTTTACATGCGCACACACACACACACACACACACACACACACACAGGTTCCCTCTGCTCCACACCATCTGCCCACCAACCAAGTGCGAAACCTTGGGCCTCAGAGTGTGGTTTGGAATCCTGCTCACTGAGTTTATCCTCCTGCCTGCGCTAAGATCACTTTGAAAAGAATCTTGTCAGAGGAACATACTTAGTACCTACAGTAATCTTAGTAGTTCACTTGATAAATTTGCCAGCACACGTTCAGAAACGTTGGAGAAACACTAGAACCAGTCTGGATTGTGGTTTTAAACTGCTCAGTTGCTGTACGTGGATGCCCAGGCACTCTCAAAGAGGAAAACATTCCCTAAGGTTTAGGCTGGTGGCCCCTCCTGTTTGCTTCTGAAGCTGGGGCGGGTAAGGGGGCTTGCTCCTTTGCCTGGAAGCACAGGAAACAGACCTTGTAACCACTTCAAACCTTGCAGCCACCTTTCCCTCTTGTCTAGAGTTTTCTCTTAAGACCTGCTGGCCTTTGGCCCCTTGAAAAGAGTTAATTACAATGGTCGGGCAGCCCTCCCCAGCCATATGATGTGTGTGCCATGCACATGTGTATATGAGCATCTCCCTCTTCCAGCGGCCCAGTTTTAGAGTAGCTCCACCTCTGGACTCACCTCTAAAAATACCTACACTATGGCTGGCCCTGTCAGTGTCTGGCTCACAGGTAGTAGGACAGCCTGAAAGAATAGCTCCCCTGTCTAAGCTGGGGAAACAGTCAGGTTCTACAGACTGACCTCTATGGTGATGAGTTTCCCAGAGTGCATTCCTGTTGAAAAGTGGAATCATCCCCCCAGCGTCAGCCTTGGGCAGAGATGGGTAAATGGTGACAACCATCTTGGAGGTCATCTGACACTCTCATGGCAGCAGATGTCCCTTAGCATTTAAAGCCTGTTCAGGCTGGAGGATCTGTGTTAACAGTGACCATTGGCATCCACTGGTCTGTTTCCAGCACACCCTGACATCCCCTCTTCCTGAGGGATCCATCTGGACAGTGGGGTCACTGGACTTGCTGCTGGCAGAGCCATGCACTGCATAGGGTTTTCTCAGAATAGCCACCCTTCTTGTTCAGACAAGTTTTTTTAATGATGAGGAAAATGTGTAATTCGGGATTCCACAGTGCCTTGCATACAGTAGGCGCCCAATACCTATTTGTTGAAGCAAATCAAGTTCTTTGTCCCCACAGTGACCAAGGCATCTTCCTCTGAAGGGCTTGGCAGTTGTGGCTAAAAACTAAGTATCATTATTTGCTCAAAACCATATTTCCAATTTGTATGAATTTCGGTATATTGCCAAGATGGGATCTTTTTCCTGTTGTATTTTCTGTAAATATTTCTGCCACTGATCTGTAAAGTAAAGGAGATGTAAATACGAAGGTGTGCCTGTGTCCCTCCTACCTGTTCTGGACCTGCGTCAGCCTGGGAAGAAGGTGCAGAGCCGTTCGTATTTATGCCTGTCCTCCACCCACTAGAGACCCACGGGATACTGAATGTAATACATGCCATCCATTAAATTTTAAGGAGCTTCTTATCTAATAACTTGGTGTGTCCTTTTGGTTACAGGCCACATGGCTGCCTCCTGCACGGCCTCTCTTAACTCACTCTCCAGGAAGGTCTGCCTAGTTTTAACTAATCTAGGTTTTTCACTCCGGTTTTTTAGTTTTCCTGAAATACTCGAAATTAAGCTAATTTTAAGAGAAAAGGACTTGCCCTTCTAATGCTGGTAGGAGTGTGTAGCATTAAGATACAAAGGCTGGAAGTTGGGAGATGAGTGAGTCCTGGGATTTTCTGCCTGTAGAGAAAAGTAAGGACATTTCCAGAAAGGGAAGGCACAGAGGTCACTCATGCTCTAGCTGCCCCTTGGCACAGGTTGGCTGCAGAGGGTCTTACAGGAAGCATGTTGGGGCCATGAGCCTGGTCATAGGTGATGGTGAATCTTGGAACCTAAGTGGGAGCTGTTAGAATGCCTGCCTCTACCCAGAGCCACCCCTCCGACCCGGCACTGACCCCACCAAGCAGCTCTCTTACTGCATCTATATTGCCCGGGACCCAGAACACCTCCCTTTTCTTACCCAGCTCTACCCACCAGCCACAGAACCTCCAGTGGGGCCCATTGGCAGAAGGGGCTGACTTCATTTGGCCCATTTTGGTGTCTATGAGAGTTTCATAGCTAGCCACCTCTGCTGGGTGATGGTAGCACACTCCCTTACTCCCTTAATCCCAGCACTTGGAAGGCAGAGGCTGAAGGATCTCTCATGAGTTTGAGACCAGGCTGATCTACAGAGCAAGTGCCAGGATTGCCCAGACCCCTTCTGTGGGTCCACCCAGACTGGCTTGTTTCCCCTTCCCCATAAACTGATGTCTTTCTCCAGTCTTTCTCCAACTCTGATGATCAGCTCCCCTGACTCCAACCTGTGCTCTTCAGCTATGAGATGCTATGTTCTCCCAAGTCAAGTGTGCCTTCCCAGTTCCTGACTCACCCTCAGGGTTAGAGCCTCAAGATGAAGGTCAGCCTAGGAGCTGGCATGTTTAATGTATGTCCAGGCCCCATTCATCTATTTCAGACTTCCCCGGACCTCCAGTGCCCACTTTCTGCCACAAGTGTTAGTAAAAACAGGCCAGGTAGAGAAAGGATAACAAGAGTTGTCTTGCCCACTGAGATAAGGGGGTAAGCTTTTAGAAGGCTGCTAAAACTCCTAATAAAGCTAAGTGATGGAAGCTTCAAAAATAAATTACTGTGAAAGTTTTATGTGGCTGCTCAGTGAGTGACCAGACAGATATAGCTACAATGTTCTAACAAAGCTTGATCCTATCTGTTTGTATATGGAAGGGCGGATGCACCCGATGTGTTTTCCTTATCAGTCTGTATATATTGAGACAGGGGCTCTTACTGAATGGTTCTTGCCATGTCAGCTGTTCTCCAGCCAGCTTCACCCTAGGGTCCCCTGCCTGCAGGCAGGCTGACAAGCCCATTTCTGTAGATTCTGGAGATCCCAACTCTGGGCTTCATACTTGTGGGGCAAGTGTTTTATCTCCTATTTTAAGCTTGGGAGACTCCACATAAAAGCCAGAGTTTGGGCTGTTGTAGGGGTAGGCAGTGTGCTGGACCTGCCTTTCCTGTGCAGCAAGTGTTGCTGGAGCTACCCAGTCTCTTACCTTCCAGCACCGAGCCCCCTCTGTTCCCTGCAGTCCCTCCCTGCAAGCGTGGCAGTGCATGTGTATATGAGCTCCTGGAAGGCAGGACCCGGGGACCTGGTTCCTGGCCACACTAAACATGAGTGGGCAAGTACCTTAGATGGGCTGGCATTTGTTCTTTCTGTCTCTCTGACTTAAGAATTCCTCAGTTCCCTTTCAGAAGACCAGAGGCTCACATGAGCCCAATGGCTGCTGGGTCAGTCCAGCCCTGGCCATCCTTCTCAGAAACAGCCTGTCTCTCAGCCAGACCCCTTCAGCTTCCTCTGCTGCAGGCTCTCTCTGTGACTTCCTCATTACATCACACTCACTGTTAAGTCACAACCTGGCTGAAAGCGGAGCCTGGCCAAGCTGCCAGGTCCTCAGGGGCAGCCTGCCGGCTCAATCCCGGCCCGGCGGCCCCGCATGGCTGCAGGTGCACAATGAAGTACCCTCTGGTGCCGCTGGTGAATGACCTCACACTCTCTTTCCTGGTGTTCTGGCTCTGCCTGCCCGTGAGTTTGCTGCTGCTCTTGATGATCATCTGGTTACGCTTCTTACTTAGTCAAGGTGAGCTGGTCCAGGCTGAACTCTTCATTTTTGGAGCCAGGCATGGGCCTAAACAGGGTCAAGGGCCCTGAAACAACCTCCAAAGGGGCTCAGAAGGGGCGCGGCACAGCCTTTTAAGTGAAGCTCCCTTTGAGAAAGTTCCCTTCCTTTCTTCCTCCCTATTTGGGGGGAGGGGAGGGGAAGGTCTTACTAGATAGCCCTAGCTATCCTGGAACTCACTACGGAGTCCACCTGCCTCTGCCTCTGCCTCTGCCTCCCGAGTGCTGGGATTAAAGGTGTGCGCCATCATCATGCCAAGCAGTTGGGAGTTTCTTAACAGAGCCTCTGAGTTTGACTGACGCAAATGCGTGTCTGCTTGTCTGCTGCTGCCCCTCAAGTCCACAGGCTGGCTGCTGAATTAGAAAATGTTGCCCCTTTCTGTGAGAAAGGCACTGAGTGCGAAAAGCACTCAGACCCTCCCTTGTGTGCTTTGTAAACAATGCGGATGGGCAGGGAATAGCTTGCTGTTTTGGAGTGCTCACACTATCCTGGTTTTTGTCCAGACCAAACTCAGAAAAGAACTGGTCTTCCCTGGGACGCAGGATCATGGAAGCTTGTTGACAATGGTCCGGACTTAGCACACTATCAAGGGTAGCTAAAGCAGCAGTTCTCAACCTGTGGGTCATGACGGTGTGTGTGTGTGTGTGTGTGTGTGTGTGTGTGTGTGTGTGTGTCAGATGACCCTTTCACAGGGGTCACATCAGATTTTACAGTTCTTAACAGCAAAATTACAATTATAAAGTAGCAACAAAAATAATTTTATGGTGGGGTCACCACAACATGAGGAACTGTATTAAAGGGTCACAGCATTAGGAAGGTTGAGAACCACTGAGCTAAACGCCCAGACATAACTGACCATGAAAGAGGCTAGAGGCCAGGTAGGGTGGGATATGGCAAGAGGCACCCTATCTCCCTGAAGGCTTTTTTTCCCTGTTTCTCGGCCCTGTGACCTTAGGCCGACTGGGCACCAGTGTTCCCAGCTTGCTGCCAGCTCTGGTCACAAGTTACTGAGACAACATGAGCAGCACCCTGCATGACCTGCCCCCACAGTCCCTCCTGTCTGGCCTGCTAATGGTTCCGCTGCGATTCCCTGGCAAGAGCCTCAGAGGGCCTTGGGTTTCTGAAAAATACGTTTTAAGCTAATTCACCTCACTTCTAGGGTGAGCTAGAGCCCTCCCTTGGGGTCCAGCCCAGGCATTAGGCCTGGTCTCTGGGGAGTGGCAAAGGCTTTGTGTGTGCTGGCTGTGGGAGCTATCACTGTCCTGTTGGGGGTATGAGTTGATAAGAGTGCTTGCATAGCATGCAGGAAGGGGGCCATGGTTTTGATCTCTAGTATTGTATAAAGCAGGCATGGTAGTGCAGGGCACAGTGTCAGCACTCAGGAGGTAAACACACTAGCCCATCCTGCTCATCAGCTACATAGTGAGTTTGAAGTCTGGGATACGCGAGACTCTCAAAAGCAATACCCTGTCCCTCTGGAATCTATTCCTAGATAGAGTATAATAAAGTTAACCCTCTTTATTATAACATTTAGGAGTCATACCTAATGTGTGATACATACCATCTCTCTCCAATCCTGAGGGGAGCCCTGTGAAAGGGTCCTTATTGCAGAGGTGGGGAAACTGAGGCTTGGAAAGGAGAAGCAACTTGCCCAGGTCCCAGTCTGCAGTGTCACCAGTGTAAACTTCAAATCCTGGTGCTGAGTCTATTGGCTGTATGACTTTAGGCCAGGGCTGCCCAAGCCTTAGTTTCCTCACCACCACCTGACGACAGTCACATTCCAAAACACAATCTTTCAGGCTGAAAAAAAGCTCTACGGGGTCTAGGGCTCTGGTGCAGGGAGCCAAGTACCTGTGTACATGGCACATAGTAGGTGCTTGTAGGCCTAGTCAGCGCTGGCTGAGTCTGTGGCGCTTTTGTCATTGTGGAAGGAAGTATGGCAGTTGGGTGCCTTCTCTAGAGGAAACATCTTGCCTCCACCTTTGAAATAAGCCCTTTGATCTTCAGTGAAGTTGGCCACTCAGAGGTGACAGCACCCTGGCGTCATTGTCTTCTGAACTCTTAGTTTCTCTGTGTTCTGCCCTTGTGCTGGGATCTGACCCAACGTGGTTGGTGGCTTGCAGTCTCAGGACCCCCAGGCCTGTAGTTTTCTAGCATCATGCAAGCTGAAAGATGCAGGTAGATGTCAATCATTCATCAGCTCCGGGTGTGTCCCCAAGTGGCTGGAGCAGGCCTCCTGTGAAGTGAGCATGGCAGTTAAGTCACCCAGGCCTCTCATGATAGATGTGTGCACTTTTAGAGTTCTTTCATTCACATGTGTGTCCACCACCAAGCAGTAGAAATCATGGGTATTTGGTAATGACTGGGCTAGATGGTGAATGGTGGGCAGATGAGTGACTCGTCATCTCTTCAGTGTCCCTCCTGGACGATGCCCAGTAAGCACATTAGTTACCATTTTGGCTCATGGTTTAAGAAGGGACCATGATGGGGGAGGCGTGGCAAGCCTGAGGTGCTGGTCACGTCATCCTCTGTCAGGAAGCAGGAACAGGTAAGAGGAGCAGGGCTGTAACATGGTGGTACCTGCACCCCATGCCCTCTAGTGAGGCGCCACCTCCTGCGGGGTCTACAGCCTTCCACAGCAGCACCACCAGCTGGGGACCAAGAGTCACATGATCCTGAAAAGGACATTTCCCCTTCAGACCACAGCAGTGGGCATCCCACACCACTTGAGTCCCTCTGGTTTTAGTACGTGGATATGGGCACTTTGAGACAATCTTATTTCTAGGTCCTTCCTTCTCCATCCAAGGCCATGAAGTCTCAGAGCTGGCCCCTCAGCTTCTGGCCTCCTTCAGGGCCTGACGAGTGGCTCCTCTGGGGCTGGGGAGCACTACAGGCTGTGTCTATCACAGAAGCCTTGTCTCTGGTTTCCGCAGATTCGAAGGAAGATGATTCAGACTTGTGTTTCAACTGGGAGCTCTGGAACAAAGAACCAGCTGAGTCTGGCTGTGATGGGACAATCCATGGTCAGGAGGACAGGCTCCACTGGTGAGCCTGCTCTACCAGGTAAGGCCTTGGTGGGGAGAGGAGGCTGCAAGAAGACTCGGGGCCTGTCCAGAGCCTCAGCAGCTGACTCATTGGAGCAGACTGCCTTGCCCTATGGACACCCTGTGCCCTGGCCATGCTGAAGAACCGACTGTCTGTCATGCTCTGCATGACTTTGGGGACTTGACCTGACTGGGGCAGCGAGGGTATAAAGAAAGGACAGACACAAAGACGTAGAAAAGCTTGGAGTGGGTGATCTGGGCCCTTGGATGGACCATGGTTTATTATCATTATTATCATCATCATCATCATCATCATCATCATTATTATATACATTTGTATGAGGCAGCAGGGTCTGTGGGATAAGCCTGGATGATGAGGCAGGGTCTATGGGATAAGCCTGGGTGATGAGGCAGGGTCTATGGGATACAGCTGGATGAGAAGTGTCTTGGGGTTTTACTGCTGTGAAGAGACACCATGGCCATGGCGGCTCTTAAAAAGGAAAACATTTAACTGGGACTGGCTCACAGTTCAGAGGTTCAGTCCATGGTGGGAATCATGGCAGCTTGCAGACAGACGTGGTGCTGGAGAAGAAACTAAGAGTTCTGTATCTGGATCCACAGGCAGCAGGAAGAGACAGATACATTAGGCCTGACTTGAGCTGAGACTTCAAAGCCCACCCCAGTGACACACTTCCTCCAACAAGACCACACCTTCCAATACTGCCAGTCCCTGTGAGCTTAGGGGACCATTTTCATTCAAGCTACAAGGAGTTAGGGTCTAAGGAAAGCTGGACAAGGAGGCAGGGCTAGCTAAAGTTGTAGGTGCAGTCTCAGTAAGGGAGTGGTCTTGAGGGGAAAGAAAACTCTGGCGGGCAATTCCTGCACACTGAATGATTGCCCTCAGACCAGAGGAAGACTGCCATCCCTCTGGGCCTTACCCCACTAGGAATGGGGACGCGCTCATGGGTCTGTGGCACTGGAGTCCTCTGCACAGTTGTGCTCATGTCACTACACATTCACTCACAATTTCACTTGCTCCTACACTGTCCCCTGATGGACAGCTGCCTGCCTGGTGTGTGGAGGAGCAGTCACCCCTGCCATGTTTCCTTACAAAGCCCTGCCCCCTTCCTCTCTGCCCTCCTCAGAGGTTTGCACTGATTCTTCCCCTGCCTAGAAGCTTCCTCCCTCTCCTACAGTTGTTGGATATTCTTTCTTACCTCCCACGCCTTTCTCAAATGCCACTTTGTCAGGGGGTTCCCCCAATGTTTGAAATTACTGCCTCCTCCAAGCCCCCCGGCCCTGTACTTCTTTCATTTGGTGCAGCTCTTACCACCTTCCAGAAACACAATGGGGGCATCCAAACCCCAAGCCCTTCCTGACACACAGTGCCCGCACACATCATCAGAAGCCCATGATGCCAGTCTTCATCCGGGGTTGATGGTCCTGGAATGTGGCCTTCTGCACTCATTGTGAGAGCTGTGGCAAGGATATTCTCACCTCCATATACTCTTGGGAACTTGGAGTACCAGGGTGGTTAAAGAATTTACCCAGAGTGCCAGGCAATGGTGGTGCAAGCCTTTGATGCACTTGGGAGGCAGAGGCAGGTGGATCGCTATGAGTTTGAGACCAGCCTGGTCTATGGAGTGAGTTCCAGGACAGCCAGAGCTACACAGAGAAACTGTCTCAAAACAAAACAAAACAAAACAAAACAAAACAAAACAACAAACAGAGGAATAGAGTGTTGACATCCATTCCCACAGGGCTAATGCCATTTCCAGCCAGTGACTCCCAAATACATGCTGTCACTTTCATCTTTCCCTGAGCTCTGTCACCTGCCTGTTTGAGCTCTCCATGTCTGGAGTAGGACTCTCCACTCACATTGCCACCCAACACCCAATGGCCTTGTCCCCTTCTCTTTCCTCCCTCACCCCCCACTTCGGGGGCAGCTGACTCAGCTGCTCTAGCCATGGCCTCCCAGCTCCCAGCTTAGCCTCAGGCTCCTTCACATCCAGCCATGACAGCAGGTCCTGGCGACACTGTCTCCACCTCCACTGTAGTCACCCCTGCTTCTGCCTGTCATCACAGCTGCCTGACTGTGAATCATGGACAAGTACCGTGTTCTCCAGTCTACATGGCAGGCGGAGGTGGGGCTGCGAACCGGGCACCCCTCAGAGCCCTCACCGTGTCTCAGAGTCCCTGCCTGTCTTTTTTGAGCCCTAGCCTTACCAAGTGAGGCCCTTTCCCCCAGAAAAAAACAACTCACACATAAGCATGAGATCTGGTCGCGTGCAGGGTAAGCCTCATGGCTGCGTAAGCCTCATGGCTGCTGAAGTCACACAAGGCCCCCGGGTAAGAAGCCCGCTTGACTTCACTCCCTGCTGTAGCTCTCTTTCAGTTTTAATTTTTTTATTTTTTGTATCTTAGTAGTGCTAGGGTTTAAACCCAGAGGCTCACGCATACTAGGCAAGCACTGTACCACCGAGTCACACACATCCCAATCCAAAATTCTCAGTTTGGGAACAAGAGACCACCCATGTCCATTGTTAATGGGCAAGAAAACAATGTTCAGACTCCATGAAAGGACCCTGTCCATCACCAGATAGTCTCTGCCTGCCCACTATTGCTCTGCATCTTTTATCCTTCACTCTGACTTCATTCCTAGCCCAAGAACTAATTCTTCTGTCATGTTTGTCTAGGTGTTGTCTGGGCCCTAGTGGATGGAGGGAAGAGAACCCTGGTGAGCAAGGGAAACTTCCTGGGACCTCTGATAGTCAGACCTGCCAAGCCTCTTGCAGAACCATCCATTCTCCATCAACACAGATGACCTGGAGCCATTCACAGGAAAGTCAGGTCCAAGAAGTTCATAGGGGACAGCTGGCCAGCCCAACCCACAGGAGGTGCTGGGTACCTATTAAAGCAATGGGAGTTCTGCTCTGTTCTAATGTTCATTCACTCCCCCTGACTCCCTCTGGGCTGTCCCACCCCCATGTGTGCTCAAAGCCAGGCACTCTGAGCGAGCATCACGCAGCAAGCTCGGTACTCGCTTAGACCGCAATGTGAATGTCTACAGCGTCTGCTGTGGTCTCTTTATAGCAGGAGTCTTTAAAAGTAGTCACGACAGGCAGTGGTGATGCACACCTTTAATCCCAGCACCTGGGAGGCAGAGGCAGGCGGATCTCTGTGAGTTCAAGGCCATCCTGGTCTACAGAGTGATTGCCAGGGCAGGCTCCAGAGCTACAGAAAAAACCCTGTCCTGAAAAAACAAACATGAAAAGAGTAGCCACTATGTGAACCACACTCTCCTAAAGCTTCGTCTGGGACTGTTGATGTTGGAGGAACAGGGATTCAAACCAGTCCAGTGACTCCTGAGCCCGGTGCTGACCCACAGTGTCCATCCTCTCCAGGTGGGGAACTGGGTACAGGTGGTGGGAAATTTTTAATTTTTGTTTTCCTGAGACAGGGTGTCTTTATGTAGCTCTGGCCTGGAACTCTCTCTGTAGACCAGGCTGGCCTCAAACTCACAGAGACCTGCCTGCCTCTGCCTCCTGAGTACTGGGATTAAAGGAATGTGCCACTGTGCCTGGAGAATTCCCAAAGTCTCCTGAAGCCCTTCTGGTCACCCTGAGGCAACAGGAAAATGGGCTAAGGGAGGGGACAGGCCTCCCAGTTACCATCTGATATCACTTTGTCCCTCCCCAACATCCCACTGGACATCACAAAAGTTGAAGATGTCCCAAGGAGAAAACAGATACTGGCTTGCTAATCTGTGACCATTCACTACTGTTCCTTCTGCCCCATCAGAATGAGCCACCCACAGCACCCATCAGAGCAGGCCCATCTCCCTAAAACTGTGGCTCTCTGTGGTCTTGCCTGAGTCTCAGCTCTTCATCCAGAGTAGCACTGCCCTCTGGGACCCTCGCCCAGCTGATGTTGCTGGATGGGTTCCTCTCCCGCCTGTGGGGTGTGATGACCATGCCTCTACTTCATAAGTTTGCCCCAGTGTGGAGATGTCCCAGAAGGTCCAGGCCAGGCTGTAGTGTGTATGATATGGCCACACAGTGCAGCTTGCAGAAATTGTCAAGTCTCCCCACAGATGGTGATACCAAGGGTCCCAGAGAAGGCCCTGTTTCTCTAAGCCTCTCCACATCCCCCAGCACATAGACACATTCATAGACTCACAAACACACATCCTCGCATGTACACACACAAAGCCTCTCTTGGGCTTTAATCTGTCTGATGGGGCTGGGCTTCCTGGTGGCATGTGAACAGATACCTTTGGTAATGGCCCCCACTTGGCATGGCTGGAGCTGCCCCTGGCTTTGCCAGTGGTCTTCTACACAAACCCTGATACAAGGAACTCCAGCAGCTGCTCAAAGGTCAGAAGCCCACTGTAGCTGGGCATGCTGGGTACTGTTCGGCTTCCCTGCAGTCCTGGCTCAGGATCACTGCCCCAACCTGTCTGGAAGTACGTGGGATGGACCCTGAGGGGAATTGGGAGCAGCCAGGCCCTTCTGCGCCTGCAAAGGCGGATGGGAACTACTTGGGCTGGCGGGAGAAGATCTGATTGTCGGGATCTCTGATGCAGCCCATGTCCCTGGTCACACCTCCAGTCAGATGCCAAGAATGGCCTCCAGCATAACGTGAGGTGCTTGCCGGGGGAACTTCCCCAGCCTCTGGGCGCCTCACCCTGCCTCATGCTCCTTGTCACACCTGCAGTCTTGTCCTCATTTTCCACTCTGAACTTTGTGTTACAGGCCAGGACGCCCACCCCTCAGTGTCGCCCCTCCCCCAGTGTTTCCCCACCATTGTTTTGAGCCTTATGTCCCCTCTAGGGAGCCATAGCACAGGGCACAGGCTTCGGTGGCAACATCAGCAGGCAGTATCTCTGAGTGGCAGAAATGGCCGGTGTGAGGTGAGGGCCCCAGACTGAAGCCACTGAGGAAGCCACTGAGGGCTGTACGGCAGAATCCCTCCTGGGCTCCCCAGCGTCTGGTGGCTGCAACTCCGTTCCTTGTCTTAAGCAATGCCATCAAGTCTGTCTTCACACAGTCTCCCCAGATGTCTGCTGCGTGCTTCCCCGCATTTACCCTCTGTGCAAGGACCCCGCTTAGGTTCAATCTGAGCTTGTCCTAATGACTCGCTGTTTTGTTTGATTTCCTGTCCATGTCCTATGTCCATATAAGATTACATTCTGAGATCCTGGGAATTAGGACTTTAATATCTGCATGGAGGGACACCCATGCAGGGCTCCTGAGTGCAGAGCACTTAACAGATGGCCTATAAATGTCTATTTAAAAACAGCCAGGCCCCTGGAAACGGGGTTCTGTGCCTCGTGTGCCAGGGCAGTTGAGGTGCTTGCCTGTCATTGGTTTCTCTGAGTCCTTACACCAACTCTCAGGACACGTGATGTTTTCATTTAAATGAGGAAGCTGTGGCCCAGCGAGGTTTAGGCATTTGCCAGAAGTCTCACAGCTTAGTGACAAAGCTGAGGGTCTCCCCCAGGATGACATACCACTGCACTGGGTAGAATACTGCTTCCTGGGGTAATGTGCTATGTTGGGGGCACAGAGCTATGGAGCAGTTTCTGAGCCCAGAACATGGTCTGGGGTGCCCACTGGTGTGAAGGACACAGGAGTCCATGGTAGTAAGAGGCTTGTCCAGCTCTTAGGCTGCCTAGGGAGGTACTGGCAGGCTGCCAGGTGCAGGGGCCCACAGGTCTTGAGTCACCACTGTGACCTAGCCGGCCTGGCCGATACTCCAGTGAGGCTGAGGAATGCTGCCAGAGTGCGGAGGTGGGGCACACGCCCGCCTCCAGGCTTCATTCTACCGATACACAACTCTCCAGGAAGCTGGGAGGCGGCACTTCCTGCCACAGGCTCTAAGTGCATTGTGCAGCATCCAGGCTGATTACTCACCCTTCTTGCTTTCTCTTGGCAGCTGGGTTTGTAGTTCGAGGTTAGTCATTTATTCAGGTCCTGGCTTACTCACTCAGCATGTATTCCTGCATCCATTCCCCATTCCCCAGTGGCTCCATGATGAATCACTTCACTCAGTGCCGCTGGCTCCCGTCCCCTGGCAGCCACTCTCCCCCTCATCCACACACCTGCTTGCCCATCGGCCATCCAGCCTCTCACTTAAAGATCCCAACTATCCCTCTCATTTTCTTTAATATTTTGTCTCTGTGTGTGCAGGTGTCCGAGGAGGCCGGAAGAAGTCACTGGATTCCCTGGAACTGGAATTACAGGTGCTTGCGAGCCATCCAATGTGGATGCTGGGAACTGAACTCCAGCCCACTGCAAGAGCAAATGTTCTCTTAACTAATGTGCATCTCTCTAGTCATTCAGCCATTTTCTTGTCCCACCCCTCATCTCGTTCTTCTAACACCATCCATCCATCCATCCACATGTCCATACATACATACATCCACATGTCTGTCCTTCCATCCATCCATCCATCCATCCATCCATCCATCCACATGTCCATACATACATACATCCACATGTCTGTCCTTCCGTCCATCCATCCATCCTCCATCCACATGTCCATACATACATACATCTACATGTCTGTCCTTCCGTCCATCCACCCACATGTCCATCCATCCATCATCCATCCATTTATACATATATACATCCACATGTCTGTCCTTCCGTCCATCCATCCATCCACATGTCCATCCATCCACCCACTCCCTGTCCACCCACTTATGCACCCATCCTTTATTAAGCACCTACTGTGTTCTGCACACACAGCTCCATGAACATCATGATGCACCAGCTTCACACTGGGCCAACATGCTGATTCACTTTACACACTGCGAGGAGCCTGGGCAGCAGTCAGACCCCAGCTCCTCTCCCTTCCTATGATGTGGTTGTTTTGTCCCCCCCTGAGGAAGGGGTGCTGGGGAAGTGGACAGTTGCTTACCTTCATGGTCTGTCTGAGCCAGTAATGGCTTCCTGCAAATTAGGACTCCCTTGATCCTTTTCCCATGAGGCCTTCCATCCTACAGGGTCACACGTAGTTCTAGGACTGGGGCTCTGACAGAGTTTCTTTGACCCCATTTCTTGATTCCTGTGTACTTTGTTCCCTGGCTACATAGTGCCTGGGACCTCTCTTCTTGAAGGTTAATATGCTTTCAAGGTCATGGGCACTCAGCTCTCCCAGAAGAAGAGATGGGACCACACATTCTGGTGAGGGAGCAGAGCTTGTGAGCCACAGCCGATGCAGGGTTAAGACCGCAGGTTAGACATCTGCATCCCCTCGTCCCCTGCAGGAATTCTGTCCAATGCCAGCCCACAGGACCCTTAGCCTCCAGTCTCACAGTGGTTAAGAAACTGTCTCTACCAGGAAGACTTCCTGCAACTGTTCCCAGGGTGGCAGGCAGGGATTCAAATCCCCAACCCCTCCTCCTCAGCCGTTCTCAACTGTTTTACCTTTCAGCCCAAATGCCAGTTCCCAGGAGGCCTCTGGCCCCCCTCACACACTCTCACACACACACACTGCTAATCCACAGTGCTGTTTTCTCTGCGGCAAGGCCTGCCCATTGCCTACCCTTGGTACCATCTGCCTGCTTGTCACTGTCCCCTTTTCACCGAGGACGAAGTCACAGCTCCCAGAGGCTTAGGGGAGGGCTAAGCCAAGGTGAAACCCAGGGTCACTACTAGTCACTAGCTTTATTAATTCCTTTTGGTTTTACTTTGAGATTGGGTTGGCTGTGGGAGATGAGAGTGTCCATGTCAATAGCATGTTTCATGTCTAGTGCATCTGTATTTAGTTGCTTTTTTTTTAATTTAGGTATACAAAAAAAAGTATGTGTGTGGGTATTTTGCCTGCATGTATGCCTGTATACCATATGCATGCAGTGCCCAAAGAGGCCAGAAGAGGGCGTTTGATTCTCCTGGAACTGGAGTTAGAGATGATTGTGAGCTGCCAT